AGCTTGATTCCTTAGAAAGGAACAAAACATGGGAGCTAGTTCCAGTAGTTCCAGGAATGAAACTGCTTGGAAGCAAATGGGTCTTCAAAGCGAAGACAGATCAAAATGGCAAGATAGTCAGACACAAAGCCAGATTGGTAGCCAGAGGTTTTGCGCAGGTACCAGGTGAAGACTATCACGAGACCTATTCACCCACAGTGAGATATGAAAGCATTAGGCTTATGCTCAAGCTAGCTGCAGAGGAAAATCTACACATTAGTCACCATGATATTAATACAGCTTTTCTGTACGGATCTCTAGATGAATCACTTTATATGCTTCCACCTGATGGCGTACAGGTAAAACAGGGATTTGTTTGTGCTCTGAAGAAATCCCTTTATGGTCTCAAACAAAGTGCACGGTGTTGGCACACAAAACTCACTGAAGTATTGTTTTCTCTAGGTTTTCAGCAAGGGAAAGCTGATCCATGTGTATTTGTCAAAGAGGAGGGGCAAAAGAAACTGTACTGTTTGTTTTATGTTGATGATTTATTATTCTTTTGGAAAGATGTCGCAATGTACAATAGCGCCCTAGCTCAACTGAAAGAGCACTTTGACATGAAAGATCTTGGTGAGGTAAACAACTACCTATCTCTGGAAATAGAGAGAGATCAAGATGGTAACATTCTAGTACACCAGTCACGGAAAATTGCTGATGTGTTAAGCAAACTAAATCTGATGGATGCTAACCCTGTAGACACACCGATGACAACAGGTTATCAGGTAGATGACACTGAAGAAGCATTTTCTGACACTACACTGTACAGGAGTGTGCTAGGCAAGCTAAACTTCATTGCCAGATGTTCAAGACCAGACATTGCTGTTAGCTGTAATTTGCTAAGCAGACAAGTCAACAATCCTAGTGTCAAGGATTGGAAAGCTCTGAAACACATAGCGCGGTATTTGAAAGGCACTATGCATTACAGACTGAGATTTAACAATCAAAAGTCTGGTGGTCTTGAGATATTTGCAGATGCAAGTTTTGGAAGTGACGCTACAGACAGGAAAAGTACGTCTGGAGTTTGCTACATGTACAATCAGAGTCTTTTTGATTGGTCATGCAAGAAGCAAACAACAGTTAGCTTAAGTACTTGTGAAGCCGAACTGAATGCACTGTCTTATTCACTTAAGGATTGTGAATGGTTAGTACAATTGTGCAAAGATATAAAAATTCCTGTCAAATGTCCAATCCAGGTTTACCAGGACAACAAAGCATGTTTGGCTTTGCTGAAGTCTGAAGGTTGTAAGCAAAGCACAAAGCACTTGCAATTAAAATTGCAGCATGCAAGGGAATGTATTCAGAAGGGACTCGTAACGGTGTCCTATATGCCAGGTAATGAAATTCCTGCTGATGTATTGTCCAAGATTGTATCAAGGGATCAACACTGTACCTATGTGCAGAAGTTGGGTTTGTACTGATATTGTACAAACACGCTGCCCAGTGATGTTTACAGAAAGGGGAGGATGTTGGTTTCTGCTTTCCTTCACTGTGCAGCTCTGCTTGTCACGAGACAGGTGTTTACATTCCACAGTCTGTACTGTTGGAGTTTCTCACGGGAAAGGGAGACTGGATGTGACGTACACTGGTTTCCTGTTTTTCACTGAGTGATTCTCTCCGAGCTGTCGAGGAGAGAGGAGGCTTTTTCTGCTCCGGCAGAGGCAAGATGTCTTTCTGTAATATACCAGCTTTGAACTGTAAATAAAGCAATATAGAGTATGCAGCACGTATTCCTCATCCTTCCGTTGGGCACGAGACTCTGCTTAAATCAACAATTTCCCCTAATATAATGCATTTTTGTAGGGGGGAAATGTGGAGATATATGCATTGTTGTTGTTGTTGTTAGAAATTATTTGGTTGGAGAACTGCATTGCAAAACTTGGAGAAATGTGAATTTTGAAGGACAGCTGTGTTTTGGTTCATGTATTGCCTAAGGAAGTGTGATTATGCAGGTTCACATTAGTTCACACTTTAAACAAATTTCTCCCCCATCACTGCACATGGAAAAATCCCCATTCAGACCTTACCCACTCAGGAAGGTCAGGATTGGCACTGGAAGGATGGGGACACTGGGGATGGGGCAATTGTGCACACCTCTCTGCCCCAATCACACTGTGTGCCCACGATATTCTTGGAATGCATGAACAAGGCTAACGTTTACCTCTATCCTGTTAAAAGCATCATCTGCTGACTTCTGCAGATCAGCCTGCAGTCTGGAAGCACAGGAGTAGGGGCCATGTAATTTCATCAGCGGCCAACCCTCCAAGTCAGTGTGCATTAGGATATATGGCAATTATTCTACAACATTTGAATTGACATGTATTCTTGCGCTGTTGCCATATTTATTTATGGGAAATGGCATTGCAAGTGAAAATAATGATGGGTATCAGGTCATTTTTACACCAGTGTAGTGTATAGCGGGGTTTTAGAATGTACACATTCATATCCAAAGGTAAAATGCATGTGAGACCTTGGTTTTCACTTTATGGGGTATTTGATTTAGAAGTGCACGCAGTCAAGTGCTTGCATTTGCATCTTAACAGCCACTATCCCATTGTAAAGAAGCACATTCATTCCTTCTCCTCTGTGGCAAAGTCATTTATTGTCATCTGAAGACATACCAATGAAATTGACTGTCAAGACCAGATTAGGAAAAGGAGGCGGACAGAGAAATCATAGCAATGCGCTGATAAAAATGTGAATGGTACTTCTAAAGAAATCGTTTTTCTTTTCCCAGCTGTGCAGCATTGTCCCACTGTCGAATGCTTGAAATTTCTGCCGATGCATGAAAAGGCTTTGGATCTAACGCTCGGTGAATTTGCTCAACTCTGTTGTATTTTGCAATCTACTGGCCTAAGTCTGATAACAGGATTCAAGGTTGTTAGCTGACCCAAATCAACAGCCCTAACCTGTCCTGTTCTCTTGCCAATTCCCCTCCATGGTTTTTGCACATTTTAGGTGAATACAACTAGGGGTTTCATGGCACTGACAAATGAATTACAGGAGAAGCTTTTGTTGAACAGAGTCCATTTGCATCTGACAAAGTGGAATCCAGCTCCTAAAAGCTTATGCCCAAGGCAGCCAATATTGTGTCCTCCAGAGGTTGCTGGAAAACAACTCTTACTGGCCCCAGTCAAGAGAGTTGAATTACGTTTTAGTGACTATCTTTAATGACTATCTTTAATTACTTTTTAATGACCATATTTCCTATGTTTTAACTTTTTCTATTTTATCTGCAAGCCACCTTGAGTCCTAGCTTGGGGAAAAGGTGGGAAATAAATATTAACAACAATAACAACAACCAATCGTCAGGGATGATGGGAGCTTATTCCAACATCTGGAGGGCACCATGTTGGCTAGCCCTGGCTTACACCAAATCAAGTCATTAAGTTGCCTTAAATTATTTGCTACTTCTGTGCTGGCAGACTGGCATGGCCACCCCTTTGGAAATCTTGAGTAACTAGACAGAACAAGAGTTTAGGTGGTCCCTAAGATACACTGGACCTAAGTTGTTCAGGGCTTTGTAAATTAATACGAAGACCTTGTTGGAGTGTTGGAGTGTTGTAGGCATTTTGTGCTAAGAGGAAATGCTGACTCAACATGATGTGATGAGTCAGCACCATGAGATGTGGGGAGTTACCTAATTGGTCTATAGCCAACTAGTAAAAAGAGGTATATTTGACTTCTCCACACTGGCTTCTCCCCTGAATGCAACCCAACCTGTGTATGCTGGTTCCTGGATGTAAGAAGATGGCTTTATGATGATGCAAGACTGCAACTGGAATAAAGCCTACTTAAAATACAGCTTAACTCCTGAGGGCTTCATGTGGGGCTTCCGTACATTGCAACAGACCTTGAATGTGGCTCAGTGGCAGATGGGCAGCCACTGCAGATGGTTAGACAAAGATGTCAGGTAGTGTTGGCCATGTGCCCCCATCAGCAGTCTGTCTGCTGCATTCTGCACCAGCTGGGGCTTTCAGGTGAGGTCCAAAGGCAGCCCCATGTAGAGTGCATTGCAGGAATTCAGCCTCAAGGTCACCAGTGGTCAGGCTATCCCTGTCCAGGGAACAGCTGTAGTGGGTGAACCAGACAGAGCTGGTAAAAGGCGTTCCTAGCCACAGAGGATACTTGAGCCTCGAGTGATAAAGATGTTATACTTACAATCTATTATTAATATGAATTGAAAGCATGTTTGATTGAAAGATTTTCCTTAACAAGTTAAAGGCTTGCTTTAATAGCTATCATATCTGTTCTAACAGATTTATTTATTGCAACTATCCATACCCGCTCTTCAGTCAAAGGGCTTACAGAACAGCTAAAAGCACTGGATGATTTATGGCGCTCAGTCATTGAAAGAGAAAGCCTAAGAAGAACTTGGACAGGAATCTGGCGGTCTAGTTAGGTCCCAGGAGATGGACACGTAGATTTCAGTTAGCAACTCTATAGCCCTTTTCTTTAGAAGAAAAAACTTACAACCAGCAAGATTTCATGAACAGATACAGTGGACAGATATCACCACATGCCTGAGGATGGATGCCTGGGGCAGCCATCTGGGTACCAGGGCTTCAGGAGGTTCCAGGATGCCAGCAATCTTACTATTGCACCCTTCTGCAACCTGGTGTCCCAAAGACATTGTTGGACAAAAGCTCCCCACGTTCCCAACCATTATCCATGGTGGCTAGGGCTGATGGGAGTTGTAGTCCAATAACCTCCCAAGAGCACCAGGCTGGGGAAGGTTGCCTTACTCCAAAATTAAGGGATTTCCCACAAAGGTTCTTCCCTGCAATTGTTATTAAAAAGACTTCAAATGGAAGCCCTCAAGTTCTTGAATATTAAAAGTTATTAAGGTGGAGAAAAATTCTGAAAGTTACCAATATGGGGAAGGTCTCAAGCCATTTATAAGCAACTCCATTCACTGTTGGCATTAGGACTCATTAATTTCATTACTAGTTCATTAAAAAAAGATCACATTCATTTTATTATTCATTCACCGAGGTTACATTCAGTTTTGCACTTAAATTAACATTCATTCTTTTGTTCACCCTTTTTCTTTTCTTTATATTCACCACCTTTGGCAGCAACAGGCTGAGTCTGGCAGCTACTCATCTTGGAGGTGTTGTGTAATTCTGGAAAATATCAGCAACAATAAAAATGATCACCAGAGCAGACTGACATTTTTCATGTGCTGGCCTCCATATTCCCTCCCCTGTCTTAGAAAGACCCAAAGGCTAAGACAGTCTGGGGAGAAAATGAGCAGCTTCTCAGAGACTTTCCAAACTCAGCACTACCACCACAAAGCAAGACAAGACCTTATGACATCTGAATGGTACAAATGGGTATGAATGGTAGTCCCAAAGGGGAATTTCATTCATGCCAATTTGTTCCCTTCTGCATTTGTTTCAGAACTAACAAACATTTCATTGAATGAGCCCCATTCAGTTCATTTTCTTTTTCATGCTGTCTAAAACATCACAGTATTTCAACTTTGGCCAGCTGGCCTCTTGGCTGGTTGTGGAGGAGTGAGTTGCAACATTACAGAGGTGCCCATGGTTGCCAACTGCTGGGGTGGGGGCAGGTCACCTTGTAGTTGCTAAGCTACTACAAAGTATGTAGTTCTCCTTTTCTCACCCAGATCAAGCAACCTAGCAGCCTGTCAATGCTAAAAAGCCAAAGGAGTGTAAGGTTTAGAGGTTAGCTCCACAGCAACCAAAGGCAATTTTCATTTGAAATACGAGTAGCTTCTTTCCTCCAGTCTCTAGAATTTATTTTTAATTCAGCTACAGAAAAATGTCATCTCTAGTTTGAACATCATATGTACCTATGTGAATAGCATAGCATTCAGATTGATCTCAGGGTGGGAGAGTACAAGATAAAAATATAATGAAAATATGAATTACAAATAAGTAAACAAGTCAGAAACATATAAAAAGGCCAAGCACCTTTCAGCTATGTCTTGCTCAGTGGTCTTAAATGCTTAACAAGATTGCTGTTGAGGAAGATGTAGTCAAAATACATATTTTGCCTTTATATAATTAAAATAGTGTGTATATGTAGATATTTTTATTCATAATAAATTCCTGTATTAGTTATAGTTTAACCTTAACTCTTGTTTTATCTATTTGATCATTGTTAAGGACTGTTTTAAGCTTGGTTGTTTCATTCAAACAGAAAATATATGCCAGATTTAGGACCATTGGAATACACACACACACACACACACACACACACACACCAGACCTATGGGTAGCTAAATGCTTCTTTTGTTCTCCTTTTGGAAACATTATTTCTCTCATACTTCACGGCATTATCATTTATTTTCAACTTGGATCTGAAATGCAAGAGATTTGCATTGCTCAGCACTGCTGAGAAAGAATGCATATTCCATAAATTGGTCTTCTAAAGATTAAGAAAAGACATTACCCGTGCTTTGATATTTCTTTTCATTTATGTGTATTTCATGCTCTTCTGTCAGGAGGTTACATTCATTATCTTTTCCATAAGAGCCCTCTGAAACTTTGTTTCGCTTCAATCAAAAACTACAAACCACAGATAGGAAACTTAATTATTACTGTACAGTACAAAGCTTATTGTGCTTGTACAGGCAGAAAGATGATTACAAGATACTATATTAAGCTAACTCTTGCTTTCAAAAATATGATGGCTTGGAAATACATGCAAATATTATAGCTTGGACAAACTGATGCACATTTAACTTGTGCACATTCAGCTTTATGTGCTTGCCAAAAAGAAGGAGGGGTGGAAAGGAGGTTGACTTTTTTTTTTTGCATTCCCACCCATTAAACCCAATATGTTTGGACTATACACGATTTTGGCTTTAGGCCCCATCCCCAGAACTGGAACCCCAGCATAAGTTGAGAGTCGCCTATACCCATTATCTCTGAAACCTTTTGAGAAAGATTGACTGTGCACATGAAAAATGAAATGAAGCAGGCAAGCCAAAGCAGGGGAAACCAAAAGATAAAAAGTACTGATTTGAGTGATAGATCTAAAGAGAGTATTTCATCAAAACATATCGAATGGAACCAACTGGGAAATTAAAAGCAGAGAGGGAAGGAAGCACTTGGAGAGGAACTTCTTTGTGATGAGTTGGAACTGAATAGATGGCATGACAACCCAGTACTTCATCACACCTTAGTCATTTTAGCAAAGGTGACAGATATAATGACTTTTGCTCTCCCCTTGGACTTAACCTCAAGGGAACATTAGAAGTCCGTATTTATCAGTGTTTCTAGTAACAGAAGAGAATAACACCCCCCCAAGAACTGCTTCTTCCAGCAGTTTGTCACATCCTTCCTTGTGTGACATAACATTTGTCAGATGAACTCAGCGTCTTATGCATTGTTCATAAAACATCCACACACCCTGTTGGCACCAGGGGTGAAGCTGACCATTGCAGATTCGCTCCCCCTGATAAACACTTTGGGGGAGTAAGTTATGACCTCCTTTGTCAGCGTGTCTGCTGGCTTTCTACCCCACAGCTGTGCATTTGGAATGGCTGCTTTCCCTTCTTGGCGGGTAGGCAGTGGCTGTGGCCTGTTATAAGCTCCCCCTTTATTATTGGGTGGCAAAAGCCATTTCTCCACAGCCAGCTGTTGGATAGCCCTCCAAGCCTCAAATGTTGAACTGCCCAATCATAGGCAGGCTAGGGGGTGGAGTTAGGAAGTCTTCACTCTAGTCCTCCAAAGGGGGACCTCTGAAAAAATATAAAGTGCAGGGCTCCTCCAAGTGAGCAGGAACTCTGGACAATCAGTATACTCACCCCTCTCTACCGACATAGGCCTGCATAGGTTTTAGCACAACCTGGCTTCTAAAGCATGAAAAAAAGAGTAAGATAGCAATGAGGTTGAAATATGATAAGAGCAGAATATTGAGTTTTTAGTTTCATTAATATATAATATTATATATATATATTATATATACCACTTACATGCCAAAATGGCTTCTAAGCAATTTACACCTATAGAATAAATTATTAGATTCATACATAATCAAAATACACAATAAATCCATTCCATCAATGCATTAAAACATCCTTAATTAAAACGTACGATAAGACTAGTCAGTTAAAAATAATAACATAACAGAAGTTCAAGTTAAGGGGAATGCTTGTCTAAACAGGTGTGTCTTAAACAAAGCCAATATCAATGGGACCACACATATTTCAGTCAGGGAAGGGATTCCACAACATTGGTACCACCAGTGAAAAAGTCCACCTCCAGTGTTCTACTTCGTATTGGGAGGCTCCATGGGTACAGGAGAGTCCCCATTTCAGAAGACAGTGATGGTAAGTTTAACCAGCTTATCCCCTTTCTACCCACACTACATATTAGTTTTACATGTTAATACACTGCCTGAAGAGGGCTAGGATGGAATATTATTCAAAAGTGGGTGATATTTGCCTCCAGTGGTAATTTAGTCTGGTCTTGGTGCTTCTTGGAAGAAAAGAAATAGGGATTCATCTCTTGCTACTTCTGGCCCCATCAGCTACAGCTGAACATTCATGGAACAGAATCTTGTACTCTGAAAGAAACCACTTCTGCCTGATACAGGAATAAACTAGTAAGTATATCAGTTGAGAGGTGTGCCTGGCAACTTCATTATACAGCTTTCAGCGAATACTGAAGACACACCTCTTTATCCTGGCCTTTGACAGCTGTGGTGTATATTTTTAGTACCTGCTTTATTTCTGAAATTTTAAATTGTTTTAAACTGTTTTTAATACTCTGTTTTATTTGTTGCAACCAGCCCATGACCTGGGGTGAAAGGCAGGTAATAAATTGTAAGAAGAATTAATAATATCAGTGAAGTAACTATCAGATTGAATGTACTGCACTCAAGAAGTTAATGTGCAAAGGTATAGCAAGAAACCAAGATAGGATTGAGATTATTGCTAATTATTAGCAGTAGTAATACTGTTAATTTTCCATTTTTCACAATGGTGCTACATGGCTTGAGATTTGCCTAGGGTAATATTCCACAGTCCTTAACCCCTAGTCCCCCCCAAAAAAAATTCAAATACACCCCTCCATCCCATTTCAGTTTCTGTGGGAAATCCAGCATGCAGTTGTACAGAACAGGCAGTCGTGTGGGAGAAGCTGTGTCAGTCTTGATTTATGTTGCAATGGCAGAATTGAAGGTAGATCAGGAACCTCAAGCATGTAACCTGGCAAACCTCCTTCTTCACTCTATGACTAATATGGAATTTCTGATAAACGTCAGCGTGAGAAAACTTTGCCTTGTGAATAATGAATCTAAAGAGAATAAGCACCATAGCTAAAGTTGCAGAGATTTAACAGCACAAATAGGAATTATTACCAATTAGTGTGATTATATTTTGCACCATGAATGCTGGGCATGAGAGTATAATGTCAATAATTACATTTTCCAGCATTTAAATAGCAGTATAAAATGATTGCTGAGTCAATACTCTAGGTGAAACTAGAGAAAACCACTGGAATGGAACATGATGAGTTATAAATAAACCTATGGTTTGTGACTTTTTGCCTTAAGGCAAGTAAGATATGTATGAGTTAGAGCCAAGAAAAATGGAAGTTCCTTCAGGGCAAACAAGGATGGAGAATGGCTTTAGAGAGAAGAAATCTGTATTGACTTGTAAATAAACATATAGATGAACACACATTTTTTTCAGTGAAAAGGATTATAACTATTCTTGAGTGCACCATGTGCCCATTTATTGATTCGCGTAAGCACACGGGGTATCAAGATTTTCCCTGCAGGGGAAAATATAAGTCTCCCTAAAATAGATTTTCTGTTGGATGCAACGTCTGCATTCCATGCTCCCTCCCTTTCTAAGACATATATTTTCAAAGAGCAATAGTCATAGTGATTTTGGCTGCACCCTAATCACCAGTGGTGACAAATTTGTGGCTCTCCAGGTGTTGCTGGACTCAAAATCCTATCAAACCCAGCCAGCATGGCCAATGCTCAGGGATGATAGGAGGTGTAACCCAACCACATTTGAAGGGCTGCTAGTTCCCCATCCCTGCTATATATAATTTCCTGTGGTAAGTCTTGTTGAATTCAGTGGCGTTTACATAATTTCGCTGTTAAAGCGTTTTAATGTGGACTGGGTCTCCATAGCAGAAAACAAAGAAAGGCCTTTTTTTACACCCGCTTTTCATCATGAATTTGCATTCTAACCAACATGGCGGTTGGCTGGGTTTTTTAATGTCTATTCTATAGCAAACAATGTAGCAGGAACTAAGAACATAAGACGAGCCTGCTGGATCAGGCCACCTAGTCCAGCATCCTGTTCTCACAGCGGCTTGTGGGTTGTTAGCACCCAAAATGCATATGTAAAGGGTTAATTGTAAGAGCTGTGGAACTCTATGATGTCATATACTCTGTGGTAGTTATGGAAGTTGGTACAGTTATGGCATTTAGTCTTAACGGTTAGAGCAGCAGGTATGTTGTGTTTTGCTGCTGCCTGCCTCAGAGTCAGAGTATCAGTCAGTCTGTAACAGTTTAATCTATGTGAGACCTATTAGCAATTTAAGTATCACTTACCTGTGTTGTATATTTAATCTGCAACTGAAAGTATACTAAGTAAAAGTATACTAAGTAAAAGTTATATATTATTTTAAACTTGCATAGTTTTTATAGGTGAAGACAGGAGTGCCTGGCATGCTCTGGTCCATGGGGTCACAAAGAGTCGGACATGACTAAACAACAACAGTTTTTATAGGAGAAGAAAAGAGAACTAATTAAAGGGTCAAAAGTCCCAGGGCTGACTTCTGCATATCTCTGCAAATGGGAACTAGAGTCTAATTCCCACATGGTTGACTAAAATGCCCATGGGAAGCCTGCAAGAGCGCTCAGCAACTGGTATTGCTAAACTTCTAAAATACTTTCAAAGTACAAACCATAACACCTCTTTGAGATGCTCATGAATTAAGCCAAGAAAAGTAAAAAGATCATCAAACTCTCCGTGGTAGCAGTAAGTGATAAATCTCTAGAAGGACTTGATTTTTCTTTCTTTTTTAGTCTGCAACTTCATTATTTCAACTGTCTTTCAGAAACTCTGCCAGGCAAGTAAATCGGTTGCAGGTCAAGACCACAATATAAAAGAAAATCAGATATTTGTATCAAAATATGTTGTCACTGGAATATTTTTTCTGTTGATCTTTATGATTTAGTGTCTGCAGTGATTGCAGTACCACTTTGACTTTTCCTGACCTGGTGACCATCCATAGGCCAATTCATTAGGAATATCTCCCAGCACATCCTCCATCAAAAAAGGATGTGCTGTATCATATAGCACAGTGATGTCCAACAGGTCGATTGTGATCCACCGGTCGATCGCAGGGTGTCCCTAGTCGATCATGGCTGATTGCGGGAACCTGCTCCCCTCCCCATTAAAGCTAAACAACTTTGGCTCAAAGTCCCCCCAAAAAAGCTCAGCAACTCTGGTCAATCTAATGGGTAGATCACTGCCAGGTTTTTTTATAGTGGGAGTAGATCACAGTCCCTTGGAAGTTGGACGTGCCTGATAGCACATTGATTTCACTGTTCAAGATGAAATTCACAATGGACTTGTGCTTGTTATTGGCATATACAATACAGCAGTCCCATAAATCACATATCTAAGATTGCTGTGTCTCTATATATGAAATATGTAAATTTTAAAAATAGTTACAAATCACAAGATACAGCATAGGTATAGGATATGGCACAGACCAACCCCCCAGCACATAACCCAGGTGCTTAAAAGCTTAAAAACTTGCTCTGGCTGCCCGTATGTTACTGGGTCAAGTTCAGGATTCTTTATTACTTGGTTCCAGGTTACCCAATTCCTTCTTACTCTGCTCTATTGCTGAAATATTCAGAGTTGTCTTTATTAGTGGTCTACCACGCCTCAGATGTACAGCGCATATCTACCAGGAGCCATGCATTAAGAATTATGGGGCTGACTCTATGGAACTTCATCCCAGCTGAGATAAGTCTGTCCCCCACCCTACTGAACTCCAGGTGTTCAACGAAAACAAGGCATTCTAAGTCAAATTATGTCTATCTGATGTTTTCACCTGTGTTTTTTCTTGTTTTAAACACTGTGTTGCTTGACTGGTGCATTGTTTTATTGATGGTTTTGCAGCAGCAGTTGGGCAATAAACACAGGGTGGTGTTTCAAACCTGATTTTCCAGTGGCTAGCATCACTGTCACTTACCAAGAGGGGCAGGGGCAAGGCACAGGAAGCACAGTGCAGGCACGGCAGCGGAGCTAATCTGACTCTTGAACCTGGACCACATTGAACACTGCACTCTGCTCCTCACCTCTCCCTCTCAGGAATTATCAACAATGCTCACTTTCAGGAAGACAGGTGTGCAACACCAAACCACCCACTGCAGCTGTTCTTCTGCAAACCATTTTGTGACCATTCATGACAGAAAGCTGTCCATATGTTTGCTTCAACTCGCTTGTGGAAACAACTCAGAGGTTATTAAGAAGAAAAACGATAACAACAAGAAGATTGGAAGATGGGACTTGTGAACATCAAAGCAGCAGAAATATGAGATGATTGGACCCTTACTGAGCTCGAAGCATGGGTACCCCCAACAATTTTTTAAAAAAATTCGGTAAAATATTTGGATTTTATGATATGTATTGGTATAATTTGGATTAATTAATGTGACATGATTGGATTGTTAAATGGAAAACTTAATAAAAATTATTTATTTAAAAAAAGACAGAAAGCTGTCCATAAATATTGTAAATTAAATAAATGTTGCACTGCCTGAGGCAGTCCCACTTTAGCTATTTTGCCAGCATATCACTGGTGTATCTGTCATGTCCAAAAAATACTATATTGGCATTCCTATCCATCAACAATGATCACTCTATTATACTAAAATCAAGTGTCTTTAAACCCCCTTCTTCAGAGTGGTGGTAATCAAGAAAAAGCCCAGGAAGGAAATTTTGCCACAGAAATTATTTAATTCTTACACTTGGCAAGGAGCATTTGAGATCGTTAATTAACAATAGTGTGCTTGCAAATCACTGAAGACACTTTTGTCTCCAGGAATGTCCAGGAGTTTTCTGGACCAGATTTAACCATATTAGAATGGCAGCAAAATCACATGTCAAAGCTACCGCTTTACTGCTCCCCCTCCCTCTTGCTCCACTCCTACTCTCAACTTCAGCTTGCTAAAAATTATGGCCAGCTAAGGTTCAGGGAGTTTATGATGCAATTATTAGCAATCATCATAGAAAGCGTGGCTCCGTGTCAAAGAGGAGCACAAAGAAGAATGACCAAGAAATAAAAATTGCAGTGAGAAGCAATTAAGAGTCCAGAAATAATTTGTTTTCAATTGCAGAGCTGGGAGATGGCAGGTCTTTTCATTCTTCCAGCTTTTCCCCACGATATTATTGTGCACCAAACTAGATGAGACATTAATCAAGTGATTGGTTTTTGCATTAGCAGTCAAAGTGGTAGCAGAGGGCAGGGAGAGAGAGAGATCTGAAGCAGGACTGTAGCATTGGAGGAGGGAGTTTTAATCATTTGCCACTGCCATGGCCCTGATCCAGATTGCCCCTCCTGCCACAGCTGCTTTTTGCATTGATTGAGAGGCTCCACCGAAACCTTCACTTGCAATATTATGAATTCAGCAGCAAAACTATTGCCTTCTTGTTCACTAACACTATGTCTTATGATTTTTATTTCATTCTTATTTTTTACTCATGCACATTTCTGCCCTGCATGATTCTAAAGCCTTGGGAGTCATTTCCAATAATTTAAAACCCACACAGATATAAAATTTTCTATAAACATGGGGAAAAAGCACAAAACACCAATTCATCTTTATTGTCTTTTCCCTTCCCACCAACTATGAGAACTTTAGACCACACTTTCAAAAAATTCTTAGATGCTGGCAAATCCCTAGGGGAAATAAATTCCGCCATTGACAGCAGCTGCCAAGAACATTTCTCTATAATGTCCTTGCTGTCTGCATGTGGCACACAGCTAGTAAATTGAAGAAAGATCTCCAGGTTATAGTTTGATGAAATTGTCAACACAGCAGTAGGAGTAACTACAAGAACTATCCAATAATGCCCTGGTCAGTAATAGTGGTACTTCCTGTAGGAAATAAGACCCATCTGGTCTTTAAACAGACTGTGGCATCTTTTGAAGCTCAGTCTTGCTCATTCATTGGGTTGTGTCCTATGCTAGTCCTACTCAGAGTAGACCTATTGAAATTAATGAGCCTAGGTTAGTTGTGCTTTTAATTTCAATGGGTCTAATTTGAATTGGGCTAGTGCTAGACACAGCCAATAGATCCAAATGTTGTAAGCTATATGGTGCTCAATTTCAGCCATGCTGTTTGTCTTCCCACCACCACCCACTTAACAGGTAGGAATAAAGCAGGGTGGTTATGGATTGGGCTCCTTAAAATCCCCACAATGGCCTCCTGAAAACCAAGCTTTCTTTTCCAAAAGCTTCTCCAATTTTGGTTCCAAATCAGCAAAATACGAGCCAGAGTTCTCCTTCTTTTTCTGCTCCACATAAAAAGAACACCGAGTTTCCTTTTGTATATATATTGCAATTGTCATTTTGCAATCATGACAGCTGAAAGCCAAAATGTGCACTCCTTCATCAAAACTCTCAGATGAAAATGGAGCTTTTGGCTATATTCACCCCTCAGGAAAAGAGGCTGTAGGGTAATAACAGATTCTCATTATGTAGTAAATATTTCAAGACTTAGCCATTGCTTAGCCCTCAAAGGAAGACATTAAAGTGATAAGCAAGGCTAATGCTCCTGCGTTAACAGCCCCTTTCATAGTAGCCCAAGATTTTAATGCAGTATCCTATCAGCTTGGCAAAGGTACTCTGGATTGAATCTGTGACACATCTATAAAGTTGTACCGATATATTCTAGAGAAGCATATTGAGATGTATCATCCTAATTACAGAATAACATAACTGAAATACCCCATTCACAAAGGCCAAGTCCTCAACATTGAGCCAAAGCAATGTATACCCAGCTTTTTTTAATCATACTCTCCTTTTGAATTTATGGATACAGGAGTGGCAAGGACCCTAATATTTTGAGCTGATGTCAGGAATCATATCCATAAGTTACAGCAGCAACTTTATCGCCACAACATCACCCTCTCCCTCTCAGTAACCTGCATGCAGCACTGGGAAGCTAGGTGAGCAATGCTAGGTGAGCAATGTCAGCTAGTATTACTTCCAAGGTAAGCTTCTCCAAGTAGGGCTGGGAATGTCTCCTGCCTGAAACACTGGATAACTACTATTGGCTATTACAGTGGTACCTCGGGTTGAGTACTTAATTCGTTCCGGAGGTCCGTTCTTAACCTGAAACTGTTCTTAACCTGAAGCACCACTTTAGCTAATAGGGCCTCCTGCTGCCGCTGCACCGCCGGAGCACGATTTCTGTTCTCATCCTGAAGCAAAGTTCTTAACCCGAGGTACTATTTCTGGGTTAGTGGAGTCTGTAACCTGAAGCGTATGTAACCCGAGGTACCACTGTATATTGAACGAATGAATGAATGAATGAATCTTTATTGCTAAAAGCTGTAAGCTGTCACAATGAGTAGAAATATATCTATAATGCTGGGGAACCTCTGCTCTCCCAGATGAGGAATTGAAATGTGAAAAGAAAAAAGAATCTGGCATGCGAGAGTTACATGGCATTGCAAAACCAGATTAATTTCAAGCTACATTGTGGGACTTCATATCATACACCACTGCAGAACAATTGCAGCAAACTTTGTAACCTGAATTATTAGACATCTGGAGTATATGATCCTTACTTTTTCAAAATATCTTCATTCATTTGTTGTTTATTGGCACCCTTGACAAATATGGAAGCCAATCAATATGCGTATATGACCTCTCTTTTTGTTGTGTTGTTATATTTTGTATTTCACCTTTGAGGACTTTTTGCTTTCCTAAACTATTTTGCTTATCTGACCACATGTTGCTTACAGATGTTTGGCCAAGCCACCTTAATTCCTAGCACTAAACAAAAACAGAAAGGTTTTATGCAGGGCTAGGGGATAATCTGATTCTGTCACACGCAGGAAGGTCAGTTTTGAATACATTTCAAACTAACTCATGTGGCTGGTATATCTTTCCAAAAGATTTATGCCTTATTGTTATTCTACCACCCTTCCTACCCAAAGGAGCCATGGTGAAGTCCCAGCATGAGTTTTAAAAATGTTCTGACTTGCCCAAACTATTTCCAACATGTAGATTATATGAGGAGGTATCATAGTTTAGTGGCAGAGCATCTGAATTGCATGAGAAAGGTCCCAGGTACAGTCCCCAAATAGTTGGGCTGGGAATGTATGAAACCCTGGAGAGCTGTGCTACTCAGTGCTGACAATGCTAACCTAGATCATCCTGCTCAATATAAGGCAGCTCCCTTATTTTCAGTTTGTTTGCAATCACACTGGAGACGAGTAAGCATAACTCTCCTATTAAGCAAGCATGTTAAGCTGAAAGTTAAGGTTTTACTTTCCCATTCTCATTGGTCATGGCTCTTGAGTATGGCAGCTACTCCGCTACCATCTGTCTGTGGATTAATACCAGACACAGGAGATGCCAAGATTGACTTAGGCACTGACTCGGTTACAACTAGTACTGCCAGCTGTCATTAGCGATATACTGAGCTAGCGGGACCTTTCGTCTGATTGACTGGCACTTCCATCTCAAGGATTTGTAGTTGGTGCACCTGCTTTTACAATGCATCTGCAACTCTGGCATCACATCATACATTGCAAGATGTTACTCAACCACAACAGTCAGTACAATACTTCTCAAGTACATATGCTGGTGAAGCAAGCAAGTGCAGAATAATGGTTATTTTTAGTGAAATTAGCTATCCATTCAAATTCAGTATAGTTCTCTTTCCAAAGAATAAGAGACATGAAGATTATCTGCAATAATGATAAAAGGAGATGCTTTCTTGATAATGTTCCGGGGCAGGGGGATTCTGAGCACTAAATAGCTAAGCTGTAACCTTTTGTTTCTTTTTAAGAAATACAGAAAATTAACATATTATTCCAAGTCACATAGTCTATAGGGGACAATTGCTGACAGGCATGTGTGTTTTTGTATTATATCCATAATACCCATTAGAAAATCCATACAGTAATACAGTAGGCCCTTATAGAGACAGTGGCTTGAACTTGTATTTGAAAACATGAGCAACACAGTGACCATCCAGCTACCATTTTGTTTCCTATTAAGACAATTAACAATTTGATGCAAAACAAAAACAAAAAATCAAACTATAGCTGGAAATGTGACGGTGCCTGCTTGAGTTTGTAGAAAGAGACATTAAGCCTCTCTTTCTCTATATGTTTTAAGAGCTGGAAGTGATTATTAGAAGACATATTGTCCAACCCCCTGCTCAAAGCAGAAATCTAGCAACTAGTATCCAACCTTTGAGTCTTTCCCTCAGTTCCTGTCTTTTAGCACACAAGTACATAATTCAGTGTAGGGACGCGGGTGGCGCTGTGGGTTAAACCACAGAGCCTAGGACTTGCCAATCAGAAGGTCGACGGTTTGAATCCCCGCGACGGGGTGAGCTCCCGTTGCTTGGTCCCTGCTCCTGCCCACCTAGCAGTTTGAAAGCATATCAAAGTGCAAGTAGATAAATAGGTACCGCTCTGGCAGGAAGGTAAACGGCGTTTCTGTGCGCAGCTCTGGTTCGCCAGAAGTGGCTTAGTCATGCTGACCACATGACCCGGAAGCTGTACGCCGGCTCCCTCGGCCACTAAAGCGAGATGAGCGCCGCAACCCCAGAGTCGGCCACGACTGGAGCTAATGGTCAGGGGTCCCTTTACCTTTACATAATTCAGTAATAATATTGTATCTCCCCTTGAAACTCAGCTTGCAAGGTCATGCCAAAGCAATGTACATAGCAAAATTGTGCATGCTGCACATTGTTGTTGACTGTGTTTCTACACTGAAACCTAACTGAGCAATGTACATAAAAAGAGGTGAAGGCAACTATTAGTATTATAACTGTCTGAATCACTTCTGAGAATCTTTGCTAGTCTTTGAAATGTTTTGTTTTCCTTCCAACCCCTTGAAATTTTGTTTTATCAACTTTTTGGCAGTCTAGAAGTAGAATCATGGAATTGTAGAGTTGGAAGGTACCCAATGGTCATCTAGTCAAACACCTGCAATGCAGGAAAAAGCAGACTTAGACAATATGAAGGTAGCTCAGTCAATATCTTAACAATGAGTTTTCAGCCTAAGTAGAAAGGTCACAGTTAGCATTCAAATGGGAGCCTATTGGTCCCTTATATAGCAGCTAGCATACATGAAGCAGAGTAAACAATATAATATCAGCCCTGGCAAACTACCATGCCGGCACAGAGGGTATGAAATATGCTTCCAGATTTCTACTTTGAGATCCCTGGCACTGTATAGGAACCTCCAATATTGCATGGGATTTTGCTTTGGTGATAACGTCTGGGCTTAGACTTAGACTTAAGATGACTTAGACTATTGACCATTGAAGCCCAGTATTATCTTCTCCGGAGTATCAGGGCCTTTCAACCCTGATACTCTGAGATCTGTTTTTGAAACTGGAAGCTCCAGGGACTGAACCTGAGGGCTGCTACATGAAATGATGAAGTCTGCCACCAGGCAACAACCTAATCTTTTTTTTTCCTTTTCTTTTCTTGCCTCGACAATTCCACATGGGGAGGAACCTTTAAATTCACTGGGAGCTTTACTTTAGGCGAAATATTAATGGCAATTCAACTTTTACTGTATATTCCTATTATTTCCTCAAAGTTTGAAAAGGAAACTAGCTTTCCCTTGAATATTAATGACTGGGTGAAAACTGTTGGCTGAATCATGAAGAAGCAGAAGGGGCAACCGTTTCCCCCAACTTTTTAAAGTTGCACCACATATAGAAATTCAACATATGCAGTTTTTCCAACTTAGATATGCTGTGGTAGGAAAAGGTGCACCTTTTGAACTTCTGCCTGTTGCATGAAGCGGCTTGTTTTTTTTAAAGAACTTATATTAGTGAAGAAGAAGAAGAGTTTGGATTTGATATCCCGCCTTTCACTCCTTTTAAGGAGTTTCAAAGCGGCTAACATTCTCCTTTCCCTTCCTCCTCCACAACAAACACTCTGTGAGGTGAGTGGGGCTGAGAGACTTCAAAGAACTGTGACTGGCCCAAGGTCACCCAGCAGCTGCATGTGGAGGAGCGGAGACGCGAACCCGGTTCCCCAGATTACGAGACTACTGCTCTTAACCACTACACCATACTGGCTCTCAGTGAAAGGATGGCAGCCAGGTAACAGCAGCCATTCATTTTCAAAGATTCACTTTTTTCATTGTCTTGGCTGTTCAGAGGCATTGATAACAGAGGTTGTACAGGGTTCCTTGATGGTGATCTGTTACTCTGCTGCTTCTCTCCAGTGCATTACTATGGGCTACACAGACAATTAATTGGCCATTGCACAAGGCAATCTGATTGTGTGAACTGTTTCTCATTCTGTCCCATCCATTCATCGTATTCTCTTGCCCCAAAGAAAGCTTTAAAAATGTAATGCTGACCGATAAATCTTTTTATAATACGATGTAGAGCCTATACTCTAATGAACAGATGTGAAAAATTACATGTTCCAGTGATGAAATAAATTGCCCTATTAACAGCTTAATCTTATTTCATCAATATTTGATTTGTAGCAATCACTGAGAATAAATGTGCCCATAAGCTCAGTGATTTTAAATTCCAACCCACAGTGCTACGTCCACTTTTTCATCAAAATGTCATTATTTCTGCATTGTTACCACTTACACTCTTAGACAGAAAGTATTTTAAAGAAACAAAATACTTTGACTCTAAAAAGTTTGTTTAGTGTAATAGTTCTACAACAACTATAGAACATTTTATATTTGAGTTTATAAGCACACACTAAAGATAAAGCCAGTGGTGTGTGAAATATTCATAGGCATACCTGTCAACCTTCCCTTTTTTTGCGGGAAATTCCCTTATTCCAGCGCCATTTCCCACTGCTTCCCACTGCTATCCCGGATTGTTAGATATCCCGTAGACAGTCCCCGGAACAGGTGAGGCTGCTGATCCCTTATTTTCGAGGGTCCCCGGGACAGGTGAGGCTGCTGATCCCTTATTTTCAAATCTGAAAGTTCACTGTTTTCAGTGAAGTTAACTATTTATTCAAGAAAACAGACATACAACAGCCTAGTGGTCTCAGCAACATTCCTCAGCAGGTCTTGCCCCTATGGAGCAGTTGCCAGTTTCTATGCTTTTATACTATTGCTTCCACACCTCTCTAAGGCTCCTCCTCTCCTGGATGTTTCCCAAGCAGTCTCATACTGCACATGCACACCTCTGACCTCTGTTCTGCTCTTCCCATTGCTCTGTGAGTTCTTGGAGACCAGGGGGGAGGGGGGCTTGCTGCAGCAAGAGAGGGCAGGTCTCTGAATTCTTCAGCAATTCCTTGACCACCCTCTCCTCTGCTTCAGCTTTGGAGTCTGAACTGCTCCCTGTCACAGGCTCTTCCTGCTCACTAAACCCTGTCACCCCTTCAGCACTTCCAGTCTTCTCCCTCTGACCTCTCCTCAGTGTCCCACCAGCAATCCCCTGCTCTTAGCTTTCCTCCTCTGGGGGTTCCCTGGCTGGTTCCTCTTAACACTCTTCTTCATCCAGCCAGTTCCTGACATTTAATGTGTTGAAGTTCCCTGGATTCCTGTTATTATTTTTCTGTGCTTTTATACTATTGCTTAAATGGGTTTTCTGCTTTGTTTTTTTATACTATGCACTTAGAGATTTTTGAAAGATTGAGCATTTTATAAATGCTTTTAAATTTAAAAAATAAATAAAAACTGGAAATGAGAGATGAAAGGAGGCCTTGCTGAAATCAACTGATGAAACGGAAAAAGTCACACACTCTGCAAATCAATGTTCAGTATAACGATTAAGGAACACATTCTACTCTTTGCTCAAATCCCAAGTGTTGTAATCTTACGTACATACCATTCATGTTGATGGAGCTTGTATAGCAGAAGTTCCCGATGGATCATATCCAACAGCTTTCTAACGAGCACATCAGGTGATATGAAAAATGAAAATGAAAAAGCTTAATTGGCTGAGAAGCGTTAGGAAGTGAACACATATTCATGGATAACAAAGATAATAATACAGCTCTGAATAAAGCACTGCTTAATGGCAGGATATTCTAAACACAAAGGATGCCATTAAATTGAGATCCAGGGTATTATAAACATGTACTTATTTAAGGTTTGTTATTGTGTAGATGCATTGCAGTTGCAGGTACCACAGAAGTTTACATAATAATAATAATAATAATAATTTATTATTTATACCCCGCCCATCTGGCTGGGCTTCCCCGGCCACTCTGGGCGGCTTCCAAAAGAATATTAAAATACTATAATACATCAAACATTAAAAGCTTCCCGAAACAGGGCTGCCTTCAGATGTCTTCTAAAAGCCTGGTAGTTGTTGTTCTCTTTGACATCTGGTGGGAGGGTGTTCCACAGGGAAGGCGCCACTACCGAGAAGGCCCTCTGCCTGGTTCCCTGTAACTTGGCTTCTCGCAGTGAGGGAACCGCCAGAAGGCCCTCAGTGCTGGACCTCAGTGTCCGGGTAGAACGATGGGGAGGAGACGCTCCTTCAGATATACTGGACCAAGGCCGTTTAGGGCTTTAAAGGTCAGCACCAACACTTTGAATTGTGCTCGGAAACGTACTGGGAGCCAATGTAGGTCTTTCAAGACCGGTGTTATGTGGTCTCTGCGGCCGCTCCCAGTCACCAGTCTAGCTGCCGCGTTCTGGATTAGTTGTAGTTTCCGGGTCACCTTCAAAGGTAGCCCCACGTAGAGCGCATTGCAGTAATCCAAGCGGGAGATAACCAGAGCATGCACCACTCTGGTGAGGCAGTCCGCAGGCAGATAGGGTCTCAGCCTGCGTACCAGATGGAGCTGGTAAACAGCTGCCCTGGACACAGATTTGACCTGTGCCTCCATGGACAGCTGTGAGTCCAAAATGACTCCCAGGCTGCGCACCTGGTCCTTCAGGGGCACAGTTACCCCATTCAGGACCAGGGAATCCTCCACACCTGCCCGCCTCCTGTCCCCCAAAAACAGTACTTCTGTCTTGTCAGGATTCAACCTCAATCTGTTAGCCGCCATCCAACCTCCAACCGCCTCAATCAATATGTAAAAGCTCAATCAATATGTAAAAGCCTATCAATATGTAAAAGCTTTTTACTTGCAGGGCTTATTAAAAAGAGAGGAGGGGAACTTTTTTGTTTAAAGGAATAATTTGAATATCTGAAATTTGATGTTTAAAAATTCAGGAGCTTCATCTGTTGAACTTTATAAAACTACCAAAATATACAATATAAATATCTCATTTTACTAAAGAAGTCTAGGCTAACATCACATCCTTTTGAAAAACCAACCAATATATCCATATTCAAAGACAAGAGACCTACTTAGAGGGGAGGAATGGACAAGCCAGAGATCTCTGAGGTTATCTTTGTGGGTTGGTGTATATTGCAGGTGCTGGCTGCATATTGCACTCACTTAAGTCCTTTGTTATTGCTCTTGGCCATCCTTTGACTCTGGTTTTTGGACCTTTCTGTGGAAGGCCTATTCTGTATTATGTATTCTAATCATAATTTTCCTTTAAGATTGCTGCTTTAACCTCTCTTTATTCCTTAGGTTTACTCCATTTATCTGGTTTTCATTCTTAGTGCATCCTGACCTTGCTATGGTTGCTAATGGTTGCCATATTCAGAGCCAGGAAGGAATTTGCCTGTAGACAAATTGGTCGGTCTAGAGGTTTTGCCTTCCTCATAGCAAATCATCACAACTTTGGGCAATGAAGGCATTGGGTGGAATCTAGTCTTCAAGCTTTGGGGTAAAGTGGTACATCACCCTGCCCTGAACCAGTGGCATAATCAGGGTACCCCGTTAGAGGGTTCTCAGTGGAAGTTTTTGTCCAGAAGTGAAGCATGGGGACAGATGGGCCATGGGCTTCTAGTGGCATCCTTAGGATGGCAACCTCAGTAGATCAACACCCTGGAGGAAGCCACATTCCTTGGCACGACACTGAAGTGGTTCTAGCCCTCTGGCAGGAGGCTAAAATGGATATACACCCAATGTATGAGCCAAAATTCAACCTACACCTGTAATCAATAAAGTTGTGGCCATTTTTAATCCAGCTCATTGTCTGTTTGAGTTTATTCTATCACGCCTCACATTACTCACAGCACAGGGAAGGGTGGCACTGTGACTACAACCATGTTATTCTTGTTTTGGATGCATTTGTCATAATGTTTCACATAACCCAATGTATTTTAGGAGCGCTGTATGTTTTCTAAAACTGAGACAACTATATAACACATAGCTGAGCGAATCACTTCGTTGACTAATTCCTGCATACAGTTATTATTTTTACATCTTAAAGTAGAATTTCTTGTTGCTGCTGTTTGCATAGTCATCCATGAGGAAGCCTTTAGCCTGAAATGCAACATGCACCTCTAAGGCTCTCCCTCTTTTCCGGGCTTCTTGAAATTGAGCGCTCTCAGGCCCTTTGTTGACAAATTTATATTGCTCTTTTCTAACCTCTCCCTCTAGTGGTAGGAAGGAATTAAATTGATTTGTTCTAGGAGGATCATAAATAAATTATCTAGGTATTTGGCACTAAATATTCATGAGGTTCAATTTTTGATATGAAAAGTTGGCTTAAGATTGCTTTCTGTGTTTGGGGGGAATTGTTTGTTGTCCTGATATGCTGCTGCTTTGGAACCACTCTGAAAACTTTCCCCCCCCTTTACTACATGATCCCACTCAATCAGGGATCATGCAGAGACCAGGATGTCATGACATCACATGACGACATCCCTAAGATCAAACAAAGCTCTCCCATAACGATGACTCTTAATAAGGGAACAGTCCCTTCTGCCCAGGCAATTGCTTGATGCTCCTTGCCAAGCACTGTAGTGACAGTTTCATTGCCTACCAGCAGCATACAATGGAGCTCTCATCACTTGTGGCTGCACTAGACTAGTTGGGAGATAATGCAACTGTACATCCTTTTAATAGGAATGCAGTACAGATAAACAACATTCATAGCCAGACAGATTCCCAAATCATAGGAGCATACCAAACAACTTTATAGCCAGGCTACTTTTCTAGTATTGTCATGCTCTGACTGGCAACAGCTCTCCATGGTCCTGGGTAGAGATATTTCTCATCATCTATAGATCCCTCTAATTGTAGGTAGCAGGATTTGAACATGGAAGCTTCTATGTGGAGGAAATATGTCCTAATGCTGACCAATGAGTTTCACTGCATTGTTTCATTGCATTATTTTTAACGGGATGTGACTTCAGATGTGCCATTCACAATCACCAATGCCCATTGGATCAGGGGAGAGAACACTGGCCGAGTTACATCCACAAGAGGAGCATATTCCTTCTTCCAAACACTCACTTTTCTGTAATTTGTGTTGCAGTCTTTTAAATGAAATGATAAAATAGGAAAAATCAACAAAAGAAGAAAACAATTGAGTGTGGTCAGGTATAAGCCATTGTATAAGGAACTGGAATACTCTTTTAGCGCTGCTCATTATATATTTAATAAAATAATAACTGTAAGAATAGTAAAAAAAGAAAGGGGGAATCACCCAAGGGTGGGTGTACAGTGTGTGTTGTTTTTGGTGGGGTGGCTATATCTTATCTTTCTATCTATCTATTAATTGCCCCTTTAAGGTCAGCACTAGAATTTTATTCTACTAGGTGATTGGCTAATAGTAATGGAGTAAAAATAGTTCAACTAGATAGATAGATAGATATTATAAATAATAATACTAAATTAACCTTCCTAATAATCATAAATTAATTAACCTAATGCATCGCCTGTATTAATTTAATAGAAGGAACTAACAAAGTTGCCTGTATCCACAGCTGGCAACACCCTCCTCAACCATTACTGAAGAATAAAAACTATGCACAACTAATGATTATTAACATTGTTTCCCCAGTTTAATGTCTACTTCCAGTTTATTTACATTGTTGTTTTCAAACTCTTTCTGTCTTTCAGGTAAACAGTGTAAGCACAACCAGAAGCTGCACCAGAAGTTCACATTACACTGCTTGAAGAAGGAACATATGTTCTCAAGTAAACTTAGTGCTGTACAAAAAGAAACGCCTTTTTTTTTTTTTGCAATGTAACAAGCTTTATTAATAGTCTTACAATACATTACATGTATATATAGTACATCTCGTAGAGTAAATTGAAAAAGAAATGCCTATTTAAAACTCTGCATTTATTTTCCACAGCTGTTCTCAATAACTACATCCCCTGGAAATTACAGACATAGCTAGTCAAAGATGGAAGCATTTATCCCATTCCAGAGTTCATTTTGTCCATGCAACCAGGGTCCATGACATGTATATCTCTATGGAGCAGACACCTAACACACATAAATAATTTCAGATATCCTACTGATACTACTTGTCAGGCTCCCATCCCAAATCACTATGTCAGCAACTCTTACTGGTAAGCAAGGAAGAGTTCTTTATTCAGGCTAAGAGCAGTACAGGCTCAGTAGGAAACACAAGGCCAGAAGTCAAGATTCCAAGATTCAAGAACAAAGAAAGAGGTTCATAATGGGAGCTTTGAAGCTGTCTTGACAGTTGACATGTTTCTCCTCCCAAGCTTTTAAAGATGTGGTAGAGTGAGCTCCCTCATGGGACACGGTCACCCTATAAATATGCTGTACATGCACTCAATCAGGGCAGATGCACCTGGTCCCACCTGTGAAGACAGCACCTGGTTCACAATAACGACTGTATCTTGCCCTCTGCCTCCAGCTCCTGTGCCACTTCCTCCTGTTCAGTCCCTAGTCAAAGTCCTCCCCATTCCCGGATAAGGCAGAGGAGCCAGCCAATCTGCTTCTCTCTCTCTGACATCTAGAGTCACAAAGAGAGGACATCTCTTTTTTGAACCTGGATTCCAGCCCCCTATCTGTACATTTCCTTCGTTTTCATCCTGGTCTGTGTGAGACTGATGGAGCTGAAGGGCACATGACACTTATGGACATTTACTGTATGGACATTTAGGTGCACTCTTTCTAAAGCATTTGTTACGGCTTCCATCTGCCCAATAAAAGGCACACAAAGCTTCTGCCGAGGCAATATTGCCTTACTTTGCAAAACTTTGATATGTACAAGATGCACAATTTTGAGGTGTACAAGTCACAGCTCAATATTCCTTTTAAAATCTCTAGCGAACTAATAGATAAATGTGAAGACACAATTTTAAAAGTCAGATGTTGTTCATCAGCTGTGACACATTTGTCAAACCTGTAATTTCCCCAATACTTACTATTTTAGTTGTTGGCAATATCTGATGAAGCTAACATATGCATTATATTTTAGCACATTTTAGTTTGAGGATTTCACTTCTCTTCACAGTACACATCGCATGCATCTGACTCACTTTGACTAGAATAAGTACTTCCTTTAGAGAAAATGGAGCAGATCATTGGCTTGATTGCTCATGGAAGTGAAGTTTTTTCCAATAAAAATATTGTGCAATTGAGTTAAGGACATTCCCTTTTCTGTACAGTAAAGGAAAATGATTGCCATAATAGTATTACTCACCTGACAAATCAGATTTGGTCCTGAATAACTGATTGAGAATCATTATCTTTCAAACAAAAGGAAACAAATGACATTTTCCTGAATATTACACTGTAGCCAGAAATAAATTGTATATGAGTCAGGATTGGAATTTAGAGAAATCAATTGGCAAACCAAACTGTTACAAACTAAGAGCCAGTTCATATATCCAGCATGCATACTTGCAGTTCTCCACACTCCCCTAGAGAAGCCCACCTCGTACCCACACTGCTGTCTTTTGGATATCAGATTAAGACATTTCTGCTTTTCCTTGGTTTGTAGACAGTGTTAGCCATACTCAAAGTAGATCCATTGAAATTACTGGGCATGACTAACTGAGGTTCATTAATTTCAATTGGATATATTCTAAGAATTTAGCTGGATAAATCTCCCAGTTTTAAATCCTCGCAGTACGGTTGGTGGTTTTAATGTATAGAATTTATTAGTGTTTTAGTTCTGCACACAATATAATGTTCTGTTGTGTTGGTTCTGTATTGCTATATTAGTTGTCTCTTAAGTTTATTGTAAATCGATAGGACTTACTTCTGAGTAAATATGGATCAGGTTGCAATCTGATGGGTATTCTGAAATTTGCTATCTGTTCACTTTAATGAAGTGGGTTGCTCCCCTTGTAAGGAGACATGTCTATAGAGCTTTCCTCTCCTAGGAAGTATATATCATGGGTGCTCAATGAGAACATTACCACTCCATCTGTCACATGTAAGATGGAGCAAGCTTGTTTTCTCCTGCTCTGGAAGGTAGGACCCAAACCAATGGCTTCAAGTTACAAGAAGGGAGATTCTGACTAAGCATCAGGAAGAACTTTCTGACAGTAAGAGCTGTTTGACAATGGAATGGACTCCCTTGGAAGGTGGTGGACTCTCCTTCCTTGGAAGTTTTTAAGCAGAGGTTGGATGACAATCTATCATGGTTGCTTTAGTTGAGATTCTTGCTTTGCAGGGGGTTGGACTAGATGACACTTGGGGTCCCTTCCAACTCTACTATGAGTCTATGATTCTATGAGTACATGCATATCCTGCCTTTCTTCCAAAGAGTTAAAGACAGCATACATGTTTCCCTTTCCTTCCTCCTCACTTCCCATTTTAACCTAACAACAAACTCTGAGTGAGAGGGGCTGGTCCCAGGTCACCCAGCGAGTTTCGCAGCTTAGTGGCGAATGTGATTTGACTCAGTTTCCCCAGTTTCAGTTTGACACTCTAATCACTGCACCACACTGGTTCTTAATCACTTGGACTGAAGTGACAGTCAAGACATTCAGGTCTTGTTATTAAAGAACTTGGAACAGCAGTAAAGAAAATGCCCTAAATATATTTTCACTTTGGGGTAAAGGGAGAGGGAGACCAGATATAAACTATAAACTGTAAAAGGCACAACAAATCTCTTCTAGAGAATTCCAATATTACAATTTAAAATATTAATGTTTGAGCCTCTTGCAGGCTTTCTAAAATAACTCTATAGGGAAGCTAGTTTCTGTTATTATTTCTTTCCCAAAGACATGCATTCCAACATTTATGGAAGTTAATTTTCTAGATTGAATGGCTGCACAATCACAAATGAGTTCCAAAGTTTTGACATCTTGTAGCTAGGTCTTAATTTGAGACATAGCCCAATGCCACATCCTGTAGGCCTGGCTCCAAATGACAGTGCCCAACCTGAGAAGCAAGTGATAATCAGGAGGATTACTGTAATCCAGGTGCATTTTCCTCATCACTGAGCATTCAGAGTTACCCCCATAGATCAGGAAACAGACTGGAGAGCCTCTTCTCCAAAGCAGTGGTCCTACAGGGATGTGCTTTAACAAGATATAAGGTGACACAGAATCAAGCCTTGAACCCTAGTTTGCTCTTTATAACTAATTACAGATACGCACACGAGATGCAACATGAATCAGAACAATTCGGATTGCTATGTACAATTCCTTAAGTTCTCGCATTGATCTTAACTGAAGAGTAGCTATACTATTTGGCTGTGTACAGTAGACACAATACATTTAAACCACACCCACAAGAATCCTGGGACCTGTAGTTTGTTAAAGGTGCTGGGATTTGTACCTCTGTGGGTGTAGAATACTGTACATCTCTCAGAACTCTTGCGGGGTGTCCTGAAATTAACTCACATTTCTTTTTATTTTTTATTTTTTCCAATATATTGGCTATCAAAAGAATCTCTCTCAGCTTTAGTGTATGTTCATCAACAACCCAAAGTCGTTCCATGAGATTTGTCAGCAATGAGCCTTATTGCAACAAGAAATAGCAATTAGAGCTGCATCCTTCCAATAACAATAATAACTCTAGCCTCACAAAGGACCCTTGATGATCCCTCATTTTGAAACAAAAGTAACAGCTTTTGTGAAGCAAAAGTAATAACTTAGTGATTTATGTGCATTGAAAGAAAGGGGGAAATGGTGCAAATTAATCTTTCAGGAAGTTACCATATTATCTTTGTGTGTTGTTTACGGCTACAAGCGCTATCATATTTTAGAGATAACTCACCAGAGCTTTTCTATGAACAAAGCAGGGGATTTGTGGTTAAACCTTGTAAAAATGCTGTTCACACTTAGTTGATCATATTTCTGTGAACGTTCCAAACTTGGAATGCTCGCATTAGGACTGAAATAAAGTCATTGGACCAGTCACACATTGTCAAGTAATTGTTAAGTGTTTGAAGTGTTAACTTATTAGAACTGGGTGCACTACAGAGATTTCCATTATTACCAAAAAAAAAAAAATCAAAGCTGGTTAACTGTTGTGGTGAAGCAATGACATTAAAAATTCTAAATAATTGTAATGAATTATTTAACGCCACAGGGTCCCCATTAGAACAGAAGCTTAATTGGGGAATACAGTGGTACCTCAGGTTAAGTACTTAATTCGTTCTGGAGGTCCGTTCTTAACCTGAAGCTGTTCTTAACCTGAAGCACCACTTTAGCTAATGGGGCCTCCTGCTGCTGTTGCGCTGCTGGAGCATGATTTCTGTTCTCATCCTGAAGCAAAGTTCTTAACCCGAGGTAATATTTCTGGGTTAGCGGAGTCTGTAACCTGAAGCATATGTAACCCGAGGTACCACTGTACAATAAAAAGATACACTACTATCTAAAAAGAGGCATTATTGGCTTCATCCAGCAATATCTGAATGCAGTCTAACAATATGCTAAGAACTGAACTTTTATTACCCAATGGGTAAAATAGAATGGCTTTCTGCAATAGAACTACATAGAAAAAACAGCATGAAATCTAGTTTCTCCCACCTCAGTGATGTCTCTAGACCAACTTAATGTCATTCCTGATGCCATTACAAGGTGCAAGGAGCTGTTTAGGAAGCAAGTAGGGATTCCCTTGCACTTGATCCAGAATCTGCAGTTAGTACAGAATGATGCAGCTCAATTGCCAACAGGAAGGAGACCCTGTTAGCATTTTAGACCTCTGTTCAGAGATCTCCACTGGCTGCCTCTTTGCTACCAGGCCAAATTCAAGATGTCACTATTAGTATATAAAGCCTTTAACAGCTTGGAACCAATTTACTTGCAGAATTGCCTTACCCCATATATGAACACACAACCACTTCATACTGCAGAATTCACACTGTTATAGACACTACATAATACTTGTTCTGCACTTGTAAGAAATTACCTGGCACAGAAATTTTGTAAAATAAAAATAAAAAGCAACAACACTGGCAACTATGACTACACACAAAGACAGCACAGAGTCTGGAAAAATAACCTAAGTCAATTGCCAGCTGCCACTAGGCTACTGCTACCAAATGTTATCGTGCCCACTCACAATCACAAACTCTTTATTTACTTGAGCTATTTATGTAGTGCTCTTTATAATATTTATCACCAGGTGGGTTACAATGCTAATTAAACATTTTCACATCTTACACAGTAAGATATGCAATGGAACATTTAAACTTCACAACCAAGCTGATGGTCTTGCAAATGTCAGCATCTGCACTGTCATGTTATATTTTGGTGCTTTAAATAGGTCACAGATTATTCCAGATGATGAAAAGCTTTGGAACAATTCTGTGCTGTTGTAATCTGTGCTGTTATAATCCAGCAAAAACATGAAATGTCTCTTTAAAGCAGATATAGACAACAATGACAATTGCAACTCAGAGCCTTTCCACAGAACCACTGAGTGCATGCCCCTTCATTAATGACTTCTTCATTGACAATGGTATGAGCTACCCAGAAGCAAGGGAAGGACATCCTGGCCTCTGTCACTACTGAAAGCACAAAGGAGGTTATCATTATGCAATCCTTCCCTCCCCAGAGAAGCTCCATAGCAAGGTGGATATTACCATGTCCCCAGATATTGATGAGAGAATGAGCAGATGCAGCAACACTGAGATTGAATTTTGTCCTACAAGGAAGAATACCATCCCAAAAGTCAGCTGCACGGAGAATGAAAAAATGAAGGCAAGGTCATTCTGGCTGGCAAAAGGGCGAAGAGCCAGTTAGATGCAGCAACCAGCTCCATCCCAGGAAGAAATCCAGTAATGGAAGATCAGTGCAAAGACCTGTTAAAATCTCTCATGCAGACATTAACAAACAGATCTTAGTGCTTTCCTTCAACTTGCTTTTCTTTGCACATGTTGCCTTGTACATTACTTTTTTTAAAGTCTGAGGGCAGGGTCTGCAGCTTATTTCCATTCTACGTTCAGCACCTGCCAGCAGAATTGTTGCTTTCAGAGTCAACTAAGAAACATCATTGGTCTAGAATGCAAGATAAAAATATAATCTTATAACAGGGAGAGAGATTCTGTTTTTCACACACACACAACACTACTTTTGTGAATACCCCAAAGGTGCCCCTTTCACCAAATACATTCCATACAACAATCCTAGAAGAAAGCAATGAATAAGCTTTTACATTTCATAAGTCTGCCCTGCGAGAATGAAGAAATATCTGTAATAAATGTGTTGACTTGCGGACTCTGAGCTACAAAAAGTGGAAGCCAACACATAACCTGGTCCCATGAAAACGTTCTCCTCAAGAGTATTTTGGTAGTGCAATCCCTTCAAGTGTATAATACCAACAGCGAAACTTTGGTGCTTGTTTGAGCAGCAAGACCTTAACCGCCAGATTATTGATTTATTACGTTTCTACCCCTTTTTTCTGCCAAGGAGCCCAGAGCATGCAATGCCCATTGATCCTTACAACCACCCTTACGAGGTAGGCGAGACTGAGAGACGATGACTGGCCCAGGATCACCCAGCAGACTTCAAGCCTGGGAGGGGGATTTAAACCAAGATTTCCCTGGTCACAGTCCAACAACGACACCTCAGTGACTCCTAGTGACTAACCTACAGATTAGGGCAAGGCTTTCCTTTTGAGAAGTACTCTGAGCATGTACGGAGCGCGCTCCAAAGCAACCACAAGCAGTAGGGCTCGGGGTCAGATCCTCCACCCCCTATGCTCTGGTGCTTTCCTTTCGGAAAGAAAAGAAGCAGCTATATTATAGCTATAGGCGCGAGAAGCAGCAGCAGCAGCAGCAGCAGGCGGCGACGGTACTTTAGATAGACCTCGCCGCCCCTCCCAGCCTGCTCTACTACTACAGCCACCATCCCGGGAAGGAGCGGCGCTGAAGGAAAACGAGGGCGCGGGCGAAGCCGACGAGTCCTTCTTCTCCCGCTTCCAGCGCCCCGCTTTGCCCGAGGAGACCGAGCGCTTTCCGCTGCCGTTTGTCTCCCGTCTCTTCCCGTTTGGCGCCGCGACAGCCCGCATCTCTCATAATCCCCCCCCGGCGGAGACTCGACAAAGCACCGCCGAGCCAACCAGGCCTCTCTGACGCCCTCCTTGCTCTCCCTCAGAGGGCGCCTTCGCAGCGGCCGGGCGCCAAGAGGGGCAGAGGCAGGTAAATGGGGGCGGGCGAGCGCGCGGGAGTTTCTGTCAGGCACTGCCGGGCTGAGGAAGAGGAGGAGGCCTAGTCGCTGTGGTCGAGGAGACAAGCAGGCAGGCGCCTCCTCCTCCTCTTCCAGCCTTCGCGTGAGGGCAGAGGGAGAAGGGGGTGTCGCACGAAGGCTGCCTCTCTCTTGTGGGTGTAGAATAAAGGGGCGCCTCGTCTGAAGGGGGCACAGCAGCCAGGACGGTTCCGCGAGGGAAGCCGCATGGAAAGGAATGGCAGCGGCATCGCCCTTCCCCACACGACCCCCTGTCAAACAGTAGGGGCGGCGGCAGCAGGAGGAGTAAAAAATACAGTATGTGTGTGGAGAGAGAGAGATGAGAGAAGCTTTTCCCCACCTGTTTCGTAGGAAAGGTGGAGGGAGGAACCATGCTCCCTTTTCTACATGTATTTCATCTGAAGCGCCTTTTTGATTTCGAGGGAGTTAACTTGAAAGCACATTTAGAATCGCAGCCTTTTTTTCTGGATTACGTTTCAGTCATTTGTAAGCGAAAAGTGCCTTTTCTTGAAGGTCCAGCAGTTGGGCAGGAAAGCATGCTGCTTCTTTTAAGGAGCGGGGGCACTACTTAAACTGCTAAATTCCACAGGGATTTATGATGCTTATTATTCTTAATTTCCATTTATAGACTGCTTACAACATGAAGATTGCAAGGCAGTACAATAAATAAGAAAATACATAAAGAATATGCATTTACATAAATACCATAGCAATATAAATCAAGTCAGGAGAGCATTACCAGGCAGTATAATGTAAGATTTCAATTACCATAACAAACATTATTCATACAACCACTCACCTAATCTCACACATCATCTATTCTATAGAACCAGTACAATCATTCACTACCTAAAGTATTATCTCTGTCATCGAACCATTCATAAATAAACCACTAATGCTCAATAATATTACAACCCACACACAGGAGATCCCTGCCAAGTACACACATGTAAGATACTCTCCCCATTTCTGAAGCACTGTTGGTGGAGAATTCCTACAGCTCAATTCTAAAAGGTCCACTAAGGCTGTATCCTATACCCACTTTCTTGGGGGAAGGAAACACTGAACACAGTGGGATTTCCCTTTGAGCAGACGTCTATAGTATTGTGCTCTGTGTGTGTGCTATGTAGTTTTATGTTAGATTTATGTACCACCTTTCAGTAGGCATGTTCATGGCACTAGCAAAATTACATCTGAGCAATAAGATTTTTCATGATGGAAACAAATACAATGTCTGCTGCTTAAATACACAGTTAGGCGTACTTCAAGATATTCAAGTTTTCTGTAAGCATTAGCATTTTTCATTGTATCCAAACATAGAAGAGCTAAGCATACTCTCCTCAAGCAGGACATGAGTAAACTTGACTAATAAAAGAATTTCATGAACTTTTTTTAAAGGAGCAATGCACCACAAACTCTGGAGCAAATGAGAGGACACATTAAATACATGTATGCATTTAGCATGATTTGTTTTTACTTTACAAATAACAATTGTTGGAGAAGAGTGGAGGTCAGGATCGGGACCACAACACTCAGGAGGGATAGTCCTTTCCCACTGTGCAATTGATTCTGATGAAAATCTCTCACACACACTGTTCCCAAGCTGCTATTGACACCAAATAAAAAGCAAATATATCAAATGCACATTCACATTTACCATACCATCTCATTTTGTCCTTGAAAGCTAAGCATCTTTTAGTGGCAGTTGAATTCCATAATTTGTTTCTAGATTAAATCCTTGTGGATTATGGGCCTCACCGGTTGGAGGAGTATGGTATGGTTGGTATGGTATGGGTATGGGAGTTTACAGAGTCTACCAGAGGTTAACTAGAGGCCTGACTCTTACTGACTGTGCCAGGTGTTTAGCCTTGAAACACTGAAAAATGATGATATTTCATTATGTAACGTTTTGTTTTTGTCAATCATAGTTGACAAATTTGACAATGGGGACTAGAAATCTAACTAGTCATGGTTTAATATAGTTTAATACTTCAGGAAAAACCTTGACTCAAAGCAACAGTCAGAGGGAGAACATGTTGCTGCAGAGCAAAGCCACAATTGTTCTAAAGCAACATATTTCACCTGTCAGAAATACATTCCTGTAAGCAGTCCTATGGGACTGCTTATGTGAATGAAGAACTGAAGTTTCCTTTTAGCTTTGCAATCAGGTAAAGATTTTACACTGAGTTACCTCTTCAGGTATTGAAAACTTGAACATGGTGATGATGCCGGGGATGTGGTTATGGGGCATGATGGAAATTCAGCTGCACCCTGCATCTGTTCAAGGAATCTGCATAGATAGCAGAAGTATTTGTTCAAATTATTTGGACCTTTGCAAAAAAACAAAACAAAAACAACCAAGAATATGACTGTCATTAATATGACTGTTCTGTTAATGGGAATAAAATAGAGAATAAACTTTACTTTCCTCAGATCCATTGTAAATTCAGAGATGGAGCAGGGGAGGAAAGTGGGGAAAGGAGGGCTAAACAGATTTCACAGGAACAAAACCACTCCCGCTGATTTTGGTAGCAATACTGTGCAGAAGGTACACATGAGGAAATGAATGGGAGCAAAATGCAGTAACTAATAAAAGTTAGCATAAAGTACTCTGATAAAACACAGGATAAAAGATCATAAGTAGTGGCATCAATACAAGTGGGTCTGAGTAGTAAGTGCATTGTGAAGAGTCAAGAAGCGATTAATATGGATAAAACATCAGCTAATGTGGATTGACCCATAACTTTGTACATCAGAATAAAATGTAAGCTTCTCTTTCTCTGAAAGAACTGGTGAAAAAACACAGAATACAGAAACATAATAAAGTATGCTATTTTTATTTGATTCTAACAGATATACAGTTCAAAGAACCAGAGTTAAGATGACTAGCCAAGGTCAGGGTGACATGCTTCGTTGCTGGAAGTGTCGAAAATACGTAGCTAATTCTGATTGCCTCATAAACGACCAAACTACAGATTTGGTCTTTGAAGTAAGTAAAAAATATATTGTTTCTTCTAGGCCATTACTAGAATATGTATTTATAATTTAGGAGTCCTGGAATTAACATGTTCAAAATTGCACAGTTTATATACTACTGAATTAAGAAGAACTGGGTTATGGATATTCACCCATTGGACAATTTAAACCATTTGTTTATCAAATGGAGCATTATTGGTATTTTTAGTATTCTGAAGTACTCTTTCATATTTGTATTGTATTGTATTGTAGATGTCATATATGCCCAGTGCAGAAAACAGGGAAGTAAATCACAATACCGGTTTTGTGCTGTTGTACTGGATCTGTGTTCTCCATAGCCATGAGTTACTTTGTAGAGAGTGTGTTCAACTTTACAAATTTTCTACAACTCTGCAGCTCAAACTAGTGTAGTAAGTATTTATTTTGATTTGTAGTTATAATTCAGTGCTATTAACTTGCTAACCCTAAAATTTTAGGAAAGCAAAAATATTAAAGATATCCGCAATGCTAAATTGCCTAATCTGTATGATTTATAAGGATAGTTTAGAGAGATTCACCATTGCAGCAGGGAGCAGAACAAGGGCTCGCAAGGTTAAACTTCTGAAAAGTATAAATAAGCTTAAACTTGTAATAACTGTTTCGACTGCACAGGAAGATGAATAAAGGATCAGTAGGCACCAGAATTATTACATTATTTTACAGTCAGAAAGGAATCTGTTTGGCACAGACCTTTTAGGTGATGGGGTGCTTTTCACTGTGATAAAATAATTTCAACAACTATTATTGTTATTGCTATTGGTAACCCAGCACACTTAAATCCTATTGAAATCAATGTAAATTAAGAGCACAGGTTTCTTTTGAATGCACCTATTCTCTTTAACAGTGCTGTTTTCTGTTCAGTTGCTTTCACAATTACTTAGAAGTGCTATGGAAATCCGTCAGATTAGTTTACAAATAATTGTGGCATTGGTCCATTGCTCAAGCCCGCTTCCTCTACAGCCTATCATTTCTCAACCCATTAAAGAATCTCAGATAGGGGAACTAGGAAAGAGGCCTTGGAGAGCTGATACTAGATTGAATGGGCAGGCCTGGGCTCGATGGACCGATGGTCTGAGACCAGGCATCTCCAAACTCAGCCCTCTAGATGTTTTGGGACTACCATTCCCATCATCCCTAACTAACAGGACTAGTGGTCAGGGATGATGGGAATTGTAGTCCCAAAACATCTGGAGGGCTGAGTTTGGGGATGCCTTGTCTGAGACAGTTTCAGGCAGCTTCATAAATTGTTAATATATCATCATAATTCACTAGCTAAGGAAATCATTTTCATTAAAAAATGGGAAGTTTAAATCTTGTCTTAAAAAAAACAAAATACAAAATGCATTTGTGCAGTTGCTGTCATTTTGCAGCATCAGTTAATTATCAAGCAGTGGTTTCCACTAGCTCCCCTGCTGATGTCTTTTATAATGCTGGTTCAGAGAAGAGCAAAGTAAAAGTGCACCATGCTGATTCTTCATCCGCAATGTAATGCTGTGTTTGCCAGGAAAGAAAATAACATCATTTTTTTCAGTTTTGTATTTCTAACTTAAACATAGACTATTGGGAGCAGCTTTATTCTTAATCTGGATTATGAAACTGGATGATACATGCAGAAAAAGAAATTCACATTATTTTCCTTTCCTTATATAGCAACCCTTTAAAAATTTCCACCTCTTAATGATTTGAAATAATCTGTAAGGAGAATCTGGATGGTGTTTTTGTATCTGCTTCTAGCTTAACTGTAGTGTCTCCTACACATTCTTCAGATGTTATAACATGATTCAGCATAACAGGGCTAGGCAAGCAACCCAATGCACTATAACATGGTTAATAAAGACAAACAGATGTCAAAAGTTTTGCATCCATCCTACCTTGCAACCCAGTGCAAGAACAGGCAATATGTGGCTTGTGAATTATCTGTACTTTTTACAGCTTTTTATGTGAGTAGCAGGATATTTTTAGGATTCCAGTTTTGACAGTGTCAAAAGCCATCTATTTCTCTTGTTTGACCAGTTTCAGCTAAGAAATAAGCCTTCAAATTCATCAAGCTTCTCCAGTCAAAAGAACAGGTCTGCTTCCTACACTTGTTATAACCAAGGCTTTGTGCAGTGCATGATTTTTTCCACAATATGTTATCAGGCACAGAATTCAGTACCTCAAGTTTCTCAGGCTTAGTCTTTTTTAAAAGCAAGTGATTGGCCCTCATGATAGTGAAGATGTGCTTGAAAGTGTGAACGAGAATCTGGTGAACTCTCAGAAGCTTTCTGAAAGCAGCTGATGGGTGGAAGAGGTAGTTTTATTGGCCTGCATAGTTTAAAAGGGCTTTTCTACACACACACAAACAGAACGGGCATTATTTTGTAGTACATACGTTTTTAAATATAGAGTGTACATAACACTTAGGTCCTTCCATCTCCTTCCAGTCATCTGACTGGCCACAAAAGCACCAGGCTATGATGCAGTGGTCCCTCTAAAAGCAGCAAACGATAATAATGTGTCTTAAAGGTGTTTATTCATAAAGGTGAGATTATTTTTACACAATATTATAATTTACTATCAATGCTTTTAAAGTCTTCAGTACCATCCAACTTTTATGTTACATTAGAAGGATTTTTTTTAAGCAATTCTCAAACATCTCGTGCTGGATGGGTAATAGATATCTGATATCTCACAAGTTTATTCTCTGTGACTTTTTTCAAATTAAAAAGAAATGTGTACCTTGATATGGCTGTGGAGAAATGGAGGAGAAGAGGCTCAGTAAGACTTGTCCAGAAATACAACACCTACACATATGCACACATCCCTCCAAAGAAAGTACAGTACTCTATAATTTATCTGCATATTCTGTCACTTGCTGGGTAGACTATGCCTGCAGTAGTAAGCTTAGAGGAAACTGCTTCCCCACCACCACACACACACGAAGCACATTATGCCCTTGCTGCATGGTCTACTTGCTATCCTAACTAAAGCATGCATGCACTGCAGAGGGCAGAGCTAGAAAGTAAGACTGCCATCAGGACTATCTGATATGCACACGTTGATCTGCTTTGCAGAGAGAGGGGTAGGTGGACTTTTAAAAGGATGTTTATTTGTCCATTACACCTTTCTTGTCTGACAAGGAGCCTATATACATTAAGAGGGTGTGAAGAGGAAAAGACGCTGAGCTCCAGTGAACAGATCACAGTGCATTCAAGTTGGGTTTCAAAGAAAATGCGCACATCTCTAAATATGTATCCAACTATGCTACGACTGGACCTAATGCATCCTATAAGTCAATATATATTCCACTTGCCAGAGGGATAAAGAGAGGGGGGTCTTTTCTCGCATTTGCAGAAGTCTGGATAAGATAAGAAACAGCAGGGCAGAGTCACTGTGAGCCAGGTGGAACAGTATCTGCATTTATGTCAAGTCTTTTGTTCTTTCCAAAGGGTTTGCAAGATGTGGCTTCCTCCCACTGTCCCTGCAGTTTGGAGAAGAGAAGAAACAGCAGGAGAGAGTCCACTGATTTCTTTCCTTCTCCACACTGCAGGACAAATCAGATAACTCTCCCAGAAACAGTCTGCAAATGATAGAAGATTTGGTGTTCAGTGGGAAAGAAGGAAAGTTGATAGCAAATACTGTCAGAGGCTGGTTAACAAGCCAGATTGAGGTTTAAGGACATGTATGAAACTCACAGTAGACTCAGTTTGGACATTTGACCGTCAGTAAAGTTTTAGTCACGTTACCAGTCAAATATTTTAAACTATGAGCTTCATTAGAACAAGAAAAAAGATACTTTAATTGCCTGCAGGTTTCATGCTTTTGATAATAACAAAAAAAAATTGTGGCATTGTAATGTTTCTCAGTAACAGTTATATATAATGACTTACTGTAACTTTTAATATATTTAGGTAAGGTTTCTATAAATGTGAATAATTTACCAAACATCTAGAACGCCAGGGTCAAGCACCTGACAAGCCATGTTGAAGATTCATTTCTGACTGCATTTATGTAGCAATGGGGCCAGACATCTTTTTTTCATGCATTGCCCCTGTGAGGTGCAAAATATCTCCATATACCATACCCCATGGAGGCATATGCAGTCCAATTTCAACCTGGATCACATTTCTGTTCTTTGTAGCTGCTCTAAGTAACTAACACTCTAAATTGATTTTGTGTGGCAGGGTGGTATTGTTTTGGTTTGTTACTATTGTATGTATTTTTGTGTTTTTATATTATAAACCATCCTGTGATCCTCTGATGAAGGGCAGTATAGAAATTTAAGAAATAAAATAAATAATAAAATAAACCTGTAAAGAAGAAGAGATGAAAATGCAACCACACCACCTTGAAAACTTGTTGTAAGTGCCTTACACACAGAGAGAGAGAAAAACAGATTTAAGGGACATACTTTACACCCAAATTGGCATGAATCCGGTTGCACCCTATCTGTCCATTATTAAGATCCTGGAGGGCTTCTGCTAACCAGAGCAAACATTACTGTGCCAGATGGACAAATAGTCTAACCTAGTATAAGGCACCTATTATCATTTACTCACATTCAAGTGGGTTAAGTTAGGGCTGAACTTTGTTTGGTAAACATCATAACTAAACAGGGATTCCCATCACAATATTAGCTCCCTTCCTCCCCTTCACCAGACTTTTCAAGCAACTTATTTATACCACTGGTAAGAAAGAAACTGGAGATTAAGCAAATAATACAGAGTGTTAAAGCTTTTTTCTTCTGCTTAATATTTTAGGACTTACATTGGAGACAGGGCTTAGCTACACCCTAAAATTTCATTTTCATATGCTGCAGTGAATTCAGCCTTGGGAGTGCAACTGTTGGCACTAAATTGTGATTATTTAGAGTGCACTTGATAAAGCTTTTAGTAGCATTTAAATGTCATACTGCAGTATAGCCATAAGATAAATTAAAATATTTTTCATTACTTTTCTTGTTTTTTCCTACTTTCTTTTTGTTACTGCCATAGTAAAATAAAGCCAAGGCTCCAATAATCATATGTTTTAAAGCCAAGTATTCTTCACAATATTATTTTCAGTATAAAAATTTGCCCTGCTCAAAGAACAAAATTAAAATTAGATAAGTTTATGTTTGGAAAATAACAACAAAAAATTATGGGGGGAAATGGAATTTAAAGTACCCCAGTGATTGTACAAATGTTATTCAATAAGTAGGTTTTCTCAGAATTAAACATGACCCCATTCATTTAAATTGTGTTAGTTTTAAACATTTTTTTTTCTTATTCTTGCAACCCTTTTATAGTTTAGAAACTAATGCCATTATCTTTAAACTGGTTAAACAAGACTGATTAAACTGAAACACGTTTTTATTACATTAGTAACAATGAGACTAAACTGGCTTGGGTCTATAATTTGTCAGTTCAACTGCTTTCGGAATTGGGGCACGTATCTGTAACCCTAAACCTTTCAATTTTCTGATGAAATGCTGTATTTATTTGAAACAATTTATTTGCTATTTTCTGTTTACACATTGCACAATGCCTATTTTCAAAGAAAGAAAACGGCACCATTTATTTAAACAATTGCACAACTTGCTTTTATCCGCCATTGTTTCCTAAATGTATAGTGTATTCTTGGAAAAGCTTAGTGTCTTATAATACTGATTGCATAAATACCATCATAACAATGTATTTATAAAATTTCATAATTGATATATTAATAAAGGTTTAACAATAATCTGTCGGGAAAGAATCCAACCACAAGATTTGAAACAATTTCCTAAACTTTTTCACTATATTCTTGAGAAAATCCTCATTTTCTAAGATTGTTAGGAGACGTCAGCTGTGTTCCATCATCTTTGCAGCTAGGCCATTACAGTAGAAACCTTCTCTAGACAGCGGTCTTATCTTGCTGGTCTGTCTCTTTATTGCAGGATTAACAATACGTGTTTTAACACTATCAAATATTTATTGCCTTTTAGGGCAAGCCCTCAAAAGGTAACTTATAATAAAAACATCAGAACTGCATACTTGTATTTCATGACTTAATTGTAAAACACTGAAATGCACCCTGCATCATAGTTGGAGAAGGAGAAGCAAAGGTGCTAGGTATAGACCACTTGTTCAACCTGGTTGAAAGGGAAATAGGTTGATGGGGCACTAATTAGAAGGAGAGCTGGCATGAAGGACACATTTGCCTGAAGGCAAGGAGGAAGGAATAAAGAATGCGGGAAATGGATACAAAGGAATTGGTTCATGGCACTGGAAGTGGAAATATCAATGATAGGTATTTTAAAATAGAAAGTAGGTCAGAATGTTATTAATATATTGAATCTTAATTCAACAGGAACCTCACGCTTCTACTGCCTCTCAGGATATCTGTAATGTATGGCACATGAACATAGAAGCACTTCCAGATTGGGTGACTCGTATAATAGAAAATGTATGTTCATTTTACTTATCTCACATAACTTTTTATAATTCTATGCAATATTCTATATAAAGTAAACAATATCTAGGTCTTTATAAAGGGCCTTAGAAGTACAGTTATATCATTACATATTTTATAGTTATTTAAGTAGGTAAATGCCTTTTCAAATGCTTATAATAAACAAGTCATTGTGTCAACTCTGCTCTTGCCATATTTAGTATGCATATCAACACATCCAAAGTTTCTGTAAAATTGTAATACATAATGCTATTCCCACACTTCATTTGGTGTCATAAGTCGTGAAACTTCAGTAAGATTTCAACAGATGTAAATGGGCTCTTCTGCTAAAAGACTGATTTTGATTTATTGCAATGATAACACCATGGCCCCTTTGAAAGATGGATAGAAGTATGACTACTTTTGCAACATACAAACATAGATTGTATAGAATACATTTATAAAAAGCACAATGACTTGTTAATAATTTTATATTCGTTAGAATCATGGTACTATTTATATATCCATATATTACATTGTAGCATAGTTTCAAGCACTTTTTTCTTTTCTTTTGACTTTTCTCCACATTTTTCACTCTACTGAAATTTTTCAATAAACTATATATTAACAAAAAGATTTGAACAGACTGACTTCTGCATAGGATTGTAGTTTACAAGACTGTTCAAAGGTTACCCTTACCCTCCCCCTCAAAGTTCCATGTTAAATATATGCCTTACTTAGTATAAAACTAAGGTCTCAGAGTATTTAGGAATATCAAATAACCCTTTGAAATGATTACATTGCTACACTGCATTTTTTCAGTCATAAAACAAATGTTTACATGCTTTTCTGCTCTGTTTGAAAAAAGATTTATGTCTTATCTTCTGGATTACAAATAATTAATTGTTTGTTTCCCTCCACATTATGCTCAGGCACAGTGGACAACGGGAAAGCTGAACTGCCCATTCTGTGGGGCCCGCCTGGGGGGGTTTAATTTCGTCAATAATACAAAATGCTCCTGTGGCCAATTTACAAACATCCATCTTTGCAAGAGGCGAACTGACTACCAAACAGTTAGTTCAGTTACATCAGCAATATCGCCACTGAAGCACTTGTCTTTTTGTAAAGTTCATTCCGACTTTAACAACGAAATATGGCAGAGTGTGACAGGTGGATCTTTGGAAGACAGAAATCAAAGACTTCCATGTGTAGCCAAAAATAACAGTGGCATTGGACGATTAATGGAGGCACTTTGCCTAGAGGTAAGATCAACCAACTTTGAGATGAACAGTAAAAAAATACACTTCAAAGTGTCTAATCCAAAAACAAGTATTTCAGCTTCACTGGCTGTGAATGACAAATACACTGTAAAAGCTTTTCATAGAAAATCACAGAGTTTAGACATGAACTTCAGAGAGAAGCTTGTTTTGCTGCCTACTTTATATGGAACTTCCACAGCTAAGAGACCTGTTTTCTCCAGGCAACATGAAGCACAGCCTTTTTACACAAAGGTTTGCTTACAATTAAAGTCCAGCAGAACACATAATTTTTTTCATTTCCCACTTAAATCAGATGCTGGTGAGCTTCCAAACAGTTTTTCAGTTACTTCTTATGGTGCATTTGCACAAGAAGAGGCAGAGTTTAATCATGGTTTAAAAGCTTCCAAACAGTATCTTGAGAGCACTACTGCTGACCAGCAGCTGTTCCTGTCTTCATCAGAGAGCACTACAGAAGAAGATACTGTGCAGAAGCACATCACACCTCTTGGTCTTCTTCAGCCTTTCACAACTATTGATCAAAAGTTGAGCAAGAGAAAAAGGAACCGATTGAACAGTTTGAGGAGAAAGAAGAGGTGGCCAGAGAGGTGGCCTCAGAAGCAGGTATGTACAATAAAATAGAGATTGTAATCATACCAAATGTTATCATGTTAGAGACAGCAGCCTCTAAGTGGGAGTAATGGCTGCAGCCATGATATATATCAGTTCATATATCTTACTAAGCTATAGTTAGCATCAGTCATGGTTTACAAACCTACTTCAAACTGTTCTATTTGGGGGGTGCAGACAATTGCAAACCATGGTTTGTTGATTCAGACATAACATCAAACCATAGTTCATTACCTATACTTCACACAATGTCTGAATGGACCTATTGGCTAAAGGACAAAAATATGTACAAACATTTCCTGTTCTTATGAAAAACACTAGTAGATCATACCAAAAATGTAGAAAAGAAACTATGTCTATGTACATTTTAATTATTTTTTTCTTGCACCCAAAACTTGTATCAGTATAAAGAACAAGTCCTTCATCATGAGCATTCACTTAAAATCCAAACAGAAAGGAAGTCTTTCAATAATCTCTTGTTTCTAATCAAAATGTGAGCTCCCTTCCTGTAATGTAGTTCTTCTACCTGACAAACTACAAATACAAATTCTCTTCTATAAAAGGTGAAAAGACTGCTTATTCTATTCTTAAAACTTTTGTGCTCATGTTTGAAATTAGCTCCTCTTCAGTTTTCTTTGCAGCTTTCTACTTCCTACAGTCAGTGTGAGGTTTTTCACTATAGCTAAGCCATATACACAAGTAAACATGTGCATTAAAATATTACAGGTTATTTGAGTCATGTGCACAGCTGCATAAACATCATTTTGAGCTTTCACATTACATGACTACATAAAATTTCCCATTATGAAATTCTCTCTTGTTAATAATAATAATTTATTTGTACCCTGCCCATCTGACTGGGTTGTTCCAGTCACTCAGGGTGGCTTCCAACATATATAAAGACGTAATAAAACATTAAAAAGCTTCCCTATACAGGGCTGCTATCATTGTTATCATTTATCATGTTATTTTCACCCTGTATGAATCCAAGAATTATGTTTATAAATATTTCCATATATTTTATAGTTAATACAATATATTAATATTGTTCTCTCAGACAATAGGGTGTACTTTCCTATATTGTGTTAAGTCAGCATGCACCCACGTACCAAAACATTACAATTCAAGTTCATTAAAATTCTATATTTCTATTTTAATGTAATTCCACACAGCATAATGTATCGTTCCACCGGAACTATAGTATTGTGTTTTTGCTGCTAATCTGCCTGTATAAGGGGACTCCCCAGTAAGTATGCAATAATAGAAGTGTGGTTTTTTTAACAGCAGGGGGCACCAAATTTCCTCTAGCTACGAAACAATGGTAACTAAACTTTTATGAACAAGCATTGCATGGTATAGGATGGTGTATTTTGTTTGTAGAATGTTTTATAGATTAAAAACAGTAACACTGCTAACATCTGGTGATTATAGGTTTTAAGCATAATAGTGATACCTGTTGCCACTGCTGCAGCTCAGAGTCTGCCAACATTTCTGTAATAAGCTGGTTCTTGTGGCTGATTTTATTATATATCCATTCCAAAATTGCCTTTGTTAAAAGCTTGTGATAAATGGCTGCAATCAACAACAACAACATAGATTTATTGCATTAGCCGAGTGGCCATAGCATGATATACATTGAAATAACAACATAAAATGAGGGTGGGGAGGTAGAGGTAGATATCGTCCTGGGCGAATACTTAAAAAAAGTGAAAAAAAAAAAAAACTGCTGAGGCTGGAGGAGGACCGTTGAAGGGTCCTTCAGCTCCTCAGATTAGTCCTAACTCGATTGTCCTTGTACAATAAGGCTACTTGGAACTTCGTTCGGTTGTGCGGCGTATCGACTGCAGCTGTGGTGTTAAGGAAGAAGTTAGTGCCGCTTTCCTCTTCATCACACTAAGCAGGAAGTTAGCTGTCATCTCGGTAATCCAACAATCAGAATCCTGCAAAAAGAGGGACACTATCCAAGGCTGGATTGGGAGATGGAACTTATTCACGAGGGGAGTTAAAAACCGAGATCTTTCATCTGTCCAGTTGGGACAGAAGAGCATTACATGTTCCATAGTCTCCAGGGCCGTGTCATTACAGGAGCATGTTCTGTTTGCGATGGGAACTCTGGAATAACGACCCGACAGAACTGCTGTAGGGAAACAGTTGAGACGGGCACAGGTAAAGGCCCTTCGCTTAGTCTCCGAAGAAATTGTGAAGCAGTATAGAGGGATCCCTTCAGGGGGTGGAATAGCTAGGGCTAGGCCTGAACACGGTCCTCTTGCACAAGAAGCTGTGTTGGAGAAGTCAAGTTGCTGTAGTTTCTTTTTAATTAGGGGTAGGGCCACCGGGCTGATACACTCTAAGTTAAGAACAGTTTTACAATTCAAATTGAGAAGAGAGCGGAATTTGAGGTTAATTGTAGTTTTCCAAGGGGAATTATGAATATCTCTTAGGATCAGATTGGAAAAGCCACCTCTAATTCGAGCATCCGATGCTAATAGGTGGAAGGTGTAGGAAATGGCTCGACTCCATGCTCGTCTAACAATTGAAGGCTGGGCGAACTTGAGTCGTAGGGCTGCACCTGAGACACATCTCGGGACGCCGGAAAGAGATCTCAGAAACATATGAAGTGGGCGATCCAGGTTACCTGATATTGCTGTAGTCCATACTTCGCATCCATATAATAATTTAGGGACGACTTTGGCATTAAATATTTGAATTGCTGCTGGAAGGTGTTTGCCGCCCTTCTGGTGGTAAAATCGGACAATGGCGTTAGAGGTCGTGGTTGCAGCGAGAAAGGCAGATTGTAGATGGGTGGTCCAGGAGAGATTATAGGTGAATATTAATCCTAGATATTTAAAGGCTTTTACCTTTTCTAAGTAGCCACCTGTGATCTTAAGCGGCTCCAACTTGAGTTTGCGGGAACGAGTGAAGTGGAGGACTTTCGATTTTTATAATTAATATTAAGAGCTTCCGCCTTACAATAGGCGATAATTGCATTAACTGCATTTGCTAGGTCCGCAACTGTTCTGGATAAGATGACGGCATCATCAGCATAGAAAAGGGAAGCAACGGGGTGGCCTGCTAAGTGAGGAGGATACTTAGATGCTAGCTTCAAAGTGGAAATTGCATCATGAAGATAGAGATTAAACAGTAAAGGGGCCAAGAGACAACCTTGTCGGACGCCCTTGGCCGTTGGAAATGGAGTAGTGAGGGAGCCGTTAGGACCAGTTCGGACGCGAGCTGTGGTGTTTGAATAAAGGGAGATAATTAGGGAGAGGAGGTGCGGATCAATTCCCAGATGGGCAAGTTTGGACCATAATCTCTGCCTAGGAATGGAATCAAAGGCGGCCTCCAGGTCCATGAAAGCGGCAAATAGGTGGCCTTGCCTTGGAGCAGTGTATTTACTGGCAAGGTGATAGAGAGTTAGACAATGGTCCATGGTTGACGCTGACTTTCGGAAACCAATCTGTTCTAGCGGTAGAATGTTCCTCTCCTGGACCCATGAGAGAAGTTCCTCCAGTAAAACAGCGGCAAATATTTCCCCGGGATGGATAATAAGCTGATGGGGCGATAGTTCCTAGGGATGTTTGGCTGGCCGCCTTTGAAGATCGGAACTATTATAGCTTCTCTCCAGGAGTCAGGGATGTCTAGGGCGGAGGAGATAGCGGTGAATACAGGAGTCAGGTGTTCGCTCCACCAAAGAGGATCAGTCAGGAAAAGGTCCAACGGGACCATGTCTGGGCCGGGGCCTTATTCCTTTGCATTGACATTATGATGTTGAAAATGCGAGTTGAGGTAAAGTTTATTGAAGAAGTGGGACTAAGAGAGCAGGAACTGAGGTCCGACGGGGATTGAAGGAGATCTGTAAGATGGTTTGGAGAAGCGAAACTAGTTGAATAATAGGCAATCCATTCATCAGCGGAAATCTGGGTAGCTGGATTGAATGGTGCCGAAGGTCTAACTAGGCGCCAGAAGGAGCGGGAGTCATGCCTCTCTACAGCCGAACGAAGAGTGGACCAAGCCTCAAGGATGTGCTGCTGTTTCTTGCAATGAATCATGTTTCTATATGTCCTTTTAATATCTATGAGCTTTGCACGGGTTTGGGGGTCGTTGGAAGATTTGATGATTCTGACCATTTTCCTAATTCGCCTTCTTAGGGCTTTACATTCCTTGTCAAACCAGGGCGATTCAGAGAAGAGGCGTTGGTAAGTAAGCGAGGTGGTGGTTATGTAAGTTGTTGAGAAAGCATCAAGTAATTTCCGGTATTGGTCAGCGGGCAGGATTGGATCAGAGGGAACTGCAGACATATCAAATGATTTTTGTATGTCCAGGGCAAGAGAGGAGCTGAGGCTTGTCCATTTCTTTGTTTTGTATACAGGGTGGCTTTGTACCATGGTTCTATAGTTTGAGGGGACTGGAAGTGGCTCTATTAGGTTTAACATTAGAGTCAATGGAAGGTGGTCACCACCAAAATATTCAGCCACTTCCATTTTTGTAGAAATTGAGAATAGCTCCGGCGTCAATAAAATGTAGTCGACAACACTGGTTCCCGGGAAGTGATGCACGTTAATTGCTGCGAGGACAAGGGAGTAATGTTACCATTTGCGATGCAGAGATCGTTTTCCATGGCCAGTTGGGCCATCAGCCTCCCGACGCATTTGTTATAGGATCAAGAGAGCATCTGTTTCCCAGGGGGGCTGCAGGGGATTGTCCAGGAGTGCTGCGGGAGATATTATATCATCGTCGTTGGGACCTATTCTTGCATTAAAGTCGCCTAAGAGGATTTGAGGGAGTCCTGGGTTAGTTGTTTGAAGATCATGAAGCCAAGACGAAAGTTCAGACCACCTTTCATTGCGGTCGAAATCATTAATTGCTGGGGGCAGATATACTGTAGTTATCAACCATGGGCTTTTGGTCTTTGGGAGATGAATCTTTATGGTGAGAAAGTAAGGGGAAGATTTAATTTCCTCGCAAATAGTGAGGGATAAGCTGGTTGAAATAAGACAGGCGAGGCCAACTTGGGGGCGACCCCTGTTGGTTAGTTTACGAGCACAGGAGCTAAAGGAGCAATAATTTGGGAGAACAATACTTTGTTGGGACCAGGTCTCTTGGAGGCATACAATGTCGAAAGAAGAGATGAAATTCATTGCTTCAGGATCCATTTGCTTTGTCGCCCAGCCGTTAACATTCCAGGAGACAATTTTAAGGCTCTGGGGTGGGTTGGGTGCGTCTTTCAAGGAAACAACTGCTTTTGCTTGATTTGTGAGTGAGGGTTGAGTCTGTTCATATCTAGTGATGTCGGATTTCCGCGGAGATAGGGAGCCGGCTGGTGTTTGTCTCTGGTCTGATCTTTGTCAATTATTTCCCAAGGTGCTTTTAGGGATTACTTTTTTATGAGCCGGCCCATTGCTCTCCATACATGGCAAACTAGCCAAATGTTCTATAGTTTCGGCTGTTGACTGTTGAATACTGACATTAGTGGTCACCGGGCCTTTGAAGTGTGTTATCAATCTGTGTGCCAAAGAACTGTTCTTCTGCCTCTTAAAAACTGGTACCATTTGAGTTGAAAATATTTTTAGGAAGAGCAAGAATAATTTTTGTAACAATTCATAAATTATTACTGGAAAAGAAACACTGTGAATGATAAAAAGTGAAAATATTTTCTTGAACTTTCTTTTTGTTTAAAAGTTGGGGAGAAAAAAAAATAATGGACAACTGAATATGTGATATAGTTTTTTAAAATATTACTGTTACAGTACAAGGAGCTCTTCACACTGAATCTTTTTTTTAAATGACATTAATTCTTTCCAAACATTTGAGTCATTGTCATAAAGTAAAATTATATGCAAGACATTAATTGTCACTTATCAAACAAGAGTTTTGTTTAGCTTGTAATATGATGGTGGCTAGTATCCTGGTGATTCATCTAAGTTAATCAAAAGAAAATATAGGTAAAATGTCTATTTACTGAAACACTCATTGGTTTTGAGATATTAGTTTCATTTTTATTTTTGCCATTGCCTTAGTTACTTGAAGAGGGTGCTTGAGAAGGCAGTAGTGGCCCAGTTTCAGGCATGTTTGGGGGAAAACTGATTACCTGGATCTATTTTAGTCTTGTTTGAAGCCCAAGCCTAATTCTAGGTGCTCCCAGTAACATTTAAAGCCCTAAATGACTTATGCGCCAAATATCTGAAATATTGGCTCCATCTTCATAGTTCTGCCTATGGAACTGATGGCCCAGAAGAGGACTTTCACTGTGGCAGCCCCTAAAGTGTAGAACTTTCTCCCATCTAGCACTCTCATTGTATAGCTTTCACCATATGCTGAAGACATGCCTCTTTATACTGGTGTTGTGTTCTGGCTGGAACGGTCGTATTTATTTTAATAATTCAATATTATATTATTGTACAATATTGCATTGTATACCACCCTGGGACCTTCTAGTGAAAACAAACAAACAAACAAATAAGGGCACAGACATATTAGCATCTACCCTTCCCATTTGTTGAATGCTTTTTCTAATTCCAGACCATGCAAATACTCTGTTGTGCATTTGTAATAACACAGGGGTGCCATGTCCAACACTGGCCTCTGTCCCTCTTTCCTTCTCTGATGCCCTTCCACAGCTCGTGCCTCCCAAAAGCTTGCATAGCTGTTTGCTGCAGCAGCCCTGGCTACAAGCTCCATAGGCAAATTGTGCCCCTGGGGCTGGTCAGAAGTGCTGGTTGCAAGCAAGCAAGCGGGCAAGGGAGCCCAGTCAGCCAGTCTGCCAGCCCTTGGGAATGGACAGACAAGTCCCAGGCCTCTGTTGGGTAGTGTGAGGTGGCTCCTCTCTTTGGGGGGGGGGCATCTCAGAAACTAGGGGCGGCAGCAACAGCTGCCCGGAGGACTCCCAAAGAGAAGGGAATGGAGAGGAGGCTAACGCAACACTCCAAAAAGGAGGGTGTTCAAAAAAGGGTGAGAGGCTGCCAACTCTGCAGGCAAGGGGTAACATAACTGAGCTCCTGAGCCCATAGGGGTGCCACAGAAAAAATGTAGTTGGTCAAGGGAGCTGTGAACTCAAAAAGGCTGAAAACCGCTGCCCTAACACAATATTATTGATCCAGCCCAGTCCTGCATTTGATCACTGGCATTTTAATTTTCTATAAACTACTATGATCTTGAAGGATATATATGTCAGTAACGTAGTATTTACGCGTGAGGTTTTCCTGATGAGAGGAGGAGGAGACTCAGGTATTGTAATTACTGTGGTCAATGTTTGAAATTTTTAAAAGGGATAAAAATGTATGTCCCAGCTTCCACACAGACTGGATCAGACTCTACTGCTTTCAGGTGTGCGGGTGGGTGGGTGGGTGAGAGAGAGAGAGAGAGAGAGAGAGAGAGAGAGAGAGAGAGAATTCAACTATTTACCTTCATTTGGAATGTGTTTCTTTAAAAAGAAATTAATGGTAGCTTTTTTGACCAAAGCAAATAAGTGATACAAATTATGGGTGATAGCCAACTAAATTATCCTCAGAGTACACTTATTAAAATGAGTGGTCTGAATTTCATTAATATCAAAGGATTTCTTCTAAGTATGACTAATCTTAGATAGAATAATAGAAATGCAAAGTTGGAACAGACCCCGAGGATCATCTAGTCCAACCCTCTGCAATGCAGGAATCCTGCTCACAGTAGTCCCTGGGCAAACCTGAACCACCAACCTTCTAGTTAACAGCCAGACACACTGAATCATTTTGCCAATGTGTGTCCATATCACACTTTATTTTATGGGACAGAAGGTTCACAAACAATGGAATTATTCAGCAAAAATAATAATTCGGGGGTAACTGAAATAACTGTAAAGAAAAACTGAAAGAAAAAATTATAAAGTGTATAATTTATAATGGATTAAGAGTTAATTTGAGGCTCCTTTTCACCTGGCCCTGTGAAGTCACCAAAAATTTCAGACTAAGCATATACAGTATTTATATTTGTAATACATACCAACTAGCCTGGATACACACAAGCTGCATCACCATTTTTAGAATGGAAGGACTTTCTACTCCTACCTAAGATTGTTGGGACAGTATGAAGGTGTTTTTAAGGCTACTCAACAACCTTAGTGCTTGGCAGAGCACACCTCACCCCTCATTTCCCCTCTGTCTTCCAATTCTTTGGCCATTATTAGAAAACACAGGGCTTTTCCACTTGACCTATTTATTGAACATTCACCCTGATCTACTTGAACAAAGCTTACATGGAGGTTAGATTATATCCGGTCTTTGTTGAGCATTCATTCCAATTTGTTTGTGGGGCTAGTTATCCTTCATTCATTCTGATTGTTTGCATTGTGTTCATCCCACAGTTTTCAAAGCATTTCATCATCACTTTCCAAAGAGCACTTTAATCCGCTTTAATTGTGCAAAACTAAGTTTATTACAGAGGGACACGGGTGGCGCTGTGGGTTAAACCACAGAGCCTAGGGCTTGCCGATCAGAAGGTCACGGTTCAAATCCCCGCGACGGGGTGAGCTCCCGTTGCTTGGTCCCTACTCCTGCCAACCTAGCAGTTCGAAAGCACGTCAAAGTGCAAATAGCTAAATAGGTACCGCTCTGGCGGGAAGGTAAACGGCATTTCCGTGTGCTGCTCTGGTTTGCCAGAAGAGGCTTAGTCATGCTGGTCACATGACCCGGAAGCTATATGCCGGCTCCCTCGGCCAATAAAGCGAGATGAGCGCCGCAACCCTAGAGTCAGTCATGACTGGACGTAATGGTCAGGGGTCCCTTTACCTTTAAGTTTATTACAACATACAATTGAATCCCTTCTGCAAAATAGTGTCAGTCTGGAGACACCCTCAAAAGGCCACTGAGAAGTGGCAAGTTGCCCATGGGGGGGGTGCAGATTGAAGACTTGTTTTAGTAGTCTATGGAACTTAGCCCCTATCTCAGAAACTAAGAAAGTAGGAGTGCACATTGGCTGAGCCCATGGCAAAACAAAGGAGGTTTGGAGAAGAGGAGGACCAGATTCCATATCCAGGACTTGGATTCCATATTGTTTTCTAAAGTCTTAGTAGACAACATCTACATTCTTTGCAGTTTTCGGTGCAACCAGGAGGTTAAATGTTAGTGAAAACTTGCATTCAAAATGTACTGATGGAGCTATAGGTTATGACTCAGAATCCTCCTCATGGGGCACTCCCACATTAATTTTTCTTTTAATTTCATTTCTTTTTCATTCCATTTTAAGTAGAATCAAGCTAGTATGGCATTTTCCACACCTTTGAGAATTTAATGTATTTATATCCACTGTAATTACATCCACACCAGTGGGTGGTGCACTGCTGCTATATCCTTATTCTGTATTTGCACAGACTCTCCTGTTTTTATAGACTTCCCACCCACTTCCTTTTTCACCTCACTGAGCATGTGCACAAGGAACAGCAGGATTTTTTTCAGTTGTTTTTTTAATTGTCAGCCTCCAGGAAGAGCAGCTTGTTGTAGAATCATACTAAGTTCTTTTCTTCAGTTGTTTGCTTAGTTTGCTCCTTCAAAAAGCCTGACATTTCTACCATTAATGAGAGCAGTAATATTGACAACATCTGTCATTTGTGACAGCCTACAATTTTGATTCCCTCTGCATCTAAGGAGAAGCAGGATATGCTTGTTACTTTAGACACCAAACAGTGGTACCTCGGGTTAAGAACTTAATTCTTTCCAGAGATCCGTTCTTAACCTGAAACACCACTTTAGCTAATGGGGCCTCCTGCTGCCGCCACACCGCCGGAGCACGATTTCTGTTCTCATCCTGAAGCAAAGTTCTTAACCCAAGGTACTATTTCTGGGTTAGCAGAGTCTGGAACGTGAAGCATATGCAACCTGAAGCATCTGTAACCCAAGGTACCACTCTACTAGACTTCATCATACTTACCTGCTTTTTTCCAGTTAGATAAAATCTGCATAATTTGGAGATGGAGGGAAATTAGGGCATGTTCAAATACAGCTTGGCATTGTGTGGATACACCCCTAAAAATGAATACTGCAAATATGAAATGAATGCTTGGTGTGGACGCACCAGGAAAAGCAAAAATCCACAAAGACAGGAGAGAGATGGAGAGCACAGGACTCCTGCACCTTTAATAACTGTTCAGAAATCCCCTCTTCTATACAACTATTAAAGGTACAGGATCCCTGCCTTCTTTTTCGTCGGACCATCCTACATTTATTTGCTAGGGTGCCCTAGGGTGTACTAAGTTGCAAAAGCCATCTACTGCTCCAAAAGGCTTCCAAACTTAGTGTAAGCCAAAAACATACGGATGCAATCCAGAAGGCAACATTCATCATCAGTAGGCAATGGGATTGACATACCAGCTCAATTAATCTGTTAAAAAGGAACAAAAGAGAGTGGAGGCAGAGTAAGTGGCATTTATTATGCAAGAACACCAAATCAGATGCTGAGTGCTGCCTTCACTCAAAGAGCAATTTTCTCCTGGCCCTTGAGCAGGAGGGAAGTTTTGGAAAGAAAGAGATAGCCAAGGAAATCAGCTGACATGGACAATGCCAGAGGTTTGCCTAAGGGTCTCCTCAGAATCTCAGGGGAGGATGAGATGCAGCTGGCTCCGGATCCAATACAAGGTCACAAGAGAAGCAGCTGCAGCACACAGGCTGCCTCACCATCCGTTGACATTTCGAGGGATCCTGAGATTCAACTCTCGGCTCCTAGGAATGAAAATAGATATTTGTTACATAAGTATGCTTACAAAATGTTGTTTATTCCAGATTTAGTCCCAAGAAACCTGAAATTAGAAGGGAGTTTTTGTGTGTCATTGCAGAAAATCTGTTGAAGCAGCAATGCAAGTCAAACTGTTACAGGGGAAGTGTAATCATTGATTTTAGACTAGTGTCTCTTAAAATTCTGTACATGCATTTCCAGCACAATCCTCTATGTGTCTGCTAAAAAGTAGATCCCATTGAATACAATAGGGATTAAACCTTAAACTGAAATTCCAGATAGAAATTCCAGATAGATAGATAGATAGATACATACATACATAAATGCCTAGAAGTTCCATTGTATTCAATGGGACTTGCTTCTGATTAGACATGTATAGAAATGCACTGTCAGCCTGTAATCCTGACACCTAGCAAGCAGTGGCGAGGCTTCATAGAGTGCTGAATCCACAGACCTGGCACTTGTAGTGGCCAAAACGGGGGGGGGGGGTCATCCAAAACTTCTCCAGCCCACTAGATTGGGTTTCAGTTGCTCTGGCAGATCTGTAGATACCAGACTTAATAAATATAGCCTATTGCATCATTTTACCTCAACTTGGAATATAAAACTCTTTATCTGAGTTGAGTAGTTGTGAAATGAGCTTTATAATGGCTAAAGAATTATTACCTCACAGCAATCTGTTTCAGTTTCTCCCAATTTTTCATTTTACCAATTTTCAGTTCCCCCCATTTCTGTATCAGTTTTTGATTTTTGTAAAAGTCCTCATGAAAATTCATCAGCGAGTCTCCTAATGCACATTTGCTTGTATGCAATTGTGCCTAATAGATTAATTTTAATATACATTTTTGCATGTTATTTTCACTAATTATGCATTTTTATGCACCGTTTAGCCTGGTAAACTCATTTATGGAGCAGGGGGTGCTGTGGTCTAAACCACTGAGCCTCTCAGGCTTGCTGATCAGAAAGTTGGCAGTTTGAATCCATGCAATGGGGTAAGCTCCCGTTGCTCTGTCCCAGCTTCTGCCAACATAGCAGAATGTGGTGTTAATATATGATAGAGGCCTCACTTGCTCTTTTAAAATAAGAGATTTGTCTAACAAGTTAACTGTAATTATTGTCCTTCATTAACTTTATATTGCATGTTATATTTTGTTTATTCAGAATTATTTTTCGACTCTCAAAAGCTGCTCCCATTTTTTCTATATATGTTTGTTTTCCTCTAAATGGTGGCTTATGGAAGCATGCAGCCCATGACAGTGTCTCTTATTAAAACGACAAGGGATGCACAATTAGTACATTTCCCTACCAAACAGTGATAGTGGGTCCTGCTGTACAGATAATTACAACGGTGCCATAATTGCAGTTACAGGAATTCATGCAACTGGAAGTAACACAGTTGGCAGGAAAGCAGTCCTGATTACTGCCATGCTGTTCCCAAATTCATTTTATGTTAAGCTTATTATCTCGCTTTGATTTCCTAGGACAAAAAGATAAAATTATTTGCTTCAAAGCAAGAAAATGTTTTTATTTCTTCTTCATTAGAAAGGGGGTTAGGAAATGTAATAAATTCTACGTAAGTTTTTTGAATAAGAATAATTTGATTTGAACAAGTTATATAAAGAATGTATAGGGTATTTTTTACAAATGTATAACACATTTGTTTCATTACATATTTTAAATAAAAAACAAGGAATTTACAAGTATTGTGGTTTATGTTGTCACTATGCAACATTTTTGATGTGCTTTCTGCATCATAAAGGCATCAATCACACTTCATCGTCTATTGTAATCACTACTTCTACTTCAATATTCTGTGTGGCTAATGCGCTAAGTCATTCTTGTAACATTTGAGAATACAAATACGTTTTTATACTCCATTTTCTTTGGCTGTGCAATAGGTTGCTGCTGTGCAGAGAAAATTCTGAGTGGTATGTCCATTTATGGAAAGACGTCTTGTAGTTTGTCTCTCATCATTGCACACATTTTCAAGATGCTTTTATGTCCTTCTGCCATACTTAATAAATAATTTCTGAAGTGGCTGCATTCATTAATGAATGATCCTGCCAAGTCATCCTGATAGTAATATTGCAAATCTTTTGTGTGTATCTGCGCTTCTAATTGTTCCATTTCTGGCATTTTAATAGGATCACAAACTTTGAAGAATTAAGGTTCTTATATGCTAACTGGTCTCTCCAGTTTTGAGATGAACCTATCAATTATCACATTTATATATGTTAATTTTGAAGCTTTCGTGTGCATTAAATTTTGTTTCAGTTTTATGTGATTCCTAACTCTGAAGTTTCTTTTTCTGCTGCTGTTTATTGGACATATCATCAGAGTTGCTCAAACCTGGCTTTTCCATAGCAGCTGGTTCAAAAAATTCAAACGTATCACCAGCATCTTTCATATACAATGTCAATGAATTCTACAGCTCTGCCACAGTACTAATGTTGATGTCAGCAGATTGAAACTTCTTGCTATGTTGAATCAGTCCAAAATGTGTCCCACATTTGTGCCATTAGTGCTGTCTCCAAGGACTCCAGTTTATTAAACAATCCTGTACCTTTACTGCGAGTTAAGGGTTTCTCTTATTTATAGCAGATCATCATGTAATACTGCAATAATTTGGTTCCAGTTTTGATTAAGCTGTGACAAGCTTCATTTAAAGATGACTGAGTGCCAGACATGTTTTTTTAGAGAAACATTTCTGGATATTGTCAAGTGTGATTCTAATACCTCCCACTGATGAGTAGATGATGAGAAAAATACATATAAGTTTTTGAAGTAGGCCAAGGAATCCAATACAGTGGTGCCTCGGGTTACATATGCTTCAGGTTACATACGCTTCAGGTTACAGACTCCGCTAACCCAGAAATATTACCTCAGGTTAAGAACTTTGCTTCAGGATGAGAACAGAAATTGTGCTCCGGCGGCGCGGCGGCAGCAGGAGGCCCCATTAGCTAAAGTGGTGCTTCAGGTTAAAAACAGTTTCAGGTTAAGAACGGACCTCCGGAACAAATTAAGTACGTAACCAGATGTACCACTGTAGCTTATTTGCATTTTCAATAGCTTATGTGCATTCTGCTGCACATACCCCGATTAGGTTCAGTGAGTGAGCACGGCATTGCATGAAAACATTGAGGTTTATTCTCACTAGAAGACCCTTGTACAATCCAGGCATTTTGCTTGTAGTGTTGTATGATTGCCCTCTACAGTATTCAATATTTATATGTCTTAAGTGTGCTAAAAACTGCATCAGCCAGCTGTTCTGATTTATGGCCAGGATTAGGGAGAAAACAAATAAAACACTCTACAGGCTGTTCATTTTCGTTCACATATCAAATTATCAAAGAAAGCTGGTCAACATGACTTATGTCAGGCATTTATACTTGTTTTAAAAATGCTTTGCAGAATATGTTTATTCTGTAATGTGATTCAAAACTTTATCTTCCGTGTTGTTGATTACTTATCTATTTCAACTTAAGAACCTTGCCTGGGGTTCCATATTTTGATACGTGCTTTACTAAAAATAGATCAAATTCAGCTGTGACCATAATAAAGTTTCCATTATGAATAGATCCAAAGCAATTTGTGCTTCCTCTGAAAGACAGTCCTCAAAATGTTAAAGCTTTGACTACAGCTACAACTCTTCTAAGAACACACCTCCGATACTTGACTTTTTCATCAATCTGCCCTTCTAATGCATCCACCCTTCCAGTGACTGATCCTCACTGTTTCATAGCCAAAACTTAGTTTTTATAGCCAAGAGAATTCTCATACTTATAAATTCATGGGCATGTTTCTAGCCATTAAAACCTTCCTTACCTATGAAATATGTCCCTCCAAGCAAAAGCCATTGGGGAACAAAAAATAAAAACAAAAACAATCTGAGCCTATTGACTTAAGAGTACACTAAGCATTCCTCCTAGTCTTTTCTCCATTCAAGAAGTGTCCTTTAGATAAATGATAAAGACTTCCAGCACCAGAAGGCCTCTTAGATTGCAGAAAATCTTCTTTAAATTTTGTTCATTATCATTCTACATAATCTCACAGTTCTTCATTTATTCTCCATAGGGCTGTATCAATGGTCATCGACAAAAGTGACCATAATTTCTTATTTCACCACAATGAAGCGTATGTTCAATCTCACTGCAGTATTTGGAATCTGCAACAGAGTTATCAGAGCTAGTACCGAGTTCAAGACTGTTTGTGCACTGAAATGGAATCAGGGTTTTCTTTTACTTTCCCCCAAGGTTGAGGTCATTGCTTATATCACTCAACTTGTTTGCATCTTGTATTTGAAAACTGGTGCTCAGAATGCTGGAACTAACAATATTTTCACTAATAGGTTTCTGAGACTTGTTTTCATTTACTTGTTTTATATACAGTATATTAAAAGATTCAGGTTCAAAACATTTATCAATAACATCACTTGCCTTAGATGCCTGCTTCTTTGCTTTTTCCTATATTCTGCACTGCTCAACCTCTTCCGTTCATCTCATGATGATAATTTAATAACAACTAAAACCAAACTATTCCCAAAGTTAAGCAACATGTAGCACAATAAACATTCAGAAAACAATGTGATATAACCACCATCACAAATGAGCACAAATCATCTCACACTAACACAATAATTCATAGAAGGTCCATGCCTACATTATGTACTGCACTGTGGGGCTACTACAAACATTTTAAGATGAGCTTCTCCAAGTTGTTCTGCAGTCAGACCAGGATCGATGTAATATGCTCAAACCGTCTTGCCCCAGTGAGTAACCTGGCCGCTAAATTCTGCACTAGCTGAAGTTTCCAAACTTTGTTTAAAGGCAGCCCAACATATATGCTGACTCAAGCCTTTTCCAGATGACCTGTGTAGTGATTTTTTATTTATTTCTTGCATCCTGATGTTTTTACACAGAGGTTATATGACATTGTATTGTTTTCCCTACCTGCTTAAAACATTTTGTTTAGGTAAGCCTAGCTACGCACCTAGAAGTTAAATCTCTTTTCAGTTGCTGCTGATTTTAATCTTTCTTTGATATTTTTTTAAAATAAATGTTTTCAGTTGTTTTTAATAAATATTGTGTTATATTTTTGTAAACTATGGAGAGGCTTTCTTACAATCAAGTAATTAATGCTCAATACACAGCAACTTCTGGTTGGTTTGTGTGGCAGTTATAGGACACCACTAATAGAAGGAATGGAAGATCCTTTACTTTGCTAATGTACACAGGGCCAACAGTTAAGAACAAATGTCTGTAAGTTAATGTATGCTCATTATTTGTTAAGCTCTTTATATGAAGATAAATTTAACATTCAAAGCAATAGTACCAGCACAAATTCAAAATATAAATTCCTCTTGATTACATAGCAGCTATTGCTTGCTGGTGGTGTTTTATTCCAAACCAGAAATCTTGTTATTTCGTATGAGCTTTTGTTGGAAAACAGGAATTAAATTTACATTTTGAAATCATACTCTCTCTTTTTTAGAGTTATAAGGGTGCTTTTTCACCTTGAGCTGAGTTAAAAGCTGTTGTATTGATTGCAGTGGTTGGAAACCATCTGTTAAATTTTTAATTTAGCTTTATTTGGCAGGTATGAGTTTTCAATTGATCTCTTGAAAGGCTACGCACATTCTGTCATAGAGCTGCTATCTTCATTTTAAAGATACAATAGCTGGAATGAATATTTTATGTAGTATCTGCATAAATGAATATTGACTAAAAGCAAAGTATAATTTCAAACTACAACTGCTTACTTGCAAAATAAGGGTTACATGAAAGGCACATATTTCATTAGAGTTGACATAAAATCCTGTGTTTGGGGTAATTATTTGAATGGTAACAGAACAGTTATTTGCATCTCTCACCTTTCTGAAGAATGAGACAGTTTCTCTAAACAAGCAGCAGGATGAGGCGGCAAAAGTTTGAGGTGCTAGACAGAAGCTTCAAACTACAGGTGAGCATGCCCTACTCCCTGTGCATAAAAAAGCATAACACGTTATGGCTGCTTTGCTGTATTAATCTTTTTTATGTGGAAATGGTCTTTAAAGAAGACTATTTTTAAAAAATCTCATGTAGTCTGAATAGGTGTATTCTAGTCTATCACTTTAGCTGCACATTCTGATCTATATATGCAGGAAATGAGGCTGAATTGAGATGAGGGAGTCCGGAGGTAGAAGAGTGGACCACTTCAGGTTACATGTGAAAAAGTTTTATGCTTGCCTATGCAAAAAAACTCCCTGCAAGTATAAAACTAGCATAGCAGGGCTGATGTCCTAGTTTTTAACTAGCAGGGACAGATTTTTAAAAATTGGGCACTTTCAGAATGGCATCCTGCACCTGCACCCTGAAGCAGTACCATCCATTCCACTACATCATTCTGCTGTGTGTGTATTCAAGTCTAAACTGGATAAATGCCAAATCAAAGTCATTCTCATTTCAGTTTTTATGTAATTAATGGTACCATTCCTCCGGGCAAAATCTGCAAATTTTCATTTGCAAAAAGATGCCAAGTGGTGTTGCTCAGCTTTAAGAGCTGTCTAAAAATGTAGCTCCTATTTTATAACAGAGTACACTGGAGGATAAGTAGTGTTGTACGGTAGGATTAAAATTTGGAATGCAGGAGTTCACAGCCATGCCCCCAAGAAAAGCCCCAAAAGCCAGGCAGCTTTGTTGATTCATTTTTGTAGATTTTTTTATTTACATCTATAAAATGTACAGTATATGCAGCAGGCTACAATATATGTCCAGAAGCCTGGGTTTTTCTTGGTGAGTGATAATATTTGTAGGCTTGCATTAACAAAATAGACCCGGGTGGCGCTGTGGTCTAAACCACAGAGCCTAGGGCTTGCTGATCAGAAGGTCGGCTGTTTGAATCCCCACGACAGGGTGAGCTCCCATTGCTCGGTCCCTGCTCCTGCCAACCTAGCAGTTTGAAAGCATGTCAAAGTGCAAGTAGATAAATAGGTACCGCTGCAGTGGGAAGGTAAACAGCATTTCCGTGTGCTGCTCTGGTTCGCCAGAAGTGGTTTAGTCATGCTGGCCACATGACCCGGAAGCTGTATGCCGGCTCCCTCGGCCAATAAAGCGAGATGAGCGCCACAACCCCAGAGTCGTTCGCGACAGGACCTAACGGTCAGGGGTCCCTTTACCTTTACTGTTACTGTGTTTTGATATGCGACCAACAAAGCAACTAAAATAATTTAAAATTTTATTTAACTCATTACTGATTAGTAGAGGAGTGTCAAAAAGCTTCATGTAAACTAGATAGAAATGCTTGGCTCTTTTGCCTTCATCTGTTCTTAAGATATTCTAGCCCCAAAGCTAATTCAGCAATTTTTAAAAAATAAAAAAGTTAGCCATTTTATAGCCACTGATTCCAATCTGAGTAAATCTCCTTAAATTCCTAAGTATTTTAGCAGAACTGAATGTAGATTCTTCTGTAAGAGATTCTTTCATTGGAGGGTTTTGGGGGGGGTTGGTTATAATAAAAATAATAATGTGATGAGTTTGGGGTTAGATTAAATTGGTTTTTTTAAATCCCTTCCAATCCTGTGATTCTATAGATGTAACATGGGGTGGGAGGTTGGGCAGAGACAAACCATTTTTTAAACCAAAGTAGGTCTGCTTTGTAATGTAAGCAAGGACAGCAAAACTTAACAGCTGGAGAACTTTCTGGAATATGGGTGGAATGGGGCTTGTCTTCTTCCCCCATTCACCTGCCTGGTGGTTTCATCAAGGTATCTATGTGTGAAAGTGAACAGAAGAGATTGGTAGTGTTGGACACAGAGGTCCTTCTTGCTCTCTGTGAGCATCCAAACCATAGCGTTAGGAAGCACCCTAGAAATATGATGGGGAGCAGGGTAAGTTGGAGTTTTCATGCTGGGAATCTTTCCATGCTAACAACTATGCTGAAGTGCAACCAGAGCTTCAGGCAAGCATGAAGGGTGGAAAACCTATATGCATCTCAGGGCATTCTCTACCTTCCAAAAAATATATATATATATTTTTTAATCCCCAAACTTCAGGGAACTTGGAGAAATCTAAGAAGTCTATCCCTATTCTTTCTCCTTCCCTTGGTGGAAAGGGAACATAAAGAGGTTTGTTGGCCCCTCATAGTCCCCATAGATTTTCACATTTAGCTCAAACCTGCATTGTAGAGTTTTGCTGCTCAGTTGTGAGTTTTGTCCCCTTGTAGCACATTGTCTGCTAATAACAACTGTCAACACCCTGTTGTCTGCCTACAAAGTGCCCACCATTTGGGAATTTTGAGCATGTGTGTATGTCTGAGCATCTTGGGAAGCTATTTTCATGAATTTATTGCGTTAATTTGTTTCATGTAATGGGAAAAATTGCTACTTCCCTGGGTGATTGCCAATGGCTTCACTGAGAGCTGCATTCCCAAAGGTTCTTAAACTGAAAAATGTAATCTTTCCAGTAGCATTTATCTGGCTACTAGTAATATCAGTTGCCACTTTAGATGTGTATTCTAATAAATGACATTCCAATTAGGACATGGAGTGATCTGGGGGGATTAGTATTTAAAAAGCTGCATAAAAGTAAAGCTCTTGAAGTGATTCTGCATTTAACAATGTGGATGCTGCTGAATGTCACCAGAAATTTTGCTAAATACTAAAACAGGCCTATCTTCAAATTGCTGTGGCTGGTGTCATTCCCATTCCTTGCAATGAGACTTGCAGCAGTTCAGTGCTTTGATGAGAGCAGACTCTTGCAAAAAAAGGCTCTTCAAGGCAATAACAATGCTTTCAGAAATGGGTTTTAGAACATTTAGCACAGGGGTTCTCAAATATTGTTAAAGTAAGTCTCACTCAGTCAAGGATACACCTATTAGAATCCATCTGTGTGAAAGGCAGAGGAGGTGGTCTGTGTAGGCAGCTATTTTTCAGTTTGGGCTCAGATCAAGCTGTTAAAGGAGAAGAGGAAATAAAACCTAGACACTCACAATATATCGGGGTGGGGTGCGTAGATTGTGCATGCATGAAAAGGAGCAATAAAAACTACCAAAAAACCCCAGCTGTGCCACTATTATCTCACTCAATATACAGTATTAGTGAATAGCTATATGCAACTGTAGCACTAATATGCAAGTTTCAGTTCTGAAGTATGGAATGCAGAGTACTGTAATTGGGAGGAAGGGTTCAAATTGAATTCATCTTTGCACAGTGGCTCGGGCCTTCTTAAGGACATCGGGCTTTCACTTTGAGAAATTTAGATTTAGCACAGTAAAGTTTATAGTACAAATGAACACATAATTCACACTGGCCCCCTGGCCTGTAGATTTTACAACCAAGCACATTCCTCACTATGCATAGAACCCACTGTAAATCTGAGCATCTATGTATACATTAATGGACTACTTTGTTGTAATGACCCATTTCTTGATTCAGAACAAGGTTGTCTAATATGAACTATTCCCTTCAAAAACCAGCATCCCTCCTTCTCCTGAGACCAGTTCCCACCTTTGGAAACTTGTGTCACTTAACCAGTTTTATAACTGGAAGCTCAAAGTGGCCCAGATGCTTCTTGCACAGATCTCTCACCCATAAGTTTGAGTCCTGCCCCAGTTTTCCCTTCTCATTTCACACAAAACTTGTCTAGCAGTAGTGATTATAAAGCTTTCCCCCTGACACATAGACAATTGAATGTGCTTGACTGTATTACCAATCAAATGCTATTTCCCCAAGAATTTGTTTCCAACTCAGACTGTGAACTTTTCATCCAGTAATGCAGATGTCCCAAGTAATGTAGTTTTCAAGGACACGTATTCAGTACTGGCGCTGATTTCCATAAACACTTGTGTAACTGCTTTTGCGTGTTGAGTCCCACAATGCCACCCCCCAAAAAATTCACACTTCACACATCAATTTTTGTTTAAGGTTTTTGGCATAATTTTGGCCACAACTTTATTCAAAATACAAAAAATGTGAGTGGTTGCTTAGGCATTGGTTATGACTATCTGTCCTTGCCCTCAGGGACAGAGCTGGCCTTCCGGACACCAACGGAAGCCAGCGTGGGAAACAAGTATTGGGTGAGAAAATGAAGCTGGGTATCAGTCCCTCACTTCTCACCCTCATGTTCCTGTGGGGCTTGCACGGCCCAAGTCCGATTCCAGGGACAAGGACGAAAAGAATGGCAAGCCCCTGGATTCCTTTAACGGAATTCCCTTTCCGCATCATTTGGAGGGATAGGCACTTACCCCTCCAAGCACCAATTTAACCAATGCCTAACCGCCATGGAGCCCACAGCTCACCGCCAAACCACTCACAGACCCAACCAAGCCCTCAGCTTGGCCACCACTGCACCCAGCCAAGCCTCATTCCCTGAGGCAGAAAGATGCGCGCCATCAGCTCTGAACAGGATGCAGCCTGAAAACGAATCCCTGGATGGGAAATCACATCGCCACCCAGCTCAAAAACCTTTTTGGACACAGCAGAATTGATACGTTTTCTGGCCCTTTCGGTGGCAGCTGGGCAACGACTGCCCCTCCAAACACGTCGTTGCAAAAGCTTTGACCAAAATTTTTTTGCTGTCGGCACCATTGCTCGCAGCACCTCCAGGTCGCCCAAAATTGCAGCACGTAGAGAAAAACAGTCCATGGAAACCAGGTCGTTCTCACCCAGCTGCACCACGACAGCAGTGGGCGGCCCTTCCAGCAGCACCTGCCTCCGAATCAGCGGCAGGAATTCTGGCTGGCGCATTCCCCGTCTGGACAGCCAAGGCAACTGCACATGTGGAGGAAGGCCGAGACCCGGTCCCAATCCGGACTGCCGTGCACTGATGCCAGCCCAATGCATGATGCTGTGCCCCACCATCCAGATGCGGACAGCTGCTAAACCTAAGATAAAACAAGCAAAAATTGTAAGACACCAATAATGTTAACGAACATAACCTTTGAATGCATTCGATTTCCAATGACCTGTATTTTATTTCCACTGCCTTATTAACACGCTTTCCGGCCTTCTCGGTGGTAGTTTGTCTAGGCATTGGTTCCCGACTAGCTGCACCTGACCTCAGCAGGGCAGCACTGACGACTGGGCCCCACCATATCGTCAGTACCAGCAAACATTGTGGGGGAGCAATGAATCCCAAGGCAATCGCATCCCGCCAGGTGTTGTTCCACATAGGGGAAAGATGCACCCCATCTGCCCTAAAGAGAGCAACAGCCTTGAAGAAAATAGCAAGGTGCAATATTACAGAACCACCTAAAGCAAGGACCTATTTTATTTTATTTGTTATTTTATTTTATTTACTTTATTTTATTCTATTGTCCACCGCCTTATTAACATGCTTTCTGGCCTGCTCGGTGGTAGTTTGTCTAGCCATTGGTTCCTGACTGGCTGCACCTGACCTCAGCAGGGCAGCACTGACGACTGGGCCCCACCATATCGTCAGTACCAGTAAACAGCGTGGGGGAGCAATGAACCAGGATGACTCAAGCTCACCCCCAAATGCTCCCAGGGACTCTTGCGTGCCCCTACCCCTCGAAAGGGGTCGACAAAAGCATGGTGAATCCTTGGATTCCCTTAATGGAATATCTTTGCGCATTGGAGGGGACAGGTGCTCCAACTTCCCCTCCAGACCACCTTGAACCAATGCCTTAAATTATTTTGAGTCCTGGGAGAGCTGCCATCAACTCAATCCAAGCCCTCTTGCATGCAGGAATGCAAACTTATGCTGGAGGAAGACAGCAAACATTCTCGCCCAGCTGTACCACCAGCACTGCGGGAGGACCTGCACAGGTCACACTCAACCGCACCAAAGGAAGGATCTCCTCCCAAAGCATTCCCATCTGGACATCCAGTATATGTTCACATGGGCAGGAAGACTGAGATGGCGCCCCAGTCCAAACTCGTCAACCTGCTTGCCAGCCTAGTGTACAATGCTGTGGCCCAAATGTGCACAGCTGCTCCTATGAAAAAGGAAATAACAGACAAGCATCAGCACAGACATCATTGTGACACTTCCTGATATAACCCTTGTCAGCGTCAGACTTCCAATGACCCGTATTCACAATCCTGTCTACTGACAGGCCCCCAGTGTGCAGCCTTTGCAGCAGCACCCAATCGTAAGGAATGAGGCGTGTTCAGCGGTAAGCAAGCCGCAGGCCGTAATAACTGGTGCACGACGTAAGCACATTGATGCCTGGCTAACGGGAACCCATTTTCATGCACTAGGAGCGGGCCAGCCCCCAGGGAATGAAAAGCCAAATATTCTGTTATCCATAACCGGGCAAGGGCCCTCCTCACCTGTGGCGGGAAGCCTGATTGTGGCACTCCTGCCCACTAAGTCTGTTTTAGAGTTCCCAACTCTAATGACAAGCTCCAAAGGATAAGGAAAAGTCCTGAAGCAATAAGCCTCCAGACTCTCAGCCCCATGCTGGCTCCAACAACCATTTTCCCAAGCCTCAGTGCGAAAATGCAATGGACTACTGAAAGGAGTCTCGCCTTGATCTTTAACCAGCAGACAAGTTTTAACTTGTTGCAGATACTGCATAAGTAAAAATTGACCGGCTTCCTGCCCACTGTCCTATGAGGTTGGAGCCTATTCCAACCTTCCAAGGCCATGCGCACTACAAACTTTATACAAGGGTCTCTGAAAAATAAAGCTTCAGTGTAACAGACATTGCAGCGGACTGAATTCTGATAGTTATAACGCACGCCCAATCTGCAGCAGGTGGACCAAATACTGCGGATCTGCTCAGAGGATGGGGGCCAGTTCATCTGAATGGCCGAGGACTGCCAGCTTAAGGCTAAGAAATCCATCCAGGCCTTCTCATAAGAGCTAAAAGCAGAAGGGGAAATGGAAGCTGCTGCTCTCTGTAATTACTAATTGTTGTCAAAATGCCACAGGTGGTCTGGAAAAGTCTGGCAATAGCTGAGTCTGGAGCCCAGGATCTGAAGCACTTCATCTGAAAATGGGATAGAGTGTCAGCGACATCATTAGAGGATCCTGTAATTTGGAGAGTAGAAAGCACAATATTAAACCTTAAGCGGCGCAGCTCGAAAGCATGAATGGAGGGGCGGAGACTGTGCTAGAGCGTGAGGACTGTTTTGCTAAGACGCTCACCACTACCTGGTTATCAGACCAAAAGCAGATCCAATGGTCACTGAACTCCTCGGGCCACATGTGAACTGCTACTACAATGGGGAAAACTCAAGAAAAGTTATGTCACATGATTGCCTCACCACACCGGGCTTGAGGCCATAGCTTGCACACCAGCATCCCTTGAAATAAAAACCAAAGGGCAAAGATCCAGCAGCACCAGCATGAACCTGAAAATCCCTGTGCGGGTTCAAGGTATCCTGCCATGGCGAACTCCAGAGAAGCGGACACGGAGCAATGGATCCAAACTACAAGAAAGAAGATTCCACCTAAACATTAGGAAGAACTTCCTGACAGTAAGAGCTGTTCGACAGTGGAATTTGCTGCCAAGGAGTGTGGTGGAGTCTCCTTCTTTGGAGGTCTTTAAGCAGAGGCTTGACAACCATATGTCAGGAGTGCTCTGATGGTGTTTCCTGCTTGGCAGGGGTTGGACTCGATGGCCCTTGTGGTCTCTTCCAACTCTGTGATTCTATGATTCTATGATTCTACTATTGCATACATTCAGGAATTGCTACCATCGCCTGATATCTGCCTTCACCACACTTGGTAGGCGTACACAAAGGTAAGGGGACCTCAGGCCGCAGGCAGCCTGGCCTAGTGGGAAGATTAATTAAGAGACCCAGCAAGATCGGATCTGATGAAGCATCACTTGCTACAGAGGAAGTATTACAAAATAACTTCCTTCAAGGCAGACAGCTTCTCCATAGGCAAGTGGTATGTTTTAGCAACGAATATCCAACTGGATCCCTAAATAAAATGGGAATATGGGCAAAAGGTATTGAGCTATTGCTTGCCAGCTTCCAGCCCCCACTGGGCAGGGGGCATCTTGTGCTGCCATCATGATATGTAAATTTACAGGGCCGAGGCTGGCCAGAACCCTTAAAGAAGTCCCGACAAAGCTGCCGCCGAGCCAGCTTCCTTTTCAGACACACACTCTGTGCAATGCAAAAACACACTCCATGCAGTGCACACACACTCCATGCAATGCAACTACACACTCCGTGCAATGCAACTACACACTCCGTGCAATGCAACTACACACTCCGTGCAATGCACACACAAACCCTCTGTGCAATGCAACTACACACTCCGTGCAATGCACACACAAACCCTCCGTGCAATGCAACTACACACTCCGTTCAATGCAAAACACACTCCCTGCAATGCAACTACACTCCATGCAATGCAACTACACTCCATGCAATGCAACTACACACTCCGTGCAATGCAACTACACACTCCATGCAATGCAACTACACCCTCCGTTCAATGCACACACACTCCGTGCAATGCAAAAAACACTCTGTGCAATGCAACTACACCCTCCATGCAATGCATACACACACACTCCGTGCAATGCAACTACACACTCCGTGCAATGCACACACACTCCGTGCAATGCAACCACACCTTCCGTACAATGCAACAACACACTCCGTGCAATGCAACTACACCCTCCGTGCAATGCACACACACCCTCCATGCAATGCACACACGCTCCGTGCAGTGCAACTGCAAATCTCTCATGCAATGCAATGCATTTGCAGCCCGTGCAGCGCCGTGCCCTGCAACACACGAACTGCAATGCGGGCACGCAAAGGTGCTTTCTCCCGCTTGCATATTGCAAACGTGGCGCCCGTTACATCCCTCGCAGTGAGGTAACCACCGAAAGGACTTAAGTGTCCAGGTAGAGCAATGGGGGAGCATGCAGCTGTCCCATACAGGGACCAATCCTGCAACCCAGGCATTACCAGCACTATGCGCTGACCCAGTGAAACCAATGCTTCATGGACCACATGGGGACACTATTCAGGCCGGAAACGCTTCCAGGCCATTGAATTCTAGGGCAAAGCCCTAGGATCACCTGCTAGGCCAGGCATAAATGTTTCCAGTGAAATAGCAGAGTTGAGGTAGCCCACAGCTTGTCCAGGTACCCCTGCTTGCCCTTTTAGAGGGAAGCACCCTTTCAAGAAACCCAAAGTTCTTTTTCACAAATGGGCCTAACTACCCAGCAACAGAATAGCCCAAAAGGAGCAGTTTGTTTTTGTTTTGTTATAACAATGGCTAAGAGGGGGATATGAACCCTGTCTCCCAGGTCCTAGTCCTACACTTTAGCCACTAAGCCACAATGGCTCATCTCTAAAATGGCAGTCGCCACTATCAGGGCAAAACAAACTTAAAGAAAATAAACTTGTTCAGAAACAACATAGTTCAAGAGCATATACAGAGTGCTCATAGTCCTTGGAGGCACAGGGAGCCTCCGGGGCCCTCTGTCTGCCTCAGATATACATTAGCAGCAACTGGGCCTGCAAGCAGATACATTCCTATAGCGAGAATGAGTCACAATGACTTAACAGTTAACTGCTACCTGTAGCAGACTTAGGCTTGGAAGTTATGAGCAGGCCGAATAGGCCTCCCTGCTTCTGCTCTTGAGAATCTTAGTCTCATAGCAATATTAAAGGAACTCAAATTAGTGCTCCCACCCAAGGCTAGCTTAAAATTTGGCCAACAGCACTGCACACACTCAAAATAAAGCCAACCTTCGGGGATACTATAAACGAAAGTGATTCCAGCTAAGCTGGGAACAGCCCTGATTAGCCCCACAATTTCAACAAGAGAAATGGGGGAAACCTTTTTGCGAAAGAAAGCCCCTAACGGGGGCTCTCCCTATTGGGAAAGGCAAGCCACAGATACAGGGAGAATCTTCCCACAGGGCAGGGTAAGGGGTGGGGTGGGAAATCGAACAGGAAAAGGGGGGAATTAAATTATTTAAGGGACTAGAGAGGATTAAAGAAAGGGGAAATAAAGAAATAAAGAAATGTAACCAGACAATGAGAAGATTGTCCAAGCGCTCCATGTGATCCGGTGCAAAATGGCCAAGAGGACGTCCAACGTCTGGCCCCTGTATTTAAAGACTCTGACCCCTCCTCCAAATTGGCAACAATCAAAACTCCCCAGCAACCCAATTTTAACCACTTAAAGGCTTGGGTTCCTCACAAAATCTGCCCAGTAACGGCAGGGTGGCTTGTTCCCCCAACCGCAACACGTGCTCTCTGTTAGGGAGAACACGCTTTGTGTCTATACACATGCATATGTGAACCCGTATTTCCCACATTAAAGCATATGGTATTCCCCAAATAATCATGAGAACTGTGGGTTGTTAAGAATGCCGGGCATTGTAGCTCTGTGTGCAGGAAATTACAGTTCCTAGGATTCTTTGGGAAAAGCCATCTCCTTTAAATGTGCTTTACTGGAGACAATTGCATGCCATAGATGTTATTGCAATGACAAAGATACTCTGTATATATACATGATATTCCTTTGCTTATTTGAGGAAAATTCACCAATTCCAATAAGTGCCAATGTAAATGAATCAAACTGTTTAGTTATACAAAATGGGAGACAGTGAGTATAATGACTTTGTGCCAGAGTATATAATAGGTTTAGTTGCAGTAACTACTCATTTGCAATGAATACTGCCGTAGTATTCCACCCTTTTATGCTTCCAATTGTCTATGGATCATTTATTCTAGGTGCCATAAGTAGACAACACTCACTTTAAATGTAAATGTTGTGCTGAAAAATATACTCTTCTTTATAGTTTTCTCTGTGAGCAATTTATCTCTCCCAAGGTGAAGTAGAAAAGCCTGAGAGGAGGCCATGGCTCTTTGTAATTCTTAGCTCCAAAGACCCTCTTAACCTACTTTGTTCTCCTTGACGTTTTTTACTTCTATTTTGCATTTTAGTGAGAAGCCAAATAGAGAGGAAGTGAAAGTAAATTATTAACTAAATACAAACATGGGTGCTTTGACTTGTTTTGCTAACCTTTATATGTGAAGTTTAGCCATAAATTTCTCCAAAGTGTAAAACCATAAGCAACTTTGCTAAATATCAGACATCAGCCTGAGCACAGAACCCTCAGAGGCCAAATTATGAGGAAGGTCCACATCTTTAGGTGGTAAATGATTTCAGTGCTTTATTTTTCTGGTCTGCTTTAATCTCACACTAATCACATAGAACTACTTGTTTCCTTTTGCTGTTATTTTCTAAATTTGCTACTTAATCCCTGCTACCTTGTCTACCACAGGATGCCTCTTGCCACTAAATCAGTGCCTCAGGTAAAACTGTAGAAGCTTTGGGTGAAGAAGACGGGGAGAATTGCGTGACAGCGGCAAGTGAGGGATGATAATCACCATTAAAATAACTTTTCACTAGTTTATAAGAATTGAGAGCAGCCTGGAATTGTGGATGGTGTCAAAGTAATCCCAAACTAGAAGCTGATAGAATTACACTTCAGTATTTAAAAATTAAATGTGGGCAGCAGTCCCATTCTATATATTTTTCCTCAACTTGGCTCAATGATTGTATTTTTATTCATTTCATTTAACATAATTTATATACCACTTAATGGTAAATAAAACCTATGAGCAGTTTATGAAGAAATTAACGTTAAAAGCAAGCTTTTAAAATTCAAAATGTAAGTCACCAGTTAAAAATAAACATTACAAGCTAAATTACAGATTAAAATGCATGTCAATTTTGCATGTCTGGGTAGGTTTTCCTAAACAAAAAGGTGCTGAAAAGAGAATATATATTTGCAGTGACGTGAATCTATATATGCATGTTTGGTAAGAAGCAATTATCACTTACATACATTGTTCAAATAAGTTAATAATAATAATTCAGGACTTCGTGTTTACTGCATGCCAAAAACAAAAATGCTACCATCTGCAATGCCAAATTCACAATTGACAAAATAAAGTAGACAAGTTTAGGTCATCTGAGCTGAGGAACTAATCAGAAATGATTTATCATTCTAATTTAATTTGGCATCAGCAAAAGAATGCCATCGCAAAAAGAGGCGTGAGATGCACACACAAACACACACAAAACAGACCTTGGCCGAAACCCATTTCTGACCTCTAATGTCTGGACCTAATGAATATGTCCTATTTAATTGACACCGATTGATTGATTGATTGATTGATTGATTGATTGATACCTATTTAATATGTCTCTGTAACCTTGAGATCTAGAAACCCCTGATTAAAAATGAAAGCTGGGTTTGCTCTTTCCATTTTGCCATCCTTTGCTCTTGATTTCTTAGTCATTGTGCTAGAGAGTTGGGACCAGGTATGGGCAAGTTCAAAGCTATTGCTTAGCTACAAATCTCCTAAGTAGCCTTGAACAACACATTGCTTGACTATACCATTTCCACTACTGCTTAGATTCTCTTACCAGCAAGATTTTGGTCACGGAGCAAGGTTTCTACAAAAGCGCAGGAGCCATCCAACTATAAATCACAGGTATATGAGCTAGACAAGGTTACATCAGCAATAACTAGGCACCAATTTTTTTAGTTGCCCTTGCTCTCCCACCCCTTCCTGGAGCATGAGCAGGGCCCTGGCTCAGAACATGTGCTGGTTCTGAACCCGTCCTCCTGACTAGGGCTCAGGGAAGGGAAAGGCTGGGGTGATCTGAGGGATCTGAAGCTGGGAGGTAGGACCAGCTAGATTGTGTTAGATCCCCCAAATCCATAGCCCCCCCGAATGGGACACCTTCTGGAGGGAGGGTTTCTACTGCCTCCCCTTGAAACCCATTAAGTGCTAGGTGGGCTAGCTTGTATGAGCGCAGGCTTGCATTGGTCACTATTTTCGACTACAGCATGTGGAATTCTGAAGATGATGTAAGCATTCACTTTCTCATAAGAGAAGAAGATAGTTTGTTATAGTCATGCTAAGCACTCACCTACTTTTTAATACACCTACCCCTAGCCCCAGTGTTGCCGTTCTTTTACTGACTGTTGTAATAGTTCATAAAATGTGCACATCACAAGTAATAGGAAAGCTTGCCGTACATAGGGGGAGGTGATTTGTGTAATTTATCAGCTGTTGCAGCAAAGCATGTTTCTTTTTGTTCTAGTTCCACCTAGAAGCGTTCACATTACTTCAGGTACATTGGTTTTACTTTGGGATTACGTTAGAAAATATTAGTAGGGGTGGGGGAATACACATTGTACTTGGAGCATGATGCCTTTATTGTGTATCTTATTTGACTGAGTGAAATAATTTTAAAGCACTGCTTTGTTTCTCCCTCTTACCCCAGGCTATGAATACAGAAGAGGAGCACGAACACTGGCAAGATAAGGAAAGCTACCTCTGTGCAGTGTGCCTGGATGTTTATTTTAATCCTTACATGTGCTATCCCTGCCACCACATCTTCTGTGAACCTTGCCTACGCACACTCGCCAAAGATAATCCAACCAGCACTCTGTGTCCTCTGTGCCGCACGGCAATTGCCCAAGTTTTTTTCCAATCAGGTATAAAGCTTTCAAAGATATATTTCCTCTTTCCTAGTAACGACCAATAAATATTTAGCTGTCTTCCCTCAAAGTGAATGTTCAGGACTAATTAGACACTGTACTCCAAATCTAGTATAATGGTAACTACTCATACATTAGGCATGATGGTAGCAGATCCATGTGTCTAAATCCACATCTATTCCAGTTATGTAGAGAAAGGGATGGGTACAAATGTTAGTAGCGAAAGTGGAAAGCCAGGAGGGGGTGTTAAACTGTCCCTCACCAAGCCAGGAGGTTCTTCCAAGACACATTTGTCTTCAACTGGGCTTAGAATCACCAATATTGGGAGAAAAGCACACGGGGAGATTGTGTGTGTAGCACTCACTTTTCCATAGCCAAACAGCCTGCCCCTACATAAGGGGGGCGGATGCTGCTTGAAACACATAATCAATTACATTCTTATCTAGTCGGAGCCTTAGTGGTTACAAGTTTCTCGCACTCTCTTCTTTCAGGTGCACCCAGAACAGCACTCCAGAACACAATTTTTGTTGCAGGAACAAAAATATATGGTTTTAAATAGAATTAACCCTAAATACCAGGATGCATTCACTTAATAGTCTTACCTGTTGCTAGGTCCACCCCCAACCCTGTTTGATGCAATAAACCCAGAAGCATGGGCTATACAAAAATTATCGATTACAGCAGGTGTTTCAGTTTTTTCCACAATATGATCTATCTCAGTCCAAGTTCCTGTGAATAGCTCAAAGCATTCCTCTCTCACAACATTAAAATTATAGCAATAGAAACCAGAATAGCAGTAATCCATTCTTCTAAGATTTCTCCAGCTATGCAACTTTTGAAATTAAAGAGTGGGTACAAACATTATCTGGTTGAGCTTAGATACCCTGCAGCCCAGAGAGCTTTTTCCTTATTAAGTTTTCAGCTTTGAAATCTGCAGTAACGGGGGAAGAGCACTTGGTATGCCCACAGGACCAGATAAGATGCATTTGTGGTTCAATGGAAATTGAAGAGCTAGCTCATTATTTATTGTACTGTCCATTATACAGCACATCCAGTGATAATCACTTGGGCGCTTTTCTAAAGAGGATGAGTAATGGCCCACAAAATTCCAGATTAATTTTTTTGCTAGGTTTCTGCCAAAATGGTGGCAGAGACAACTTGCCTGATTGAGTCAGGAAGGAAGGCTATTAATTGCAAAGGTGATGAGAATCATTAGTGATCCTGTGTTTATGTATTGAGGTTTTGGACAGCTTTCCTCTGCACTAGAGCCCAGGCTAGACTATGCTTTCCCCCAATCTTCTCTGCATATTTATTTAGAAAATGTTGATACTATTCTTCATCCTACAACTGATCACAGAATGATATCCAGCAAAATATAAAAACATTATAAAACACAAACAATAATTTAAGAATAATGGAAACACTAAACCATCATAAAATCATAAAAGAATAAGGCAAGGGCTAATCTCTACCAATTTCCTGCCACTTAAGTACTGCAAGCTGACTACCTAGAAACTTCATCAGCTAATAATCTACTTTACGGCGCTGCTATATAAAGTTTCAGAGAGCTCTTTAATTGCATGTGCTCAGCTTCCTTAGCTATGATTGAGACCCTTCTGCTTTAAAATCTATACTTAATATCCGTATGTTTACTTCCTAGACTGCAGCCCTTTATATAGCTAGGGATGCTATATAAGTATTCAAGAAGATATCACATCATAAATAAATAAGCTAAAAGTATTGCTCTGCTTTCCTTTGGACCCCATCAGTGAGTCCAGTGAGTCTTGTCGTCTGAGCAACCCAGGACCTCCATACAAACTGCCCAGGCTTATGCTCCAGAGAGGTCACTTTAGTGCTGCAAGTACACTGACATGTAGCCTTGAACCACAGTGTATATAGCTAGACATCCCCAAATGCTTACATGCAACCTATCTGGAATCTGCTGTGGCCAGATCCTAAGCGTCCTTGTTCAGTGGAACTTATTCCCTGGTAAGAATGGATAGGATTGCAACCCAGGTCATGCAACTGTAGCCTGTATTTTAAATTATTATTATTATTACAAGTGCTATATATTTTTTTTTTTAAAAAAAACTGCTGCAGGAACTCAACCAATTTTTAGATCATGCTTGCCAGGTTTTCTTATATGTGTTTTATATTGAATGTTTAAATTTTTTTGGATTTTAAAATTCCTTTATGTGCAGCATGGAGACTCTGTGTGTGTGTGTGTAATATGTGAGAAAAGTAAATAAAATATTTGGCAATTACAAAATTTACATGATGAAGTGGTTAAGATTTGTGACGTGTTTTTTTCCTTCCCCCACACTGCAGAACTGAACAATTCAACAAAGGCTCACTTTCCTATTGAATATTCAAAATTAAAGGAAAACTTTCAAGAATCCGGTTTAGCAAAATGGCCCCTCCCTAGTTGCAGGAAGGCATTCAGAGTTATTGAAGGTAAGAAAGATTGCTAAATATTTTGCCTTTTCATGTGTCACATGCAGCCTGTAGCATTCATGTGAATGGATTTGATGCCATTTCTTGGCCGCTACCTATAAATTTTGCAGCCCAAGGTCTACAGATTCATTACATTACATGCGCCAGAGTTCATAACAGGACACTACTAGGGCCCTGTATTGAAAGAGTATAGGATAATACCACTGTTCAGATTGGTGGGTCTAACTGGTATTTGGGGTAGTCTATGCACCATGTTGTACAATATTATTGCTGTGTTTCCCATTTGAAATCTAGGTATGTGACATTTTCCTGTAAACTTACTTTACTGTCAGTTTCCCCAGGAAATACAGGTGTGAACCACCTGAAATTTGCTTTCTTTTTCATTCAGCTTCCTACTAACTTCCGCTTACAGGTTTTCAAAATCTTAAGCAGATTATAAATGCTTCTAAATAAATAAATAATACTATTGCCCTATGCAATGACGTGTACAATCTTATAATAGTATAACTATGATCTTTGATTCAGCAACAGCCATTGCCCTCTAATATGCATTGATGCCTCATGGGGCTTGGAGTTGGCTTAAGCTGAGGTCCTTTCTGTTTCACGAATGCTAAGAAGTAGGCAGAAAAAGAATAAGAGACCCTCTATCATGGTTCAGAATAGGCACTGCCATGACATGACTTTATCACTTATTCTAGGGAGCAGAGCCCTGCACTGACTTGGTTTTATTTGAAACATTATTCTTTACTGGCAAGCCTTTGAACAAGATTGGAAGGTTAACTCTGAGGGTACTATATCCAGAATTGATAAACAGCTGACCCAAAAGCATCTTCCAGTGTAGTACTGTAAAACTGGGTCAGTCAAGGTCAGTCCTTTTTCACTGAAAGCAACAAAAAATGTTCTGTGGCCTATGGAGCATTTATGGTTCTGCTCCCAGGCAAAATTTACAACCAGCAAAGACTATGCTTTTCTCTTCTTTCATTGAGTACCATTGTCCTACTAGGCTTGTGCTGAGCATGTATTTTTTGTTGTTACATAACTGTCATAAACACAGCACAGGACACACATTGTTGCTGGTATCCTTGTTTGCCCAATGTCACTTTGAAAAGAGTAGTCATGCAATATGAAATGACAGATCTGATGGAAGCAACTTCAAAGAGTTGATCTAGCTAAATGTCAGATAAAGGAAGGAATCTGCAGAAATGCTGTTGGGATTTTAGAAAGAATAATCATAAAGAGAAGGAATGTCTAGATGCCCTTTAACATTATTTACAGATGTATATTCAAGAGTGAAGATAAGATGACAAAGGCGGGCTTGGGCATGACCTCTACTTCTGTCACAGGCTTGAAATTGATGGTTCATTAAACCACTTCAAGCTTTGTAATTCTGTTATTTAAAATACCAAAATTTAAGAGCAGTTTTAGTATTTCAGTGAACTTCTTCAGGAGGTTGTTCATTTCCTTCCTTGTAGGAATTACGAGAAAGGTTGAACAGGCACCTGACAGGGATGCTTTAGGTACAGCTATATTGACAGAGATTAGGGAACTTAACAACAGCCCTCTGGTTTCCTTGCTGCCTTATGATTCTATAATAATGCCCACCTAGTCATTAATAAGTATATTAAGTATCAGTTAATGTTTAACCAAAAATACTCATGAATTAAAATCACTGCTTCTCATCAGTTGGTAATTAGCATCCAGTTTCAAATCTGATTATTGGTATTGACTAGCTGTGCTAGCTTAAGACTGTTTTTGTTATGAGAATTGCTATGAGTTACATAAAAGAGTAATCACTGAGAGTCCAAAAAAAAACACCCACCCAAATGAGTGTGCCCAATCAATTTTACTGAGTAAAACTCTCAGTATATCCTTGGTTCTGCTTTCATGCCGGCAAACTACTTGCTGGCTCTTTTTTCTAATTCCTCTCCCTGTATTGTATCTCTTAGGATTGCTAAAATATTTATAGAATCTCTAATGCCTTTTGGGTCACTCCTCCCAAAGGCTCTGTGAGCCATGTTTTAAACATAATGCATTATGTTTCTTTCCTCACCTTTCCACACTTTCAGAACATCCTGAGTACATGTTGCTACAGAGAGCTTGTGAACACTTCCTGTTAAGACAGTTTTTCATTGAAGAAAAATAATAGATTTAAGTTCCATGGAATCAGTGAAAACACTGTATCCAAAAAGCAAGAGTATTAAAACTAGAGATAAAACATACAAACTACTATCTTACCGTTTGTAGTTGTTTTACAATGCTTTACGTTTATTTTCCTTATTACTGTATTATTGTTTACCTGCCCTTTGCCCTAAGGCCCCAGACAATACAACATTTAAAACAATTTATTATCACAAATATAGGGTGAGTCCTGAAAATAGATATCTCAGGCATCAAAGCTTTGCATCTTCAGCATTCAGGACAAACTGTATAGTGAATTGCCATATGGACCACTGTGAGGAGTTCCACAGCTTAGGGAAGAAGGCTATTCTGTTATTTTTAATAAGTGCTTATTCTGTAACAAGTGAAAACATTCTCTTCTACAACATTGTTCTGAATCACTCAATCAACAATTAGCCTTAAGACCTGCTGTAATTAAGATAGCTACCCGCATTGCTCAAATAATTAATTACATGCTCACTTCATATATGTAGCATTTTAAGTAAAATTGTCCATTACCTGCAGTTTTCATCATGTGAAAACACTTCACATAAATTTTACATGGGCAGGTATTTTTCAGTCCCCCACAACCACTACACCAGTTGAAGTCACTGAGATGCAAATTCTTTGTGGCAGGCACAAGTATGGGGTACGATAGTGGCACAAGTGCTTTTCTGCTGTGCTTCCCACATCTCTTCCACCCCATCCTATTTCAGCTGGCACAATGGTTCCACCAGTGACTTGCTCTGCCAGTGTTCCTGCTATTCCTCTGGGGTAAAGGGGCTTCTGCCAAATCCTGTTGCCCCTAGGCCAGCATATCTTGAGTACTGTGCCCTAAATGGGTTGGGTACTTACTGGCTGTGACCCAAGCCTGGTAGATGCTACTCATGAAGATGTGGATGTCCTTTTGCTTTCTAACTCAGCATACTATGTAGCCTATGATGATGAAGAAGTAGATAAAGTAAATCCATACCAAAGGCTGAGCCTTGAAGATTTGGAAAGAATAGCACTAGATCCTGAACCAACTCTCTTTCAGAGCCCAAGTTCTTGTGCATGAAGCTCCATTATAAATACAAAGACACAAGTGGATATTTCCATACCCTTAGAGCGGTGATGCACAACCCTGAAGAGGATGGAAAAGATACTCTTCAGTGCATTGCAGAGATGCTGCAAATCACAAAATAAGCCATGGGGTTAGTTGTAGCCATTATTGAGAAGAAACTGGAGAGGAACAGCAGTAAACCCCATGAGGACGTCATTGGTATTAGATCCCAAAATAGAGGGTCCCTAGCCCAATGAAAATACTACTTAATGAGAAAGTTCTCATCTCTTAATCAGAAAGTGAAGCAAACCAAATCCAGTGTAAACATGAGCAACCTTAGATAGTTGGGGAACTTTACAAAGCCTGAATTGAAGGTCAACTTCTTAAAGCCCAACTTGAAAGAGAATCTTTGGAAATCTGACAATAGTCTTGAAACCATGGAGAATCCTGTGATGGCCTGGGACTCGGACTCGGAACCGGAGGAGTCTCAGTCCACACCGGATCCTTTGCCTCAGGCGGCATCTTAACCTAGTCTGGGGCCTGATTCTGAAGATCCCCAGTCTGCACAGGTTCCCTTGAAAACAAGCACCAGGTGGGCCGAGTCAGGGGCCTGAGCCTGCCCTGGCTCCAGTTGCGGCTAGTACCTCATTGCCTTCAGCTGGGCAATCACTTACAGCTGCTCCACTACCAGTTGGGTCAGGAGCGGCTGAGGCGGCCTCTGGGTCCAGTAACCCACTGACATCTCCTGAGCTGCAGAGACTAAGGTCTGAGAGAAGGAGAGACCTGAGTACTTGCAGGAGGAGTGCTCACCTTTGAGTGAGACAGGGAGGTGAGTCACCGGGCGATCAGGACCGGCCATTACCCCGACAAAGATAAAAGGCTGTCGGACCCTGCCTCAGGTTGCGGGAGCAACGTTGCTGTTTGCTAGAACCTGCCTGAGACCCTGTGCCTGACCTTGCCTGGTTTCCTGCCTCGTGTCGTGCCTTGGCCCTGTCGGACTAACTCCTCGTGGAACCCTTGGATTCGGGACTGGATCTGGACCGTGTTGCTCGGGTTACCCCTGGGCCCATCACAAATCCCATGACAGATCCTAAAGCCAATGCAGAATCTGAATTGAGATCTCCTCAGATACGGATTCATTCTGATGAGTACCTTACAGATTCCAAAGCTGATGATGACCAGCAGTTCATGGACTCCTCGGAGAACGTGGGACAGATAGATTATGTTCTGCCCAGTTGTGGTATCATCGCCTCTGCTCCTCGGCTAGGCAATTGGTCCCAGTCTATACGCAGCACTGACATCAATGTTAGCATTCCTGTTCCTTCAGAAATTCACGTGACACACTATGAAGACCAAACTAACAAGTCTGAATTGGAAGGCAAAGGACCCCAGGAAACTGCTGCCACAGACAATGCCGTAATAGAGTTCACTAAGCTGATTGATGTCTACTGCCACAGATTTATGCAGGACGCTCAAACTAAGATGACAAGTGTTTCGGAAATGGAGATGAATTCTCAAGAAGCCCAGCAAGAGGTGGATTGTGTTAGCAATAATGCTTCAAAGAAAACTGAATCTTGTTTGGGAACAGCTGTTGAGGTTCCTTCTAGACCATCTAAATTGAACGTACCATTTTCAGAGTCAGGATCCCAATTCTTAGCAGTAGAAAACACCAATGCTAAGTCTCATAACAGTCCAGGCTCCTCATCCAGTGTACTGGAAGCTGGGTCAGGTTTCATATGACTCCTTCACCAGCAGAGAATAATGGCAGTGGGGCAGTTTCTCCTTTTGCAAAGATTCAGAGCTCCATGGTTCAAGTGACTAATATTACACAAGCTGGTTTGACCCAACAAATCAGCTTTGCAGTGGCTAAAGTCCAGAAGAGCCCAGCCGAACCAGAATCTGTAAATGAAATTCAGCAAAATGAACTGAGAGAAATGTTCACACGGTGTCAGATGTGAATAATTCAGATCGAGGGAGCATACGCTTCAGATTTAAGTTGTACATACAGTATTGCTAAACTAATGGTTTGTAACGGCCCTTTGAGGGGAGGGGTGAACCAACTGCCACTAAGTATTGGTATCAAAAAATGCCAGTAACTATGTTTACAGAAAGGTTTGGGAAATGTTAATTGGGTTCTGAACAGGTTTCAGAATTATTCTCAAGTGAAGGTAAACTATATTAAACAGGCAGCTCATACACCAGTGGTTGATGTGCATGTTAGTTTGTGTGATCAATTGCACAACTATCTTTTGAGACCAGTTTCTACAGGCTTTCTGATTTATGTAGAAGCTGGTTCTAAACACCTGTTAACCCTAAATGTATTTAATGTTATTGGCCAAGTGATAGTGAGTGTCTGTGCACGGGTGCATGCCCATGCAAGACTCAGCTCTCAGTTTTAACATAAAAGTGAATTGATTGGTGTTGAATTGCCAGGAGAACAAATCCCTCTATAAATATTTCTGTAATTATCTTTAAACTATTTTGAAATGATATGATAAAAAGTGTCAACGCATCTGTGAAACAGCCAACTATTTTGTTTAATTTCAGCACAAGATGTGCTCGATACTTAAATAACAGATTTAAAATAGCAACAAGCCACAATGTGATATTTCCTAACATCTTTATGTTAGTTGCTTAAACTCTCAGTAACAGTAACATGCCTGGGTGTGAAGAATATTCATTGACCTCTGATTTCCAGGTTAATATTGGGAACTTTCCTTGTATTATATAAACCATCTTCAAGTCTTCATGCACAAATCACAGAAAGTAGTTATATTAATCAGTTCTTACTGAAAACCTGCATGTAGGACACCTGTATCTAGTAATTTATTTCTGCTTAATGTGCACAATGAAACTGTCAATTTGGTTGAGGAAGTAGCACAGAGACAATGGAGGAAATTCAGAGACTTTTACATCATTTAAAAACGTTTCCCAAGCCACAATACCTCAAGGACTGCCTCTCCTCATATGAACCAACCAGGACCCTGCGATCATCATCGGAGGCCCTTCTTCACTTGCCTCTTCCATGAGAGATCCAAAGGGTGGCAACACGAGAACAGGCCTTTTCTGTGGTAGCTCCCTGTTTGTGGAATGCTCTCCCCCAGGGAGGCTCGCCTGACACCTTCATTACAGGCAAAAACATTCCTCTTCTCCAAGGCCTTGGGCAATTAAACAATCTAGGGTCTTTTAAACTGTGGTGGGGTATTACTTTGTTTTTTACTATGTTATGTATTTTTATGTTAAGCACCCTGTGATCCTCAGATGAAGGGTGGTATAGAAATTTTAGTAGTAGTAGTAGTAGTAGTAGTAATAGTAATCCCCACACAGAGAGAGACACTTAATCATCTCTATCCAGCCATGTACAAAGGTTCCAAAGTCTCACTTCATATGAAGCCACTGATTTTGGAAAAAGTAAATTTTGTAGAGCCTGAATGTTAGAAGATTCAGGACAGATAGAAAAAAGTAGTTCTTCATGCAGCACATAGTTAAACTATGGCACTCACTTCCTCAAGAAGCATTGATGACTGCCAACTTGGATGGCTTTAAAAGGGGACTGTACTGACTGCCACAGTTAGAGGCATTAGAGGTTGGAGGTTGTTGGGAATTGCAGGTCGTGTTGTGCTCATGTCCTTTTAACAAGCTTCCCACAGTATTCTGGTTGGCCACTGTGAGAGCAGGATGCTGGGCTGATCCAACAAAATCATCTGGCGTTAATCAGAAATAGCAAGGTTCAAAAGCCAGTTGGGAACATTTCAGCATTCCAGGACATTCTGTAAATGACCTTAAAGCAGCCATCCTGGCCACGGTCTGTCAGAGAACTATTTGTCCATCTAGCCCACTATCTCTCTCCTTCCTATGTTCCTTAATGCCTTTATTGTGTTTCATACCTGCATGGTTTATTTTTTGAATTAAATTGCATTCCAAGCAGTCGTTTGGGGGTTAACAATCAAGTTTTAACTTGAAGAAAATTTTCATGCATTTTCCCTCCAAATCCAGAAACCTTCACCCATATTTGTTATCTTCATTAACAGCTGTTGCTAGCCACCTGCTGTGAGGCCGAAAAGGAAACTTGAGTGACTGTTTTCCACATGATTTTTTTCAGCATCACACAGTGCTCACATCTATATATAAAATGTGCTGCACAATCATACAAGGATAAATCTCACTTGGCTAAAATCTCCTGAGTTGTGAGAAATGCAGGTACTGCTCTCAGCTTAGAATGTGCTAAAATGTTAGCTTCTGTTTGATTTACCTGCTACTCTTTGGTTAGCTACTTAGATTAAAAACAAACAAACACCGCCTGTAGGTTTTCCATCACTTTGCTCATTGACATTCTTCTGTTCATAATAAAACAAAAATGATGGGTTGTTGTTGTTTTTTGCACCATCTCACATAATGTCTCTAATGGACTTTTGCCTGTTGTTTTTCTTGAGGGTAGGAGAGAGTGGTTATTTTCTAAAATGCCACAAAAATCAATGCAAGGTAAAGAAAACAGCTGAAAGAAGGAAGATGAGAGCATACTGTTAATCGAATCACAGACAGTTCGCTTCTTGGAGCAAAGACTGACTGTCTCTTATTCAATTAACACAGTTCACTTTTGCCTTCTTTGTTCTGAGAGCAGTAGATTTTAGCCTGAAATCATTATAGATTTATTTTATGTTTCTTAAACAACTGATGCAAAAACCTCTGGGAGCATTTTTAAACAATTAGTCCCATATATATATAATTTCATTGGTTCTGTGGCTGTCATACAGAACAGTTTCCTGATTGGCATCCTCTACCTCTCTTCAGACTTGCTTCATAAAAGCATCCATCCCCACAGTTTGCCTTACTAGCCGCATAAATGTAACACAGGCCACATTGTCCCTGAAACATCACAGGGCCCCATCATTGAAATCTACATGGAATAAATTTTAAAGACACTGAGAAACTAGTTGAAGGGAGAACTACAAGGAAGGTATGTGAAAGAAGACATTTGATTAAAACAGCCCTTTTTTGTTTGTTAACAGAATTTTTCTAGATAGAAGTATTCCTATCAGGAAAAAAATTAAATGGCGTGAAACATGTTCTAAGGAGCTGGATATCAAGCAGACATTTGCATCATATTACTAAATACAGTATGCAAGAGCTAAAGCTTCCTAACATCACTGCAAAACAGGCAAAAGACTTCCAAAATTACCCTTTACCCTTGCCACTAAATCTCTACTAGATGTCTGGCAGACCAAGATTATGCTTTTCTTATACCTAGTGCCTTTCTGTTTGCTGAAAATGAGTGAAAAATGTTGACATCCTTCAGTAATGGTAACAACATTCGGTTTTGCAGGTTAGCAGAGGCTAATGGGGTGAACTACCCTTCATTCCAATTGGGTAAGGAAAAATGATGAGCCCATTGGTCCATCTAGCTCAGTATTGTCTATCCTGGTGAGCAGCAGCTCTCCAGTGTTTCAGGAAGGACCTTTTCCCACCCAACCCAGAGATGCCACCAAGGACTGGACCTGGGGCCTCCTGCATGCAAGGGAGATGGTCTGCCTCTTGAGTTGCAGTTCTTAGTAACACATATGCTTATGGTGCTGCTTGAGTTTGGGCCGGAGACCAGGCTGGGAGTGGGGTGATCCTTCCTTCTTCCCAAAGGCATATGGAAAATAATTCTTAAAAACAAAGAAAATATTTTAAAGACTTTATGGAAAGCAAAATGAGAAACACAACTGGTGACTAAAGAACACCCTATTCAGCCACGTGTACTGAGAAGACCCAGCTTCCCCCTTTTTTAATTCGATGTGGACTATTAAAACTGAATTAATTAAGATATAGTAGAATGAATTTCCTATTTATGTGACAGGAAGTTCAGACAGGAGCCTAAACTTACCGTTTTTATGCTTTTGGTGCATGCAGTAATGAATCTGCAAGAGCCTTAGATGGAAGGGTGTTTAATACTAGCATGTAACTTACGCTTTGGATTTATGATTGCTTTTCATTTACTCTTCGAAGTCAAGGGGGCTTCCCATACAGTTCTGGCGGGGAAAATTGGGTCAGACATTTAGCTAATGCAGTATGAGATGTATGACTGTGGAGTTCACCAGCAAGAACAATTACAGTAATAAAATTTCTATTTTTGAATGAAAAATGATTACATTATAAAGTCTAATCCAGGGTAAATATAAGGCAGGTTTGCTTAAAGTAAATCACACAGAGATACAAATCAAGGATTACATCTATTCATCTGAATCTTCTCAACTGGTGCAACTTAACGTCACAAGTTCAACTAATGTCACTAAACGTTTGCATGATTATGTTTTGATTCATGATTACAAGATGATTCAAAGTTGTTGAGGCAAAAATAGCCGCCTGGCAAATTTTGTGTTATATTTGCCATATGAACGGAGATAAATAAAATATAATCAAACGTAGCCAATTTGATTAAAGTCCTCTGGAGAGTGGACTACATATAGAAGATTTATATATGGAAATCAAATAGTTTCACACCAATGGCAGCACTTGTCACTTCCAGATTCATTCCTTACAAGCTGTGACATAAAATGAGGAAATAAAACCTAGGTGCACATTTTGTAGTGATGTTTAGGATATGTTAATACCCCAGAGCCATTGAAAATATACTCTAAAAGCTTTTATGGGGGATAATCTAAGATACTTCTGTTATTACTGTATTAAAACCTTAAAAAATTAAACTTTATTAGATTAAAATTATTGGGGAAGAAGCTGATCTGATAATACAGAATGTAATTTCTGCTATTGTGTGCATGTTATTCTGGCATGAGGTTTGGCATTGAGCCATCTTTCCCTTATACATTTTTATCTCATTATTTGAGAATAAGACTGCACTATCAATTAAAAAATTGATAAAATATTATTCCCAATCCATTTCATTTAATTAAATGCTGGGAGAATGGGTTGGTTTTGTATTGGGGTGAATATTTTACTTGTGTTTCTTGGGAAAGGGTCTTATTTTGGGATACAAACGGAAGTTGGCTGTAGTGACAAAAGTTTTGTTCCATATTCTCCTTTTATCACATATCATAGAGCAAAACCATGTCAGATTTTTAAAAAATAATAATAATCGAGAGTGATTTATTATTAGCCTTTGAGGGACTGGTCACTAGGAGGTGGTTTTTGATATCTCATGGCTTTTCTTTTCAAACTATGCACAATAGCCTCATAAGCACACATGCTCTAACTTTATAAAGATCTGCAATAGTTTGACATGCAGTCACATTTTTTTTAGGTCACATTTTTAAAGCAATTTTGGCATAAGGGTAAGTACATCCATTACAAAGGCTGGAAGTTGCAAGGGGTTGTATCATGTAAAGAGCCTATCTGAAAGGGCCACCCCATATTGGAGACAATGCTGCATGAGAAATTAGGTAACGTAAAGCATAGTTGGTTCCAGATAACCCAAATTAGATCTTTCACGAGCTCTGTACTGTCCAAATTGAAAGGAATTTGCTCCCAAACCTCGTTTGTTTACACTCCTTGGGGCAATTGAAAGGGTTAGCATCTCAGTTATACAAACTGCTTGTTGATATCATTATAGGATCCTCAGAAGGCTTGAGAATGGTGTGCGAGGGAGATATAGGGCGTCTTGTTTTATTCTATTTAATTTTTAGGGATTCTTGTTTGTTTTATGGTTTTTAACTCCCCAGAGGACATTATTGAGTGGTATATAAATATTGCAAATAAATAAAATAAAAGGCATAACACAGAAGGAAAGAAAGATAGGGAGGAAAAAGGAAAATAAGCAAAATCTAGCACAGGTGCTTAAAGTTTGTGTACTAAGAAGCTTGAATGGAAGCATTTGGAGAGAGAAGAAGGGCGAACTGGAACTGACCTCTCAGCAGAGCCCGCGAAGTGTTTCCTGATTCATATCATTCCCTCTTCTACAGCCAGGTGGAATGACTGCTGCAAGATGGCATATGAAGGAGAGATGGGATCAAATGTAGCTGGACTATTATATTAGCATATGGTTTCCCCCTGTCTTTTCTCTGTGTATCTAAGAAAAGGAATTTATACTAGCTGTATTTTTGACAGAATTATAACTTGTTCTTTTTTTTCTGGTCCTGCAGGTTTTCAAAACACAGATTCCTTTACCCGAAGGCATTTCCCACATGCTGCTCACAGGATGGACTATATGGACTTTGAGGATGATAGCAGAGGATTGCGATTTGACATGGACATGGTGATAATCTACATTTATTCCATCAATTGGGTTATAGGATTCATTGTGTTCTGCTTTCTCTGCTATTTTTTCTTTCCCTTTTAAGGACTTCTATTTCCCATTGTTTCGTTCAGCCATCAGGCATGGGAACAGACATACCCTGATGTAAAGAGCATGTAGAAGACTTGGATTTACTGTTTTAAAAATTGAAATGGTTAAAATATCAAGAGTAACCCAGTGTCCGTTTTCTAATCATTAGGTTTTTCTGTTGCATTTTGAACTTTGAATTGTGAAGAAGTATTTGTATATAGTGTGTAATTTTACTAATGCCTTCTAAAATGGACACACAGTTTTCTGATCGAATACTTTCTTTTTGGTTCTGTATTGCCAACATTTAAGCACATTAGAGCAGATTCAAATGTGCATATTCACTGCAAAGTGGCTTCAGCTACAAGCTACAATTGGCATGTTTGAAACAGTCTTCATAGTTCACATCCTACAGATAGACCCTCCATATCACCTCAGATATAATGATTTCTGTGGAGGAGTTCACACCTTAAGCAGCTAGGCTTCCTTGTAATGTTTGGAGTTCTCCATATGATATATATACTGCCAGTGGGAACATTTTAGGGAATGGAATGTTCAGAGTTGGTCAGTGTCATCAAGTAACAAATAATCAAGTGATGGTGCAAGATATCAGGTGATGAATATGAACATGTGAATCAGCCCTTTGTTTCTTTCTTAGCACTTGACATGCAAGGTGGAATAAGGTTACTTGCCTGTTACTTTAAGCTCACATCTTATACAGATTCACACATGCATACAGAATCAACTGAGGCATGAATGAGCAATCACAGCTCAAGTCAGAAAGGTCGTATCGCCACACATTTCCTTAAACACAGTGTTTTTCATTAGAGACTGCTCACACATTCAGCTGTGTGTTGTCAAGTGTTGAAAAATCAAATAATCTTTACTTGTGCACAAACTGCCCTTAGATGTAAGAAGACTGGAAGCATTGCAAAGATACATATGTCACACATTCTTGTAACACACACACACACACACACAACCTCAATATGTGGAAGAATAGGTAACTGAAAAGATTGTGGCAGATTGTTGTTTGGCATTCTGATGTTAGTCCTGTTAATCTCCTCTGCTCTCAGTATGACTGGATCTGGATCCAGCCCATAATTTAACATAGTATTTATTATTTCTAAAGTGCCTAAAACAAATCAAAACAGGGTGCTATGAAACAGAGTTAACCACAAGAAAATGGTGCCCCTCCAATTACAATCTAAGTGTGAGACAGCAGGTGTAACCTTTGGTCTGTCTAAGAGATTTCTACTAGAGGAAAGCAATGTATACTGAGAAATAGAGGCAACGAAATGCAAGCGCTAAGAAGTTTTTTTTTTTAAAGCATTTTTAAATGAACACGATAAGCCAATGCAAAGAGAAAAGAAGAGGACAAACACTGTTGTATTTACAGACAAGAAAGATGAGAAATATTCAGAGCAAAAAATAGATATTTATCATTTTAGATAGCTTCTTAATTAAATAAGCCAGCTTCATAATCTATGGTTTGAAGCTAGGTTGTTTAGAAAATGACCAGAGTTTATTTTAGACTATGATCTATGCTTCTTACCAAAATTCATAGAAAGTGAAATTAAATACTGTACTGCAAACATTTTTCTCCAAGCTGCACAGAAGTGCTGAGCTCAGGCTTGTTCTAGCTCATGCACTTTGCGGTGAACCATGGTTTACACGCAAGTCAGCCCATACTCTCAAGTTCACAGCATCTTAATCTGCCAATACTATACACTGTTTTTATAGCCCAATCACAAATATCACTGGGAAACTACAAGGATTCTTCTGAGAAAACACTATCACAGATGAGCAGCAACTCACTGAGCAAATTTCTCAAAATAACAGGGTTTTGCCCTTGCGGGGCCAAGCACAGGAAGCGTGCAGCCCTGGTGCGGGGCTGCCCAAGGTAGAAATGAGACTCATAACATCAGTTTGGGGTTGAAATAGACCACGACTTTATTGATTACAGATGTAAGTAGGCTTAAGTGAAGGCATTGGAAATGCATCAGGTATCAAGCAGCTCACCAGCTGGTTGATCAGAGGTTTGGTTGACCTTGAATAGCAAGGCTATCTATTATGTACATTAAATTGGGGTGAACCCTTCAGGGCCGCCACTTGGAAGGGTGCTATGGCCCATCTTCCCCCGTGTGGACTCCCAGAGACACCCCTTCCCAGATCTCCTTTAGCCAATAGGCTAAAGATGCAACCCAATGCCTTATCCACCCGAAGTTGTGACAATTGCTATGAGGTAGGCAAAAGCCTGCCAACCAGCCAGTTTGTCTACTGGAAAATATCATCCCTGGCCCCAAATACAGCAACTGAGTATTCCATGGAAAGGTCTGCACGCTGCCTCACCCACCCTCCTTTGGGCAGGACCATTCAGAAACAGGCTGGGAGGGTGAGGGATCCAACAATATATGAGCAGCCAACTTCTGCTACAACTTGCCTTTTAAATTATTTAGGCGGACTTGAATGGAGCCAGGTCTGTTGCCATAGCCACACTCCTTCAACACTCTGATTGGTCCATTCAAATGGGCTTTCACACCTTACAAGGCAGCCACTTGAGTCGTGAAATGATGCAATGGGACTGGGCCACGCCGGGCCGCATACCATGCTGCACTGCAGTCCCAGGTAACCAGCCATCCTTTAAATCTATACCTGGCAGCTTCCTTCTGTCTGTGCCCCATTCCTGACATACTTTGTACAGTCAATCTGTAAAGATTTCCATTTTAATTCATTAACTCTTTTATCCAATCTTTTTTGGCTCCCTCTTTTGTATTTAGCTTGGGCCAGAAAAGCTTAATCTGTATTATCTCAAAGGCAAAATACAGACCAGCTGAAAGCCTGGGGAACACCTGATGCTGCAGCTGTGCTAAAGCTAAGCAGCTGTTGCTTCTTCTATGCAATCCATTATAGAACTATGGATATCTTTTATCACTGTATGTTCAATATAGCAATACTGTGGGGCTGTTTAAGAATGAAAATATAAACTTCAAGGTTTTATTCATAGATCTGACATGCAGTTTCCCTCACCAAAGGATTTAGGTTGTTTGGTGCTTATTTGTCATAAGTCTATGACTCAGTTGTTCCTGGCTCACCATAATGAAGAATGTGAAGTACATTTTCAGCCAAAATGTGTTTTGTACTTTGGAGCTTTAACAAAAAAAGGGGGGGGATAGTTCTGAAGAAATAATAAAGTAATTGTTTTTCTTGACCTGACTGATTTTTTTAAATGTCATTCTATAAAACAAAAAGATTTGAAAATGTAAATCATTTGTAAGAATGTAATTATGGTGCTTTAAAAAATAAATATCATTAATAAACATTATATCCAAATCTATTCAAAACTATAAGATATAAGTAATCTGGTATATCTTCTGTACTTACATTAATAATCTGGTACACCAGCGCCATATAACATAATATTTAGGACAAGTCCATCCTCATATTACCTTTCAGTTACTACTGCACATCAAAAGTTTAAGCTTATATATCCATATGGATGACTATCCATATGGGAGGCTAGCACTCCACCTTCTCTCTGTCAATTTCTTTCTTTGTTACCTGCACTGATGGGCAAGCATGATGTTTCTAGGGTTGGAGGTACTCATATGCCAAGGACTAGATTCTCAGATGGGGTTGCAGGTCCAGGACATGGTGTCTATGGAGGACCCAACTGATGTTGAAGTCTGGGTTGATATACCAGATGAACCTCTGGTGTTGCTGGTTCATCTGAGTTATCTGTCCAGCACCTCATCTACGTCAAAATCAGAGCCTGATACACTGCTCAGTGTGGTAGTCATAAAAGGAAACAAGCACATTAGTTGCTGAGAAAGTTCAGAAGCCTATGCTCATTAAGGACCAAACTAGAAGTACAGGGTAAATGCATTTGTGTCTTTCATTAGCCTTTCAAACCCTGGAACAGAAGTCCGTTGTCACATCCTATTAATATTCAACTGAGCAATGTTATCCCAGCAAAGGCCTAAGAAAGGCTGATTTATATCCTTGCAGTCAGCTCCTCTCTCTCTTTCTCTCTTCCTGATCATCTGCTGGCTCTCAATGCACACTTGAACCTTCTCTAGTTTCTCACTCCTCTAAAGTAGACCCCTGGTAGGGAAACCCACTGATGGCCCTCGAAGCACTCCTCTGCCATCTGATCTTCTGAGCTTGATGTCTTATCAGCTCCTGGGGGGTGAGGATGTAGAAGGAGAGTCTGGGTCCAGGTGCTGATGATGCTCAGGGGGTCCAGGCAAAGTGTCTTTGGGACTTGGTCAGACTGTTCAACTATGGCATTGGGCTCTTCAAGCTCCCTGGTGGCACTGGAGGTCTTGGTAAAGTCTCATTCCTCTTCCTCAGATGAAGTCCCCCAAGAGTCATGGCCAGGCTGGACTCCAACAGTGCATGTTAAACATGTGTTTGGCCCATTCAAATATAAAGTAAGGCTGGTGAGAAGAAGTGGGGGGGGGGGGAGAGAGAAATTAAAACCTGCACTCTATATGATCTGTCACCTTTGTTCTCCATATCTGTGCTCCGCAACTACAAGCACGAGGGTGATCTGAAAGTGGAGATGTTGACATCAGGCCCTTGTCATGGTCAAATCACTTCCTGTTGAGATTTAGGCTTTCAGTGCCTACATAGCTGAGAGTAAGCCATACTTAACAATACTGTGTATAGGATTGCACTGTTAAAATCTCATCTAGCCCTAAAAGTTGGACCTGGAATTGTCCTTCAGGCCTTGAAAATATTGAAGTTGTTGAAGACTATGGTTGCAGTTGATACCAAATTGAACTCTCATTCTTGGCAGCTGTTGATCACTTAGAGAAAGTTCTTTTCAGAAAGCCATAGCCAGAGCATATTTCAAATGAAACTTCTGTCTTTGTAGGCGATGGCATTAAGCAAATGGGACATATTATGAATGTCTCCTCCTTACCAGCCCTAGCTTCCAGAACAGGACTGGATCCAGGCACCACTAAATCAATACTGACTGTTTCGCTGGTTCAGGAACCCATAGGAACAGATCTGTAATCATGGCAAATGTAACAAATTCATTAGTTAATGGAAATGAAGGACTCTGGAATTCAAATTTACTTTACTGAATAAGTGAGAATGCAAGGTCCAATTTGGGGAATGCCCAAAACTTTGGGAATACAGATGGAAATTAATGTAGAGAGTAGGGTTTTTTTTCCTCTTTAACTCATTGCCTCCTTATAAGTAAAACTTGTTGAAATGTTTGGGCTCCATCCTGTTCTGCTAAACCAGACATAGGGAGCCATTGGCCCTCCATATGTTGCTGAACTAAACTCCCATCATTCCTGACCATTCACCATGCTTCCTGAGACTGGTGGGCAACATTAGGAAGTCAAAGGTTCCCCTCAGCTGTGCTAAACAAACAGGTGAAGCTGCTGTGTTGGCTTCCTTATGGCTGTCAATTTTATGTCTCTGCTTTAATTCCCTATGTACTTGGAAGCAATAGACACCACTCTTCACTTTTTGTAAAAGTATTGGTCTGTGTTCCCTGCATGAAAACCTAAAACAGCTTGAAGAGCTTTAGTTTGAAAATTGATCTAGCATATCTGGCTGCAATACGATCTCAATGTCACCATAATAGCAGTGTAACTGCACGAATATTCAAGTTTCAAAGGATGGTGAATTCAGAGCACAGGTAAAGGGATAACCTCACGTATTTCGGAGGCAGCAATGGGGAGAAAGGAGGACAGATAAGAACCTCATGGAGAGGCAGAGGTAGGGAAAGATGCATTTATGTCAGAGCAAGATGGTGTGGTTTAAAAAAAAACAAAAACCAGAAGAAGACCCACAAGGATGGGCCACTGAATCCATCCCCAGTCAGATTTTAGTCTGGTATGAGAGATGTAGAAGTTTATTGATATACATTAATGGAAAGGTGGGATGCACAACCTTCAAAGAAATGTGATTTATATAATGAAAAAAGTCTAATGCAGTGGTATTTCTGTGGAAAGATGGGCTATTCTTGTTGGTCCTTGTCTGGTGGAGGTGAGGGTGGGAAGAGTGTTCTGGAGTGGCTCAGTAAGTGTAGTGCCAATCCACTAAAGCACTGTTTTCCATACTTCTGATATATAAAGCATACTTCTCCTGATGGAAAGTACTGCACCTATGAATCTAAACATAATGACACCAGGTGAACCTCACTGGGGAAGCTGTTCCATGACTGCGGTACCAGAGTAAAAAAAAAAAAAAACTTTCTCAAAAGTTTTTTTTATCTTACCTCTGAAAGGAAGATGCATTCAGAAAAGGGAATCTGAAAGCACCAGATGGTGGATATGAGAGTGAGGGGTTCTTCAAGTAACGGGATCCAAAGTAGTTTGGGCTTTAACAGGACATACTAGCAGTTATTTGAGAAGAAAGTAGGGTGGATTTATTAATCAGTGGTTAGAGTGTTAGACTAGGACCTGGGAAACCAGGTTTCAAAGCCCAACTCAGCCACAAAGCTTACCAAGAGACCTTGGCCCAGTCACTGTCTCTGAACCTAACCAACTGAGAGGGGAAGAATTATGTGAGATCCTTGGTGAAAAGGTAGGGAATTAATAGAAGGAGGAGGAAGAGGCTTCAAAAACCACCTAATTTTCTACTGGGGGGTTACATTCTAGGCCCAATTCAAAGTACTTGCATTAGTGTTTAAAGCCCTAAACAACAAAGACCCCAAATATCTGAAAGACCGCTTCCTTCACCATAGACTGTCTTGGGTGCTAAGATCAGTGGAGGGGCACACTTGATGACTCCACCCCCAAGGACCCACTTTATGTTTTGTGATTGCATGTTGTTGTTGGTGGTGGTGTTGTTGACATCCATCTATCTTGAGAGATAAGGGGTGAAGAGAAACTGCTGCATTAGCAGCACCGAAGTAACCTCCCCAACGTTCAAGCCTGAGTGGTGTGCATGAATGCCCTGGGCTGTCCAAGACAAGACACACACACCCCTTCGCCTTGCAGATGTGGTCCAAAGGAAAGCAGAACAATACATTGGCACAAATTATTGGCTGCAGGAGTTGCCATTAAAGGTAAAGGGACCCCTGACCGTTAGGTCCAGTCGTGGCCGACTCTGGGGTTGCGGCGCTCATCTCGCTTTATTGGCCGAGGGAGCCGGCATACAGCTTCCGGGTCATGTGGCCAGCATGACTAAGCCGCTTCTGGCGAACCAGAGCAGCGCACGGAAACGCCGTTTACCTTCCTGCCTGAGCAGTACCTATTTATCTACTTGCACTTTGACATGCTTTCGAACTGCTAGGTTGGCAGGAGCAGGGACCGAGCAACGGGAGCTCACCCCATCGCGGGGATTCAAACTGCTGATCTGATTGGCAAGTCTTAGGCTCTGTGGTTTAACCCACAGCGCCACCCGCGTACTGATTGAGTTGCCATTAGGAAGCATCTAATGTTTCTTTTTTGTAAGTTTTTAAAACTGTTTTTAATGTTTTATTTTAAATTGTTGTAACCCATCTTGGGATCTGAGTGTGAAAGAAAGGTAATAAATTAAAATAATAAGAATAATACCAACATATGTCAACACTGTAAGGAGATCAGGGCTTCCCGTTTTACCACACCATAGTTCTTGTCACACATGACTTCGGCTACAGTGCATTTCCGTAGGACAGGAAGGCAATCACGCTGGAAACCAAGTGTGACCAAAGGACAAACTGGTGTACAAACATATAAAAATATGCTTGCTTTCTCATAAAAACATATTCATGTGAGAACATGGACTGGAATTAATGGAACTTAAGAGTCAACAGAGCTATATTTGGCACTAATTAATTCTAGAAAAGAAAGGGGTTTAGTTTTCTGACATAATAGTCTATTACATTACAGTGTTCATTAAATGAGGAAATGAAAATAATAGAGCTTTAAATACCTTTTATTATCTCACCCTGCCTACAATAATAATGCTATGGGAATCTCAGCTTTTTAGACAATCTAGCTACCTTTAAAGAATATTTGTTTGACTCATAGCCTACATGTAAATAGGAAGGGGGGGTGTTTATCCCTCCTATTTTCAGTCTACAAAACTGTTTGGCCCAGGCAAGCTGAGCCAATATGACAAGTTTTTTTTTAATATATTGGTATTTTTATATTCCTCTGCCCCACACAGAAAAGCTCCCAAAGTTTACATCTAATGCCAACACTGTGTTCAGCATAGCTCATAATGCACGCAGTTTGTATGTTTCACACTCACCTCACACTGAGGCCTTGTCCACACCAGTTTACTGAGTATTTACAGTTGTTTTCATTCCCATTTCATTTGTGTACTCCACGTGACACTCCCCTCAAACATCAGCCTTGATGTTTCCCCCCTGAAAATTCTGGTTTACCTGATATGGAAATAATCCAGTAAATTGGGGAAAATTGGGTTCCAAATCTTCCTAATGTTTAGTTAGAATCACCTGTGTTGTAATTTGAGACCATTGTGTCAGGTCCTCCCATGTGGAGCAGCATAAAACAAGCTTGTTCTCCGTCTTCCATGTGACAACCCCTCAGATATTTGAACATGGCTATCTTATCACCTCTCAGCAGGGCTAGCCGACCCATGAGGCAAGGTGAGGCGACTGCTTCAGGCAGCAGGATACATGGGGGCAAAGGATCTGGCCTCCAAGGAATGCATTGCCCGCTGCTTCCACCACTATTGCAGTATCAGCAATGGCTGTGGAGAACTCCTTGGAGGCCAGATCCGCTGCCTCAGCATCAGCCCCTAAAATGCTGCCTCTACTGTGGCCTCTTGGTGAACAGGATGTGCTGCTGGTCTCTCCCCCCACCCCCACCCCATAGGAGGAAATGGTGGGGGCTGCCCTCGGGGGTTTCGTCGGGTCTACACCTGGCCAGCATGATTCAGAGTGGGCCCCTTTCCACCCCCCACACCCCATGACAGCCTTTAATTCCCCCTTCAACCATCGGGTAAGGTTGATCTGATTCCCTTCCCTTGTTCCTGATGTAGATCTTCACTCTTGATCCTACTGTAGATCTTCAAGCATCCCTTCTTCCCTGTCTGAGGGCGGCACCATTTTGTCTTGGACCAGCCAAAATGTCTTGGACCAGCCCTGCCTCTCAGTCTCCTCTGGGCTAAACATACCCAACATACCCAAGTCCTTAGTTTCCAGACTCTTGATCATCTTGATCACTCTCCTCTGCACATTTTCCAGCTTGTTAATATCCTTCTTAAATTATGGCACCCAGAACTGGACACAGAATTCAAGGTGGGAATAGTATTCCAAAGCAGAATAGGGCAATGCTATCACTTTCCTTGATCTGAACACTATACTTCTGTTGAAGCAGCCTAGAATAGCATTAGGGGTTTTTTGCTGCTGCATCACACTCTTGACTCATGTTAAGCTTGTGGTCTACTAAGACTCTTAGATCCTTTTCACATGTACTATTGGGAAGCCAGGTGTCCCCCATCTTATATTTGTGCAGCTAGTTATTCCTGCCTAAGTGTAGAACCTTACTACTGCTTTGTTATGTTACATGTTCTTGCTTTTAAATGCATGTCATTTATGATTATGTAAGCTGCAGACGTGGCCTATAAATAAGGAAATAGAAATGATGATGACAGTGATGATGTAGGCATCCATCAAGTTGCATTTTATTCAGCAACAGCCAGTCAGTTTATTATCACCATTGAGTACTCAGTCCCCATTGGGTTGTTTTGAGGATCCTTCCACTTTTCCCTCTCTAAATGATTTGATATGCTTCTGCAAACCTCAGGGTTTCCCCAAGCCTGATAATAATTCCCTCTTATGCATAGGTGTTGTCATTTTGGCTACAAAAATGGCACCCACATCAGGAGCAAAGGAAATGATTTGAAAATAAGTGCAGAGCCCCGACAGGAACTCTCTACATACCTCTGACTGATTTTACGTATGTTGAGCTGTCCCATTGTGAATACAACTTGGGATAATACAGTATACCCGTTTTTAGACTATCCAAGCAGTTTGAATATAGGCTGCTCAGAGCTGTTTTTATAATCAGGCTTACAGGGCTATCTGACTTCCAGTCATGCAGAATTTTGAAGGAAAGCTTTTTGCTGACCTTTCTACTTCTTTTTGTGTAAAGATTTTCAAATGAATTTGAAGCGCATAAAAATGGTTTTTCATTTCAGTGGCTTTAACCAGCATAGAGTAGCATAGTAATATTTTCATGAGCTGTACATTAGTTTAATTCAGAAACAGCTTGTCTGGTCTTTTCTCCAAATAGAGATTGACCAGTTTAGTCAGTTAACTGATCAGTTAAAACATTAAAAACTATAGTAAGTATGTTGAAATGGGTGACATCTGGAACATATTTAACCATGCTTAAATAAGGAGGTAATTTCACTGGGCAAACTAAACCACAGCAATTGTTTGTTTACTGAAATAAGTGTGTGTGTGTGTCCAGAGAACTGCACACTTAAAAATATCCTTTATTGGTTTTGTAAATGAGAACATAACAGGACCCCCTTTCCCCCAATTATATGTTTTTTAACACTGGCACTAGCAGTAAATATCTTTGCCCAGGTTATAGCCTGTGATTAAGGATCAATTAATGTTTTCAGACCAAATTAAAATGAAACGCTAGGCAAAATAAATGCAAGCTGACAGCAAAGGATACTAAAAAGAATTTGAGGAGCACATTGCTAAAATATTTAAGGCCATAAAATTAATAATCTTTAAATATGCTAATATCATGAGACTGGTTAGAGAGGCAGTTGGACCCTTGAATGGCAAGGGAGTTGAAGATGCACTAAAGGAGGATAATGAGATTGCAAAGAATCTGAAGAGAATATGTAAAATAAAATGAAAACCAGAATCAAAACATTCTAACACAAATAATATCACTGCAGTTTCTCTTTACACCACTAAGGTACCATTTCCCCAACGCTCTGACTTGGCATGAGATGGTTATCCGAATCCGAATCTGATTTCTCACAATCGTTGCTAGGAAGTGGAGAAAATGCATGGAAACTATTCGAAGCTGTCGCAAGTGTTCCTTCATGTTCTTTGAAATGTGGCAGGTCCTTCCTTCTACACCCGGCACAGCAATTATCGCTTCTTTTTCCTCTGTTTGTGTTTCAAAGGCTTGAAATTAAATAACGAGATATTAGTCACTGGCTTATTAAGACCTGTCTTGTGCTCTTATGCTTAAAGTCTTTCCCTGTTTTAACAACACTTTCAGGGATACTTCAGCTGTGGTCTACAAACCAGTTCAGCCAAAGAATGCATATAAACCAGTTAGAACCATCTTGGGTTCCAGCCCCATGTTGGGCAAAAGATTCCTGCATTGCAGGGGGTTGGGCCAGATGAGCCTTGGGGGTCCCTTCCAACTCTGCAATTCTATTATTCTAAGCTCAGTATTGTCTACATTGACTGGCAACAGTTCTCCAGCCCTACTTGGACATCCTGCAGATTGAGATTGGGATCTTCCAGTGAGCTTGTGCCGTTTTTCATTTGCTACAGAAATATTATATTTCATCATAGCACACAATACATGATTCTGTCCTTAGTTTTTTTCATCAGTTTCTTTTGCTCCAGAGCAGTGATTCAGATTATCCTTTGAAGATACCCATATAATAACTATGTTTTGCCCCATGGAGCAGCTTTGGTGAAGATCCATTTCAGTTGGAAAAAGGAATATGGGGAAAGCATTAAAACACTTTTCCCCCAGTGCCCTCCCCCAGACTGCTTTCTTTAAAAAATATTATTTATTTATTTTTTTAATCAGCAGGATGTCTCACACTATATCTAGTTTGACCCTTAGGTTTAGGAGAAGTCTAGCAAATCTATTCAACAGTTGTTGTTGTTGTTGTTATTGTTGTTGAGAGAAAGAAATGTATTGTATTAGTGCAAAGGGTTGGTTTTTAAAAAATGAAACATGAAGTTCTTGGTCCTTAAACAGCTCTTCCCTTATTTTCTTTATATATTATGTCACTTCCCCAATCCTTTCTGGATTGAAGGTTACAAATTAGTTTGACATCATTGCAGGCAGCATACTTGGGCCAATTCTCTAGCTTTTTATCAAATTAAAAAAAAGTTTTTGAGAGATAAATCACAAGAGTATACATTCTTGCGTTAAGACTTTGATAGTTTAAGTCAATGAGAATGGTTTAAAGCCAGCTTGTCCTCACAATCCAAAATGCTTTTAAAGTGGATGAACTGGAGGAATGATGAGCAGCCCACACAACAGCAAGAGTAGCTTTTGCAGACAAGCATCACCCAGAAACAACTAAGTGAACAGCCAACAGCTAACTGTGTTTGTGCTCTTTGCTCCCTTCTGGCTGTCTGAAGATGGCATATTGAATTATGTGGGTGATGCCACCAGGGCAGTTCACACAAGACATTACTTTCTTTGTGAATCTTCCATTACGTATCTATTCATTACCATTTGGAAATTTGGACACTGTGTAGCAAGAATTTGTAGCAATTTTTCCAGCTGTCAAGTTCACAAGTACAGTATTGCTGAGACTGCACCCATTACAGCTTAGTTCCCACTGTCATCCAGGATACATTACATTACATTACATTACATTACATTACATTACATTACATTACATTACATTGATGAGCTGGCTCTTTGTAGTGCTGGGTTCAAAGGCTGGCTTACCTTTTTGTTCATTTATGAATCACTTCCCGTGAAACACCCCAAAGCTATCAACAATAAAAACATCAGCAATAAGAAGATATATAAAAACAATTTCTAGCCCAATGCAGATAAAGACTACTCAGCATCACTTGGAGAAATAGAAGTGTGAACTGAGCTTTTTATGGTTTTAATAAACTCAAATTAGATCAGCTCAAATCCCTTCCTGCCCCATACGATTGACTCAGTGGTGGAAGTTGTTTTGTAACTTATTTATTTTTTAAAGGAAACTATGCCTTCATTGAAAAAGTGTAAGAGAGAGGAAACACTGGCAATAGTCCCAGATGTATCAATGCTGCCTGCATGAGGATGTGATGCCAAATAACAAGAAGTCTAGATTTGAAATGTGCATTTCTAATTCACTGTGACACAGAACAATTAATAGTCCATACTTCATTAGTCATAGCAATTGCATTAATTCTGGTAACAACAAAGGTAGCGAAATTCCACTAAGACTAATTTCCTAGCACAATGTCAGCTATCCACCTTCTGGAGGCTCTGAACCTTAACCAGCCCTCTAAGAGGGAAACAAAGCTGGACTGGAAGTGGAAGGCTTCTCATTGTAGGTGTACAAATGTTGCAGCATGTGTTCCATTTCTTACATAAGTCTCTGGGCAGCAAAAGCAGCAGGTGGCTACAGAGTTGAAGAGAACAGTAAGCTTGGCAAGGCAGCAGTGGGTGAGACAGCTGGACTGGGGAAGGAATCTTGGATGAGCCACCTACTAGAAGCACCTAGGGAAGGTCCATCAGGCTGACGGGACTCTATAATCCCACAAAGATCCACCTATAACTAAGCAACCCAAGGAACATCAGAGCTAATGAAGAGTTGAGTCCCCCCACCAACATCAGTGGAAGCTACTTCATCAGGGCAAATGGGGCACTGCCTCCATCTGCCCTCAGCCAGCCCCCACCTGCCTGCCTTCTTTCTTACAACCAATCCAAGGGGGTGGCCCTATCTATCAGATTCCTCCTGCTTGGTCTCAGTAATGCCTTTTAGAACTTAGCATGGAGGAGGATGGGGGACAAAAAGCAGAATTAGTTGACTCTGCTTGTCATTGGTTCCAGCTCCACCCTCGATTGGTCTCCTTGCCTTTCATCTTACCAAGCTCACTGGGCACCAGCCATCACCGCCTCGCATCCTGACAGAGAGCAGGATTAGGAGGTTGGAAAGGAGGGATTTCCTTCCTGAGATGTCAGATGACCAGCTTTCAACCCTGCCTTTTGACTTAAAAGGAGAAACAACCTGACATAAACTTCTTTTCTTTTAGCTAGGTGAAAAAGCAGTGGTAACCAAACATATTTCCAGTAGAGAAAATAATTAACATGGCATATATGGAGGAATACACAATGGTTTATTTTAGGACAACATTCCTTTGGGCAAAATTACTTACTTATTTGTAATATGCCATTATCTATTTACCTATTAATGAAGAGAGTGTGGATTTTGTAATTAAACTCATTCAGTGACCAGAGAAGCATTGCTTGATTTCTCGTACAATCTTGACGGAGTCAAAGTGATTAATAACTACTGTGGAAAGTGTCAGCACAGTTTCTGTATCAAATAACCTGGAGCAATTCTGAAACTTCATGTAGCCATCCTTTCCCTGAAAAATCACAGACTTTAAACTTGTTCCCAAGTATACATACTCTTTCAGATACAGGCATCTAAATACATATTTGAAATGTGCATTTGATTATATGCACAATGAGCATAATAAAGGATGATTATATGAAGATTTACTGGCAAACTAAGAATGATGAAGACTCAAATATATCCAATGTAAACATTCACTTTGGCATTACTCATAGAGCAATGCTCTTCGAGTGCAGCTTCGAAATCTAAATATTCATATGTGATATTTACCAGGTTTGTTTAGTATATTTGTTAAATTTATCTCCAACATTTCCTTTAGCTTCAATTAGAATATGGTGTATATATGACACCATAAGGCAAATGTGGAGAGACCGTCATGAAAAGGGTACTTTGCAGCATCTGTGGTACACCTGACCCCTGGGTGGAAGCATTTTAATGTCTTTGAAAGGGCTGTGTGCATAGCCTCATCTGTTAAATCAAAGTGGGAAACTGAGCATCCTGCACCCATTTGGGCACATGCTTCCCCAAACAGATGGGGATATAAATGGGGAAGTCTGCTTCCTTGAATTAAGTGCATGAGCTGGCTTTGGACAAGAATCTTTATTAGGTTATAGTTTTCAATTTTCTGTTGTTTTCATCTTAAATTATGTCACACAATTATTGCTTTCAGTTTTGTATTCAATATTAAAAATAAAATTCTACATAAATAAAAGTCAGTTTGTGAAAGATTGAAATATTAATTTAGAACAAATGGTGTCCAAGTTGCACAGACTCTGTTTTCTGCTCCTTTCTGCAGTTGTGTCCATTCTCACAAGAATGTAGGAAGGCATCCCTGCCACCATAGAGACAGGGCTGCCTTCCCACCAACTCATTTGTACCTGTGAATGAAGGCAGGGGAAAGGGGTGTCACCCTGGCAAATAAGACAGTGCTTCCTGCTTGGCACTACATATGACTTGCCTTCCCACTCTCACCACCCCCTGCACAGTGTCACCTCCATCCCTCCACACCAGAGATGGGCAGATGTGGAGATACATCCAGAAGTGTCTTGTCAGATGAGGGAAAGTTGCTGGTCAGTTGCTGTTGCTTACTTGGAGAAACGGGGAAAGGGGCGGGGATCTCAGTGCAGTGCAAACACAATTGTGAAGCGAATCCAGTGGGCCTGCAAGTGTGTTTGCATTGTGCCAACCTCTCTGCCGCAACAGCAACTTACCTGCCAAAGCTTCCTATGGCTGTTATGGGTAGTGTTTCATTTTGATGGTATAATGCAAGGATTCCCTAACTGTGGTCCATGGACCGTTAGTGCTCCACGAGGTTCATCAGGTGGTCCACACGTCTGAAAAAATACAATTAAAAATAATACAGCATCTGGCACAGTGCATTAAAGTTGCACTAGGTGGTCTGCCATGACCCTCAGAATTTTTTAAGTGGTCTGCAGGATGAAAAGAATGGGAAACACAGGCGTGATGTATTCTTATTAATGTTTTCAAATGTCTTGTAATTTGCTTGGAGACTTTCAGGTAACAGGCAACTAACAAGTCTAATAAACAGAGTAGAGTATTTATTTATTTTGGTCAATAACCAGTTGAGTCTAATAAACATTAACAATTATTATTGATAACAATGATAATCAGCTAGATTAGCAGGTGTGTACTTTCTTACATTTTTATAAATGATGAAGACTATGATGTGATACAAAATGTAAGTGAAAACAGAAATGGTTGAAGAATGTGGAATATTTAAACATGTACCAAGTTGTACACATACTATATTAGCTACAACTTGCATTTCACTATAAAGTCCTGGATATGAAGATACCTTATCCCAGGTCAGACTATTACTTAAACCACTCATGAAAGATTATCATTGATGTCACCTTCACAATTTTCAGGTAAGAAGTTTTTGTAATTCCTATCATAAATGTCTTCCATTGCGTGGACAGGCGGAGTCCCCAGATCCCGCGCGGTCCCCCCCCGTCATGTGAAATAACGACTCATGACAACGTGCTATGGGATTAAATTGGCCACAACTTTATTAAATTTCAAATGTGGGTAGACCTTGGCTCAGGCATTGGGCGTTCTCCCTCCCCAGTCCCCAGCCGGGGACCTAGGGAGCATCAGGGTTATCCAGTGGGGGGGGGATGGGCCGGCTCTGGAGAACATATGTTCAAGCAGAGATAGCCGCCCCCGTTACGCCGCTACCGCAGGGGACAGCAATGACGACCTTTCGGCGTACGGTCAAAGCCTCCCTTCAGAAACCCCTTTAACGGGAACCCTGGTATCGCCGCCGCAAAGAGGAAGATGAACTAAAGGATTCCGCCCAAGGCCTGATACCGCCAAAGTTGTGACGTTTTGCTACGGGAAAGGCGAAACCTGCCAATGCAGGGAAATTCCTTTCTGGCCCTTTAACAGCGACCTTATCGTAGCAGCGCCCGCATACCTGTGAAGAAAAGTTAACCTGCAAAACCTGTGACGAAAAGTTAACCTGCAAATAAGACATTAACTGAGGGTGGGTAGGGTGGGAGAAGCTCTGGAGCCAAGTGAGGATTCCCAGGTAAGATCCTCCCTCTATTGTGTGGGCAGGTAATCCCTCCCCTACCTGGCCTGGTCTCCTTGGCAACACTTCCCCCAGGTGGGATTGGACAACTGACTGAGGTAGGCGGAGACCTCCAGGTATCCCACCTGAGGGAAGGCAAACCAAGCCTATGCTGTTGGAGCCGCTCCAGATCTAGGGGCTGCGCGCGTCCACGCAAAGGGCACCCCCCGTTTTAAGCGTGGAGTGGTCATTGCGTGGACAGGCGGAGTCCCCAGATCCCGCGCGGTCCCCCCCCGTCATGTGAAATAACGACTCATGACAACGTGCTATGGGATTAAATTGGCCACAACTTTATTAAATTTCAAATGTGGGTAGACCTTGGCTCAGGCATTGGGCGTTCTCCCTCCCCAGTCCCCAGCCGGGGACCTAGGGAGCATCAGGGTTATCCAGTAGGGGGGGGGATGGGCCGGCTCTGGAGAACATATGTTCAAGCAGAGATAGCCGCCCCCGTTTTGCCGCCGCAGGGGAGAGCAACCTGGCCTGGTCTCCTTGGCAACGCTTCCCCCAGGTGGGATTGGACAACTGACTGAGGTAGGCGGAGACCTCCAGGTATCCCACCTGAGGGAAGGCAAACCAAGCCTATGCTGTTGGAGCCGCTCCAGATCTAGGGGCTGCGCACGTCTATGCAAAGGGCACCCCCCGTTTTAAGCGTGGAGCGGTCATTGCCTCGCTTGTCCACCAGTTGTTATTTCCTTCCAACGTGGTACGGTCATAAGAAATAGTTTTGTCAAATGGAATAATCATCACTATAGTTCAAAATAGCATATTAAAAGAAGTGCTTACATTAGCTAAGTATTCCTTAACAGCAAGTTGATAGATCTGATTTTGCTTTAAATACCATCCTTTAATTTTTACAGAGTCTTTTAAAATGCTCTGGTTCTGCATTTGGATCAAATCCAAATTCTATTCCTGCTACTTGAGGAAACCTAAATGTTAATAAAAACAGTTTATATTTTATATTATGATGAATAAACTCACACATTAATATTCTCTACATTTCAGCCCTCTTTCAAAATCAATACAATCTATTCCTCCATGTGCTAACATTTAACACACATTGATTAATAATGCTACGCAGATAACAGTTCCTGCTCCACCTCTGTGAGCTCCTTCTCTAGCCTTCCTCTAATTTCAGCTACCCCTAGTGCACTATCCAAGAAGCCTGCCTTGACCTATTAAATTTAGCAAGACACTCTAGTTTCCAAACATGAAATACAGCACAGAGCACAGATGTTTGGAATGTACACAGGCAGGAGCCGATTAAAGCAAGTGTGAGACTGAAAGAACTTTGCACACAGCTGCACTGGGTTTCTGAACAAATCTGCATGGGCTTCATACAGAGCTGGCATGGGAGTTGTGCTCCAATTGCCAGCTGAGAGGCACAGCAAAGCCTTGTCTCACTCTCTTTTGCGTTAAAGTGCAACTGGCTATTTGTCTTCCATAAAAAAGAGGTTTGCCACATATGGTAGGTGCAAAACATAATGTTTAGTGCAGCCTCTGGCATTCTTATCTTCACGAGGAGGTTTCTAACTCTCATTATTGTAGGCAAAGCATATGCTCTACCACTGACCTATGTCCCTCCTCCCCAAGCCGTTGATACTTTTGATTCAAGAGTTGGTTCATATGCAATCACATATACGGATGGACAAATCTGTCAAGATTCTCATTTTTCCATTCTTAAGTTCAATTCTCCACATTTCTGTATCAGTTTGCAAAACATTTTTAAATATTAATTTCTCCTAATGTATACATTTTATATTCCTAATATACAAATTTGTGCAAAGCAATTTTCCTTAATATAATACATTTCAGTATGTTTTTCTCATGAATATATGCATTCTTATGCACAGTTTACTGCAGTGTATGCACTTTTATACACCTTACAGTCGTACCTCATCTCCCGAACACCTTGGGAATCAGACGTTCCAGCTCCCAAAAAATCAAAAACCGGAAGTGACTGTTCCAGTTTTTGAACTTTTTTTGGAAGCCAAACATCTGGCGTGGCTTCCACTATTGTTTCCGGCGCACCTGCACAATTGGAAACCAATTGGAAGCCGTGCCTTGGTTTCCGAACATTTCAGAAGTCGAACAGACTTCTGGAACGGATTCCGTTCGACTTCCGAGGTACGACTGTACTTGATTGGGGAACTACATCACAAAATTCTCAGAAGCTCACATTTCAAAAGATGAGTGTATTTCAATTGTTTCAGAAAGTAAACTTGGTAGGTTCACCTTTAAATGCAAATGGAATCCAGTTTCTCCCCCATTCCTATATTAGATGCCAAGATTCTGTGAAAGTGAAACTAAATGCTGGCAAAGTCCTTCTCCTGGCAACTAAGGAGGAGGGGAGGGGAAGCATGCAAATCCAGGCCTTCACTTCAGCTCATTCCGGCTAATGTGCATAGCACTAAACCATAGTTTAGTGTGACATAAATTCAGAGAGTAAGAATAGTATAATTTGCATGCAATATGGAAATTGATAAATGCTGACTGTTACAACATTAAAAATCCATTTTCAGAGGAGTTCAGGAGTCGGAGGAAGAGGCACTTAAAAAAATATATACTTCATACCTTCCATCAAGAGCTGGGTATCTATAAACTCCATTTTCAAGAGCTTCCAGCAGTTGTTTGCCTGTCACTCTGATGACGAGAAGGGCATCAATAAAGGGAAGAATATTCAAAAGGTCATGCATTGTAAAGTCTCCTGCTGGGTGTATTCGATTTGAGTGAAGTGTTCCTATAAAAATCAAAATGAAATCACCAGCCAAAATTGCAACACTGCTTTGTGAAACTGAACAGATAAACAATTAATGTTGTTTTATTTAAACAGTAGTGATGCTGGTTCAGTATTTCAGTGGGAAAATGTTTAAGTCAGGGCACAGGAGGCTACATGGGGGTGGGATTGGTGAAAATAAAGTATCATGCCTTGAATAAACAGTAATGCTTTTCACTAGTGTAAAGCCACCACTGGATACCTTTGCCTTTCTAACTTTATTACTAGATTTTGAAAATTTGAGATAGCAGGCTATTTGCCATAGTCTTGGAGTCTGGCTTCCAGCTTTCTTTTTTTTTAAAGCAAGAGATGAATTGGGGAAAGGTTACTGTGTTAATAATTCAATTATTAGGTTTAGTTACTAATGATGCTGTTTTGTGGAGTTTATTGTAGTATTGCATTGGAATTTTATCTGACTTATGTTTATTTTCGCATTAAATATGCTGCTTTAAATGTGTCTTTTATATGAGATCTTCATCTGTAGTGTTTAGTTTTGATATTTTGTAATTTTTATTACATGCTGTAACTTACATTGTATGCATGCTTTGAGGGTTTCTTTTAAAAAAATATAAAGCAGTATAGAAATGATATGAATCAATTGATGAAAAAATTAAAAGGCCACCTGAATTAAGCAATGCTACATCTTGCATGAATAGCTTCCAGCACTGCATTAGCATTGCATTGCGTTTCCCAAATTCCTCTCCATTCTTCTAACAGTTTTGACATAACCACCTAAATGAACATCATTTGGGCAGAGAACTTCCTTTAAAAGATTCTACAAGAAGAAAAAGGTTGAAGGAGTTCATTGGAAACAAAGTCTGCAGCAAATTCCAAAGCACCATATGTAATATTAGTCTGGGAACATATAGGAGAATTCAGGCAGCCTTCTCCCTCCATGCGCAAGGGTGAGGAAAAGGGCACATTCCTTGATTTGGCCCCCTTCCTTGTGTCACTGTTGCCATTCCACAGCCAGTCATTTCTGCACTGAACATTTAAAGCGCAAGGCTTTCCCTCAAAAGTTCTGAGAATAGCAGCTTACCCTTCAGCCAACTACAACTCTCAGCACCCTTAATAAACTAGTTCCGAGGATTCTTTGGGGAGCAGTCATGCACTTTAAATGTATGGTGTGGATGTGATACATGTGTTGGAGAATAGTAGGGAGTTCATGTAGGCTCCCTCTGTGCCTTGGAACAATGGGAGTTCAGGGTTCCAAATCTAATCCAAATCTACCAGGGTTCCAAACCTACATATTTAGGAGAGGCTTTCCATTTATCCCTCCAACTTATGGCCACAGTGATATGAGGGAGGGGATGCCCTCTTCCCCTTCAATCACACAAAGGAGATGCTTAGGGCTAACAGGAACAATCCAGGATGTGGAACAAAAAATCTTTTTCAGTGCTAGAAGTTAGATAGGGTCACTGTATATAGTAGGGCTTGCATCTAATTATCTGAACTAATTAGTGAGATGATGCTTTGTTGATTAAATATGCTTATGATAAACATTAGTTATGAGGGAAAAGATTTTTTTTTGTTTGTAAATGATACCTGCATGCGTTGGACCAGGGACAATATTCAAAGAAACATTTTCCTGCTTTATGAGAGAAAGAGAGGAGCCTCCTCAAAGATTGTGCCTATTACCCAGTTTTTATGCATGCATATATTAAAAGTGGTAGTTCTGATATGCTGCAGACTTCATTGCTGAAGTAAGGAGCAAACCCACACTGATAATCTTGCTTAAACCAAGACTGACAATATCATCCATCCTTAGCCTTATCCATGTGATATCTGAACGAGGCCTAGGGATGACATAGCTTTCCTAAATGGAAAGTAGTACAGTACTTACCTAACAGTGCAAAGTGTGCTCCAAATGCATTTAAAATTGGAACCATGTTTTCCTTTTGTTATTGCACTTAAGGCTGATGGATTTAAACAGTTCCCACTAAATATTAGAAGTGGATTCAGTAAACTGAACTTTTTGATAGCTGTAGCAAACCTGTAAACATGTTCTTAGTTTTTATCTGGTGCTTTTAAAATACAATATATGAACAAAATATAAAAAACAATATATGAACAAAATGTTTTCATAAGGTAAATCAGGTCATCAACCTGTTAATTCCTTTGCTTTTCTGGGGAATGTGTTTGAATGTGCCTTACACTTTCCCAGCATCCTGTTTTCACAGTTGCCAATTTTCAATATTATACTTTCAGTATTACACTGTTTTTATTAAAATTGATAGAAATAGATATGGACAAAAATTGATTATTTTTCAGTACAGTGGGGAACTGTTCAAGAGTGGGAACTTCCTATATATCATCAGAGATCATAAACAGAATGAATGTCATCATAAATTATTCCTAAGTATGCAAAGCTGATCCAATATTTATGAAAAGAACCATCTTGATTCATCATTGTGTCTTGATTCCCAGAACTGTATAAAGTCCATTTATAAAAGTCCAGTATGTTGATGACTCCATAATATATGAACCAGGAGAGGCTGTGCAGGCCCTGGACCAGTGCCTGGATGCAGTGGTGGGCTGGATGATGGGAAATAAATTGAGCTTGCATCCCAACAAGACAGAGGTTCTGTGGGTTAGTGGTTCCTGCGTCTGAGAAACTGGCCAGTAGCCTGCCCTGAAGGAAGAGGTATGCAGTCTAGTAGGTGCTCCTGTATCCACTGGAGGCCCAGGTGGTCTTGGTGGCGAGAAGTGCCTTTTTACCAGGCTGGGCTGGTATGACAGTGGCAGCCATTCCTTGATCAGCATAGCTTGAGTACATGAGTTCTGGTATTGGTAACTTGAAAACTGGATTACTGCATGCACACTTTCTGCTGATTAATATTACACAGGCACCCTTGCAACATTATTTTAGTATTTCAGCAGGCCTATGCAGACACATAATTTAGTTATATATACTTGTTTACAATTTTATCTGTGTATTGTTGTCTTTTGTACTATTGTATGTGCACTGCTCAGTTTTTTATTATTATTAAGCAATTTATAATTTTATATATATACACACACAAAGATATTTTACAGTGTCTGACATGACACTCACTTCTATTCTTTTTTTTTCAATCACACCTACAAAAAAATGTAAAAATGTTTAAGTTTTAGTTCTGAAACAGTTATCAGATGAATAAGATTAAACAAATTAATCCAGACTTGTTAGTAGTGATGGTATTTATGGCTCTCTGGAATCCTAAGGAAGTGAATTTGCAAATGATTAAAAGATGTTCTCTCCAATGGTTGAGAAGCTGCACAGCTAGTCATGGCCTCAGATTCAGCTTTGCTTCTGACTACTCAGTTGGCAGCAAGGTTCCTTTTACAAGCTGTTTATTTATTTTCTTACATATATATTTTATCTTCCTTCCTTCATGAAACCCAAGGCAGCATACCCAGTCTTCACCCGGATGCAAGGTGGTAGCGAACCATGTTCCTTCAGACCACACCCTGGGGCCATTAGAACTGATTAAATAAATAAATATTGTTTTTTCTTATGACAGGAGCACTCATTTTTTATTCACTATTCTCAATAGTTAACTAGTACAATGCACTTTACATGGGTATATGACTAAAGTGCCATTCGTCGTAGCGTTCTAGATCATGGCTGTTGCATCTTACAAAGTCGACTACTCTACATTATAGCTAACTCACTGAATGATTTTCAGCTGCCTGCTGATTACTTATGGTAATTTTATGGAAGGAAGTGTGTACTTGGAGGATGTTTAGTGTGACCACTTTTAGTTATTATTGTTGGTACATTTTAAATTTTACTTGCTTACTATGTAAAGCTACTTGAGAACTTTGGGTATGAAACAATGCATAAATAAAGTAGTGGTGGTGCTAAGAGATATATTTCTTTCCTATGTACTTAGTAGTGTACTTTGTAGTGTATTTGAATAACATTCCAATTTAGTATACTCCTTTTTCTTTGCTACTTGAGTCTATAGCCCACAACTCATGTGGGTGATAGCTGGGCAACACAGATGGAGAAGTACTTTAGCTACAGTAGATGTATCACTTAATTGAGTCCAATAATATTTGCTAGCAAGCTGTTACATTCTTGTGTAATTTATTCATCACAGCAGGAGGAAATTTACTCGAATTCTGCCCACTGCCCTCTTAACTTTAAGACACATTTGTAGGCGTCAATCCAGCAGTTATACAAACTTAAAAGCTCACTGAGCACAATGAATTTACATGTTCATCATTGTGCACTAGATTATATTACTAGAATCCTGCTAAATTTTATAAGCTTATAGAACTATAGGTATTTACTAACAGTTTCTTTCCCTTGGAACAGATTATTTTCTTCTGGACTTTAAATGCTGTTACATTGCTTGTGCTTGTTTTTAGCAGGTAACTGATCAATTTTTATTGTTTAAAATGTATCCATTCATGTTTTAATATAATGTTTGAATTTATTTATTTTTTTATTTAACAAAATGTTAAAACCCCGTGACAGGGTGAGCTCCCATTGCTCGGTCCCAGCTCCTGCCAACCTAGCAGTCTGAAAGCACATCAAAATGCAAGTAGATAAATAGGTACCACTCCGGCGGGAAGGTAAACGGTGTTTCCATGCGCTGCTCTGGTTCGCCAGGAGCAGCTTAGTCATGCTGGCCATATGACCTGGAAGCTGTCTGCGGACAAACGCCGGCTCTGTTGGCCAATAAAGCGAGATGAGCGCCGCAACCCCAGAGTCGGTCACGACTGGACCTAATGGTCAGGGGTCCCTTTACCTTATATACCACTTAATTGTTAAAAAAAACCCTGCTAAGTTTACAAAAATACAAAACATAAATGAGTATTTAAAAATATTGAATCACTATTAAATAAATTGTTGATTAAAATCAACAAAAGCTAAAAAAATAAAACACATGCATCTTCTGCATGTCTGGATAGGTTTGCCTTAAAAAGATGTTTCAAGTAGGCGCTGAAGAGTACAGCAGAGGCAGCTACCTGATCAACAGGCAGGAAGTTCTAAAGTGTAGGTGCTGCTACACTAAAAGATTGATTTATTACACGTGCAGAACAGTGCCAGTTCCACAGATCGAACATAGGGTAACACAATACCACAAGTAAACACCTTGAACTTGGCCTGGTAGCAACTGTGCAACCAGTGCAAATCTCTGAACAGAGTGTCATTCTGCACTAACTGTAGCTTTCTGATCAAGTACAAGGGAAGCCTAAACAGTGGCAGTAGTAAGATCAGGAGGTACCCGGTGCGGAAAATTTCTTGTCACCCAGCCACACATTGAAATTTAAGTTTTTGAGCTTTTTTGCAGAGATTGTGTGCCTTGCGATGAGGAGTCTGCCTGTCACCCTACAGCTGAGGGAGAGCTGGCGAGCGCCAAAGCCTCAGCATCTCTCGCAGACGTTGAGTGCCGCACAACACACCTGGGGCAGACCACACCCACATTACTCCGCCCTTGAGCCTCAAATACAGTGCATTGCAGTAATCTGATATTGTAGTCAGTAGTGTCTGAACTACTGTGGCCAAACTCTCCCAGTTCTCAAATGGCCATAGCTGTCACACCAGTTGCAGAGGGTAAAAGGTGCTTCCAGCTGCTGAGGTTACCTGGGCCAACAATGCAAGAGTTGGATCCAGAAGAGCCCCCAGACTATGTACCTGTATCTTTCAGTGAAGTACAACCCCATCCATGACAGGCAGTTGACTGTTTTCTTGGACATGGAAGCCACACACGCACTGCAGATTTTTTGAACTCCACATGAGCTGTCCACAGGAGTTTGTTGATTGGGTGGTCAACAAATATTCCACAGAAATAAGTAATAGTTTTAGATTTAATTATTTTCTCTCAAAAGGTTGATCTCTAATACTTTTTGAATTGTCAGTGTACATATTTAAATATCATAGAAGTTTTAGCTCAGCATGCTACTGATCCCTTCCAACTCTACAATTCTATGATTACACCCCATATAATAATAAAATATTATAATTCTAGGATTCTAAAACACAAAATTATGTCTTAAAAAGGTTTACTTCTTGTCAGGCATATACAGAGGCAAGTAACAAGGCAAATACTCTTGGTAAATGGAAACAGATAACAAAACATTATAAATTATAAATTGTGCCGAGCAGATCTCAATGAACCGGATGCTCCTGCAAGTGAAAAGAGGTGGGGTGATTTTTGCTGATTTCTCCTTCTCCATGAAGTCCCTTGTGCCCCTGCTCTCAATTTGCTCTAAGGGGTTGGGCAATCCTCCAAAACAGCATGGGAAGTAGTGCTGGGGGAATTAAGGGAACAGGAGGAATCAATGAAAATTGCCTCTCCACCTTCTATTCCCATAGGTTCCAAACCTATGGCACCACAAATACACACACACACATATTATAAAGGCAATTTTAATACACATAGTTCCCATTTTACCCAATGGCTGTCATCTGTGATTCTTTGCAATGTTCTATTAGTTTTGGTCTGACTTTTGTTGGTTCAGGCTCATTTGCATATGAGCAATACATGCTGTCCTAAAACAGTAGCAGTACATAAAAAGTCTGACATGAATATGCACATAACACAGGGCTAAAAGAATAGGGAGAATGCTGGGTGGAACAAGGAATTTCCAAATAACTTATTCCTAGACAACATCTACTGGTGCTGTGAGTTATAGTAGCTTAGCGCTCTTTGGAAGACAGGGTAAGTGGGCCTCTTGGGGCCTATCATTCTCGCTCCCTCTGCATAGTTGGAGGGTATTCATATAGCTCAAATCAAGCATGCTGTTCCTTGCTCTCAAAGTTTATGTTTGTCTCTTTCCTTGCCATAAAGCGGGGACGGGGGGGGGGGGGGAGCCCGTTCACAGTAAGAGGCTTGGAATGGAGGCATTGCTGCAATTTCCATAGACAATATGACAAGCAAATAGAAGAATCCAAACTTTAGTTCATGGGTAGTCAGTGTGAGTCATTCCAGGCCTGACTGTGCCTCACCCTCATCCCTCACCCCCTTCCCCAAATCCAAGATACGTTGGGGTTGGTTGTGAATACTTAGAGGCGAACAAAAGACATTCTACTCATGCTCAAATCATCTGTTCTTCCTTCCCATATCATCATGCTGAGTCCTGACACTGAAATAATGTGCTGAGGCTAAGCTATAGTGAGCCCCAGCTAAAATTAAGCTCTGGCACCAACCAATACTTATTTTCACCCACATCTCCATGGTTGGTTGGTTATGCCAAGACTGACAGGCTCCCACTTATTCCATTTTGAGCAGCATTTGAAGTTGTTTTTTTAATACCAGAAGGCATTTTATGACTAAGGGTGCAAGCCTATGCATGTCTGCTTACAAGTAAGTCCAACTGATTTGAATGGGGCGTCCCCCCGGGTGAGTATGTATAGCAAGTGGCTAATGTTTTTTGACTTGAGAGCCACATTCACCCTTGGCTAGTGCTCTGGGGGTGGTTACTCATATGCAAGCACATACAGTGGCACACAACCCCTTCTCGTTTCATCTGTGGAGATCAACTGAGGAGAGTTGCTATTCAGTGTTGTTGTTTTTAAGCAGTTTTTCCAACTCTACAGTAAAAATAAATAAGTAAATAAAAGGAGAACAAACACAAAGTGTGCTTTACACCTTGCTTGTACCCTGTATCAGTGACTGTTTCTCTCATACTCAACCCATTTATGAATCCATCTTAGTACAGTAACTAACTAGTGCAAATACAGGAGTACTTTGTGTTTACAAGGTCACGGCAAAGCATTACCTGCCCAAAGATGGTGAAGAAGAAGCCATTGGAGCCAAAAAAAGGGGGGGGTTACTGTGGTTTGGACATTTTAAGTATTCTACCCTTATATAATTTGTGTACATGCTCACCCTGACATTGCCTGTCATTTAACTGCTTAATGAACACATAACTCCTAAAATGTTTCATTTCAAACTGTGTATTATCAGTTTTATGCGCAAATATTTTACTCCTCTGTATTTTGTGTCTAACAGCACAGGAAAAAAATCCCCCCTACCCATCAAACTATCAGTCTAATTACTGAGGAGGAAGCAGTTTCTGTCCCTATGTTTTATACAGTGGTGCCTCGCAAGACGAAATTAATCCGTTCCGCAAGAGTCTTCGTCTAGCGGTTTTTTCGTCTTGCGAAGCAAGCCCATTGACGGATTAGCGCTATTAGCGCTATCAGCTGTTTAGCGGCTATTAAAGGCTTAAAGGCTTAGGGGATTAGCTGCTAAAAGGCTATTAAAAGGCTATTAAAGGCTTAGCAGATTAGATAAAGGGGAAAGCGAAAAAAATCTCAAGACTCGCAAGGTATTTTCGTCTTGCGAAGCAAGCCCATAGGGGAATTCGTCCTGCGAAGCAACTTCAAAACGGAAAACCCTTTCGTCTAGCGGTTTTTCCGTCTTGCGAGGCATTCGTCTTGCGGGGCACCACTGTACTAGGTGGAATCGTTTAAACCTCTCCGCTCACACCAACTCCAAGTCTACATTACATTTTCTTTTTCGCCGCCACCACCAGCAAATTTGAGAGGGGTCTGGGGGGAGGCAGAAAGACTTGCTTGTCACGTCAGACCCCTGGGCTAGGGATTCGTCACCTGTGACGCACAGGATTGCCTCCTGAGTCTGCTGTTTTTATTGCGCGTGTGGTGGTGTTTTTCATTTGCAGTGTCATTTTTACATTGTATGTTATTGTTGTTAATTTGTTTGTTTTTTTAAAGTAAGCCCCTTTTAAAACTTCATCTGAAAAAAGCATGCCATGTAACACAATAAACAAGTAAGTTTCCTGGATGAAAATGGCGCCAAAGATACAGCAAAAGGAATGCCTTCTAAGAATCTGAGGGAAGGGAGGAGCAGAGACAGAGCTATATGCCCTAATCTGTCTCGTAAAGAATTTCCCCCCCATTTCCTCAACCCACATTTCTCATGTTGAAAGGACCTATCTATTTATACTTAGAAGCACCTCTTACATGTTCCTCTTTCCTAGACTCCACCTCAGAAACATCACTGAAGTGAAGAATAACCAGGTCAATTTGGCTCTCGTCTGGTGACTCTGGACTAAGACTGGTGTTATCAGTTTTACTAGCCCTGTCTCTGGTGTCTGAAGGAAAAGAAGAGCAGCCTTGCGCCTCAGAAGGCAGATTTTCCATTATTCTTTGTGACCTGGGACAAAATGGCTCCTGGTTATCAGGCGTGAGACAGGAAAGACATTTGGAGTCACACGATCTGAGGGAGATGAGGTGGTGGTGGCAGAAGAAATTAACTCTGGGGGAATTTGATGCTTCCTGAGAAAGGAAACGTGTGTTTATTTTCTGAGGGAACGTGCAAAAGTCAATTCTCAACACGCCTTCCTATCCTATCATATAGATGGTCATAAATCCTGTTTTTCTCTCAGATAAATTCTTCATAAATAACTTCCCACTGGAAAAGGGCCTTGCTTCTATTCCTCCAGGCAAATCATGTTTCTGATATTTCCCCAATGATAAGCCGCACACAGGGCCCTAAATATAACAGCTCAGTGCAACATTATTATTTCAGAAACCATGGCAACAAGAAACCACAGACCATCACAACTTCATCATGGCTGCAGCCACAAGGAAAGAGGAAGCCATGCCTCTATCCCACAACATGATTTTTTATCTCTTCAGGATAGGAGGATGGTGGTGTGTCTCATTTTGAAAAGTGATCTCAAATCCAAGTAGTCCGCTCACTGAGATTTCAGACATAGCTTTTCCTCACAGGACATGCCACCACTGAGGATGGCAGCTCTATATTCACAAGAAAGGCGACTGTTCTGCAGTTTGGGGAAATAAATAGCTCCCTGCCCATTTGGATCCAGAAAACATTAAAATTAAAAAAAATATATTTTTGTACTTCAAGAACTGCTTTCACAGAACTGCTGCTGTTTGTTGCATGTGTTCATAAATTTAAATATATTGAAATTAAATATGTCCATAACCAAGCATCAGAATATATTTATGTATCAATTGGCTGAAAAGTGGGGTGGGGGGGTCACCCAGGGAACATGGCAGCTTAGGCCTGTATCTCACTTCCATAGTTCCAACCAGAACACCACTAAATTAACTAGTTCAGCAGCTGCTGAAAAGAAGCACCCACACGGGGCATGTCACAGCACATTTTTGCAAAAAAGAATGGACCATGGATACATATTTTTGGACTAAAGAAGCAATTCCAGCATCTGAAATAGGACAACAAAGAGGAGTCTTTCCTGTCACCTAAAGTCTGGAAGTCTGAGTTTTCAAGTGTTTAGGATTGAAATGACAGCTCTGTTAGCAAAAACTGAAACATCGTCTTACAGTGGAGTGGACCTTTCCAAGCTAAGCTTTTGGAGAAAAAGGAATGTGGACACAACCTCTGAAATAGATGGGATTCCTAATGAAACCAGGATCTAGGGCTGTAAACAGAAATTAAAGTAACATCTCTGGCTAAGAAAAACCAAGGGCCTCAGTTTAAAATGGAAGACATAGAAAACTGCTATCACAATTTGACTACATAGTGACTGGCACTTCAATAACTAATTTCTGTCCTTTCTCCTGTCCAATCTCCTAGTGTGAGATTGTGCCTCATATTTGAATCAGGGATTTACAGCATGTAAAATAAAGTGTTAACCATTTCAGATTCTGGAAAAGTCTAAGTACATCCATGATCTGTGTTGATTGCATTGTTATATAAATATAAATTGCAGCTTGAACTACTGTGAACACATGAAAGTTAGTGAGGGGTTTGTTCATGCTTGCATCAAAGTAATTTGTTTTTCCACATGAATTCGTGCAGCAATTAGCTTAGCCTTTGGGGGAGAAAATATGAAAGAAAACTGGCAAGAGGTAAAAATAAAGACTTTCAAAAATAATTTTCACAGCTTCAAATCAACCATAGAAAGGTAATAGTGCACAATAAAATATATAGGTAGAATTTACACTGTGTTCTCTGGAAATATTTGAAAGGAATCAAAGTTCAAGTTATACAGCAACAATATCAATAATTACAATACTTGGTTCAAGGAACAGCTGCAGGGCTTTTCCAGCTTGTCCTATGTGATTGTTGCTCACTTGAAACATTGAACATTCCCACATGGTTTCTGCTATTAAATCACTGGGCCAGTGTGCAAATCTTGTGAAGAGCTTATGATTCCTTTGTGTCTGTTGATGTGCAAATGGTCCCCTCAATGAGTAGATGTGACCTTTTTTTGTAGAAACTTCTCTGTATGTCTGCTGCACCAAGTTTGCAAAAAGGTGTGACACAGAAGGGCAAAGAACGCAGAGAGCAATCACATGAAAACTTACTCCATTTGTATCTGCATGTGAGTCTGTGCACGAGCTATTGCTTATGCTCACAGATACTAGTGCCATGAGCAACTCTTTTGCTGCTCTCACTATACTGTGTCAAGCAGGCATTGCTCTTATATTGCCACTGTACCCTTAAAACACATTCAAAGCACATCCCCCCTCCTTGTTTGTTAAAAGGGTTGCTGGGAGTTGTAACTTTGTGAGGGGTAAACTGCAGGACCCAGAATTCTTTGAGGGAAATAATGTGCTTCAAAATGCTTTAGGTATGTACAGCGCCAGTCTCTGCATTAAAACTGCTTTAATTTTCCCTTTGTGATTTGCTAGCAACTGATAAAGCGTTGCTATATACAGTATCATCATAAACTGATTGTTCCTATTTAGTAAATCTAACCCTATTTAGACGAGAAGAAAAACCTTCCTCTGCCACTCTGAATTGCAAATGGAGCGTCAGACCTTGAATTGTATTTTCACTTCATCCATACAATCTGTTTTATCTCAGTCATATTCAACCACCCATTAATATTTCTTCTACAGCTCAGTATTTGACAGTGTTGATTAGATGTCTGTTTAGTTAACTGGACAGACACATGTGTTTGAGGCCAGAACACCCACCAGCCAATCTGGTTTACCGCCTATGAGTATTACTGGAAGGATCTCTGAAACAGTATAAATGCAGGTTACAAAAAAAGAAAATGTAGAGAAAACACCATCTTCACTTTGATTGCAATTGACAAATCCTGTAAAAGGCTGGACAACCGATAAACATCTTTTGGAACCACTTCTCTCCCTTCAGGTCCCGTCCCTCATCAAAACTACATTTTCTCTCTCTTAATCCTCTTTCCCAACTGTAACCGAGCTTTTACAGGCAACCAAAATTGCCATAAAGCCAGAGTAACTTTACTGTGAGGAAAGGCTACAGAATCTGGGGCTCTTTAATTAGAAGAAAGATGATCAAATAGGAACATTTCAGAGATTTATAAAATGCTGCTGCTTGGGATGCAGAAAGTCTTTCTCATACGACATCATCCAATGCAACTTGATTGGTAGGAAATTCAAGGCAGGTGATAGAAAGCACCTTCACAAAATGTGAAGAATTCACAACATGGCTTTAAATGTGCATAATGGCCACATGCAATCTGTAGCCTGAGAGACAGCTATTGCCTTCTTGCTCGGCTTATGTGGGCTTTGCCATGGTGGGAAACGGGACTAGAAGGACTAGTAAGCTGCCTTGACTAATGCATACTCATTAATTAGGTTTAATAAGGTGGGGGGGAGAGAAGTATCATTATATAAATATATGAAAGAAATCCAGCAAGACTCCACTTATACAGTGGTACCACAGGTTACAGACACTTCAGGTTACAGATGCTTCAGGTTACAGACCTAACCCAGAAATAGTACCTCGGGTTAAGAACTTTGCTTCAGGATGAGAACAGAAATCGTGCAGCAGCGGCGCAGCGGCTGGCCCCATTAGCTAAAGTGGTGCTTCAGGTTAAGAACAGTTTCAGGTTAAGAACGGACCTCCAGTACGGATTAAGTTCTTAACCCGAGGTACCACTGTATAAGCAATTGCATTTATTGTTACTTAATTAACTGTCTTTGTTTACACATTTATCAAAATGTTTATGCTACTAAACATCAAGATATCCAATTGGTGTGCAAAAAAGGAGAAAGAGCATATCAAAAAAGAGAGAGCAAATTTGGCAAAAGCTTAAAATTGCACATTTCAAGAGGAAGAGATTTACGGAGAATTGGTTACATAATATATTAGGCCCTGTTCCATGTAGAAGCCCACCAAGCCCCAAAATTATTGTGAACTCTTTTTTAAATTGACAAATAGATTGAAATGTTAAAATAAATCAAATGTGTGCATGTTCATTCTTCAGTACTTTTTCTCCTCCCGCCCTGTTGCTTTCCTAATATCCATTTAAATTGTAAGGTCCTTGGGGCAGGGACATGTCTGTTTTTGCCAATGTACAGTGACAGCACTCTACAAACACAAAACCATTCAAAAGTTCTAGCTCCATCTTTTGTTGAAGGTACAAACTGTACGTAATAGTTTTCGATATATCTATACAAAGATCACATCCAATACAATATTATTTCTGGCAGCTCATCTGGCAAAACACTACTTGAAACTTTGCCAGAAACTTCTCTTAGAGGCTTTCTGCTGAGTTCATGTTCACAGTCTTGTGGATAACTCTTAAATATCTGTGATGTTTTGGACAACTCCACCTGGACATCTGATCAAATATTGTAGTTTACTCTCAGCAGCTTTCAGGAGTCATTTTATTTTCAGACTGCACCCTTGTTTTATGTCCTGTGGGCTGCTCTTCATTTTATTGACTGTGGGTCTTTCTAGCAAATCTAATGGCAGATATGAATTCATAAATTTCCATAGGGAATTTTCTTTCATGCAACTCATTTTAGCTATAAAGATCTGTGTTTTGTAGCACTGCAAAGCTAGGAAGGGCATAGGCATCATCAATGCTATGAAAGCCACTCTGACAGTTTTTCCTTCTATTTGTAAATTAATGCAGCACTCTAAACAACAGCAACATTTTTAAAATGAGAATCACAAAAGTTCAAATTTATTTAGGTGTAACCTAATAGGAACTACCAGTGTCCTATCCTTTACACACCCTTTTACACACTACCGCCACAGAAAGCAGAGCTACAAAAGGAAGCAACAGAGGTGATGGTAAATGCAATGGAGTGTGTAGGCAATAAGAACAGCTGGGGATCACTCACAACAGTGGCTTCAGAGTCTCTGACACCATACTATCACTTCATGCCCCAAAGCCCCAGGGGTCTTGCAGCACCTGTAGCACAGAAGCAGAGTTGTAATGAGTACTGTGGAGGCTGTCACTGTAATCAGGCTGGTTAGCCATATTTCTAATTGTTATTTTACTTGGAAACATGTTCCAGTTAATTAAAAAGAACTGAGAAAATTTGCTAAGGAACAGGCTTTATGTTGGCATGGTTAGTATCAGAACTGTCCATACTTGATTCAGCCACTATATAACTTATTTTTTTAATAAAGAAAAACCTTGACAGCTTCCATCTACAAATCTCTTCTGCTCCATAATGAACTGCATAACCTAATAAAACAACAAGGTCTTGCAGTATCACTGGATGAGCATTGCCGAGAAAGACAGCCTAGAATTTTTTAAATGACCATTGGCTATACTGTCTGGGACTGATTGAGTTAAGAGTCCCAATATCTGGAGGGCCAAAGGTTACATGTCTCTAAGTCCTAGAGCAGGGATAGCCAATGTGGTGCCCTAGAAATATTGTTGGGATATAGCTGCTACCATCCCTGACCATTGGCCATGTTGGCTGGGGCTGATGGGACATAGAGTCTATTAACTT